TGACCTGTGAGCAGGAACTATTCTAGGAACCGGCATTTCGGCGATACCTAATACGGCCAAGTCAGTCGTGCCACCACCGTACCTTGTACACCTGCTAGACTCTCCATGTGGCATCCTGCCAGCCTTGGCGGCCATACAAGTCAGATCAGACATTGACAGCCTTTCCACGGCGAGTACCGCACAGTAAATACAGGCAGTCTACATATACTACTCGGTTGATCGAGAAGGATAACATCGAAGAGACTGTTGTGGAACGGGAGGCCTAACTTTGTGACTCTCGCGCTCCTGCAGCCTTGTTTGGGGCAGTGAGAGAGTTCGCCGACAGTCAGGGTCGGCGTTCTTGTTTTTGGAGAACTCCTACGAAGCGAATGGCATTACCTTTTCGTGTGATTTCCAAGCATCCTAGTTAGCTGTCAGGTAAGGAATGGTACGTATCTTACTTTGACGAGGGGCACGAGGCAACGACCCGGCCGCAGGCCATTTGTGGTTCGTGGTCTGTGAAAAACAGGGACGACATAAAGGGAGCAAAGAGCCGTCTGGCAGAGTGTCGAGAGTATTGTGATGTCTTGCAAAGGGAGCAATTGCGGCTGGGCCCCTTCTCCACTTTGCGCTTGGCAGCCGCCCCGACACCCGCGCCCACGAGCGCAAAGGAGAATGCCGTCGCCGTGCTCGACTCGGTTTCCGTTCCCCTGTCGTCTGGGCCGCAGCTCTCAGGCGCCCCCAGGCCAGTCGTGGTTGGGAAAGCCGCTGCCCAAATGACATAATTGCCCATGCCACCAGCAGAGCAGACGTCGACAGCCAATCATGGAGCTGAACGATTGCGCGATACACTGCTAGGCCGTAAGAGGGGCTAGTGCGGGGTTCAACAGTGTCGCCGGAACAAGATGGCGCAACCGTGAAGAACGAAGAGCGGAGAACCACGCAGAACAAACAACGTGAAATTTCACGCGCAGATATAGAAAAGGAAGTATGTGGCGTCGTGGAGCTAAGCTCCGTCGTGTAAGTCGAGTGGCATCTGGCTGCGCAGCAACGCTCCTTCTTGGATCGGCGAGCAAACGTCAGCCTGGGAGGAAATTGGGAAAGAAGGAGTAGTTGCCCGGGAGTTCCTTCTGTGCAAAGATGCTGTACCAAAACAAAAGTGCGAATGTTTGTCTTGCAATAGGAAAGAAGACGCTCGTTCCTCGGCTGTGAAGCAGGAAGGAGCAACCGAATCATGCACAGGCAGGACCAAAATGGATGAAGACGGGGGCACAAGGACGACCCAGGAACGCCCAAAAAGGCAAGACACAAGCAAGCACCAATGTTGAACTGCACAAGAACGGCCAAACGATGATCACAAAACGTCGCACGTCAAGGAGGGAAGGCGTGATCCATTAGTCAAATCCCGATTTTTCAGTCTCGCGCCGTCCTCGTTGCTTGACAGGCCCGCTGCCCACTCTCTGGCAAGAAACTACTTGCGTACTAGAGCCGTAGAGGCAACGGGGTGTCGCAAGTACAGCAGAGATACAGACATAACAACCAGAGAAAAAAGACAAATAGCACTTCCGACTACGGTCCAACCGGCGCCCCGTTTCGATGGTCTCCCTCATTACCTTCTTCGCTACTTCCCGGCCTTGTTAGTAAACCATTCTTGCTCAGCTATTTAAAGTGGAAAGCGCGCCACCTGGCCAGCTCGCAAGTTTAAAAGCTTCCTTTTCTCCCCTCTTCTTCTTCTTTTTCTTCCATCTACACCCCGTCGTACCACTGACTTCGTTTTCCACCTACCTCAACCATATCTTCTCCCCACACTCTTCTGCCCACAAACTACCACCACCACACACCTTCACAATGGCTCAGGAGAGACCCGCACCGTAAGTACAGCAGACAGGAGAGCGTGCTCGCTGACAAATGTCCGAGACGAGGTCGCAAGCCGAGACAGCAGAGCTCGTTTTATGGCGACAGCTGACGGCGAGGGCCAAGACAAGGGCATCAACGACCACATGCTAACATCGCCTGACAGGATCCGCCTGGGCACCGTCGCCCCCAACTTCAAGGCTGACACCACCAACGGCCCCATCGACTTCCACGAGTTCATTGGCGACAACTGGGTCGTCCTGTTCTCGCACCCCGAGGACTACACGCCTGTGTGCACGACGGAGCTCGGCGAGTTCGCTCGCCTCGAGCCTGAGTTCACCAAGCGCGGCACTAAGCTGATTGGCCTGTCCGCCAACACCCTGGGCTCGCACGAGGGCTGGATCAAGGACATCACCGAGGTCACCGGCTCGAGCGTCACCTTCCCCATCATTGCCGACAAGGAGCGCAAGGTCGCCTACCTGTACGACATGCTCGACTACCAGGACACCACCAACGTCGACTCCAAGGGCATTGCCTTCACCATCCGCTCCGTCTTCGTCATTGACCCCAAGAAGACCATCCGCACCATCCTGTCGTACCCGGCCTCCACCGGCCGCAACTCGGCTGAGGTCCTGCGCATTGTCGACTCCCTGCAGACCGGCGACAAGAACAAGGTCACCACCCCCATCAACTGGGTCCCCGGCGACGACGTCATTGTCCACCCCAGCATCAAGACGGAGGACGCCAAGGCCATCTTCCCCGAGGTCCGCATCGTCAAGCCCTACCTGCGCTTCACCCCGCTGTCCAAGGACAAGACCTCGGCCGCTTAAGCGGAGAGTTGGATGCTTCTTTTTGCTCTCAACCAAAAATAATTGCCATCTAATGACTCGATCTCTTCTTTTATATCCCGAGACTTTTGTATGCAATTGGCTAGGAAGAGACCTCCAATGTTAATGAAATAAATAAATAAAAAGTAAAAAAAAAAGAAAGAACACTATACCAAGCGAGGCCACGAGCCCCGGATGCGTGACGTGTAGACCAGTGTCACAATGCTGCATAAGCCGAGGCATACCGATAAACGGAAGGGTCTTGCATTTGGCTGCTGTGAGAAGCCGTAGCATAGGTTGAACATGGCCAGCTGTGGCGGCCGCCGGCCATGATAACCTCTGCTGCCGTCGGCACTCATTCGTTTCACCGATGACAAATACGACGTGCATGGTCGGGACACGACAGTGGACACAGCTGCTCTGCCGGTCTTTGTTGAAACGAGCGTGCTGCCGGCTGTTCGCAAGGCTGAAACACAGAACAAATCGTGAAGAGCCGTTTGTGTTCATCTCAACAACAATGGACTGTGCGCTGGGATCCTCGATTTAAAATTGCCGTCTACCAGACGACGTATGTACCACATTTGAATCTTTTTACGTGCCGGCTGTGTTGAATACCGTCCGCGGCCAGCATCTGGCATCACGGACATGCCACGTTCGTCGTCGCACCATTGTACTCTCCCCTTGGGCAGCCACCACGTTAGTCGCACGTAGCCCCGGTCAGCTGAACCGCGAATCCCGGTGGTGTGGTCTACAAGTCGAAAGGCGGGCCCTGGGCGCCGAGGACAGGGTGTGCACAGGACGCTTTGCCTTTCCTCGTGGCATTTGAAATGACAGCCCCGAAGAACAGACGTAGCAAGGGTCGTTGGGGCCAAGGCCAAGCTCCAGACAGCCGGACAGGTCCTGAATTTCAAGTGTATGAAACAACGGCCGCCTTCCGTGCAGGGAAGACAGAGAAGCAAAAAATGACAGGGCTGTAGAAATCGGATCATAAACGCCCAAAGACAAATTTGGCGACAATTCGTACGCAGCCAAGGAGAAATTCGTCCGCACTTCTCGCATTTTTGCATCCTCCAGTGTGGATCGGCTTTCACCCGTGGTATCGACCACCTAGACCGTCTCGCATCGTGCTCTACGTCCCTTTGTAGATTCCTTGTCAGAAAGCTTGCGATCTCTACGGTACGTCGACATGCTGCATGCTCTCAATTGGCGGCAGCCAACCGATCAGATCAACGGAAAGCACTCCTTGAGGAGTACGGAGCAGTACAGCTCTTTCAACATCCAGTAAGGCAGTCCCCCACCGCCAGCTGCCCATTGTGGTCTTTGTTCGCTCCTACTTCGTCAATGCGTTTCCAATAGGCCCAGCCAATCAGCGCCTGATAGAGTCTGTTCTTGCCTTGAGAATTGCCTGATGCCCCAGGTGTCCCCACAAATAGCACAAAAAGGGAAACCGCCAGCCAGGCCGCCCTGACGCTGGGTCCGTCGAAGGCGGAAGCTCCATCCTAGTTCAGCCCATTCATGGCTTCCCGCAGGCGCCCCTTCTTTCCCTCCAAAGCCAGAGACCCCCCCTTTCAACCTACCGCGAGCCCCTCTTCTTGACAGGACCTCATCCCAATGTTCGAAAACGGAAAGGGCACGACAGAACCACACAGCGGAAAAGGAAAGTGTGCACCTGGGCCATTCGTGGACCTCGAACGGAACGCACTCTGCAGCCTCAGCCGTGTTTTCTCACCTGTTCTCTTCAATCCGCCTCTCCTTTTCTTACTTCATCTGCATGTTTCCCGCTTTTGCCAATCGTCACCATCGTCCGTGACTCTTTTGTACGCACGCGCACTCGCCTCTGCACTTCCCCTCTTGTCCTTGGTCACCGCACGCACAATTTCTCGTGCCCCTTTTTTTTTTCTCCCCCTCCTCCACGAACTCTCCCCGTAGTCTAGACCGATTACATTGACCGTTCCGCCCACAGTCGAAAAAGGGGGCCCATCCCGTTTGCACCAGCCCGGAAGCAACGTCGCCACGCGATCGCGAGCACGTCCTGGCTTCTGTTGCGCCGTCCAGCCGCAACGCCCCGATACGAAATACCTCGTTCCTCGCGCAGAAAACGTCCTAATTCCATAACGTCCCTCCGCCCAACGACACCTCGCCTCCAGCGCGATCCCAGTTCCAGCAGCCAAGCCCCTCGACTCGACCCGCCTTTTGCTCCTCCGGCCCACATCCTGCTCGACGTTGCTCACCTTTCTCGCATCCTCGCATCTTGTACGGAGTAATACTGCCTCTCCACAACGACGACCTTCTCGCCCAACAAGGGGTTCCAAACGGCGAGATATACCACACGCTATTGAGTCAACATCTCGCCGTTCCTCGAACCCGCGCGTGCCACTTCTCTCGTGCACCGAGCACCCCTCCTTGGCCGTCGTCCGTCACCCTCCAAGGCACGTCTGTGCGGTCAGCCACTTGCGGGACCGCTTCGTTCATTTTTTTTTGTTTTTGTTTTTCTTCTTCTTTTCTTCGGTCGTCTCCTTGTTCAGCGACTGCACCAAGTACAGAGTACATACGTTGCCACTTCGTCCTCTGCTGCCTTGACCGATATTTTCGACATCCCTCGGTTCGTTTCCCGGACCCAGTCTCTCCTTCTATCTCTCCTGGGCACCTCCTTCCATCCGCTGCCGCTTCCTCTCGGCCTGCAACCCACACCCACTGCACATCCCTCCTGTTTGCAAGCAACGCAAGCAAGGCCAACAACGCAGGTGGCCGAAGGACACAAACAGACCACGGCCAAGGCACCCCGAAATTGCCCATTGCGACGCCAAACCAAGCAAAACGAGATTCGACCTTAATATACCAAAGTATAGGTCCGCCTAGAAACGAACCAAAGCTGTGGGACTTCCTCCGCTGGTCTCGCTGATCTTTGTCCAGCCGTTGTTTTCTAGGTACGCTCGCGCCTCTTGATTTACTCTATGCTCCGTTGCCCCTTCTTTTGCCATTTTTCTTTAATTTTTCTTCTTGTTCTTCTTTACCCCTGGTTCCCCGTTCGTTTTACGTCGTAATTCTCGAACCCTTGTCTCCCCAGTCAGGTTCTTGAAGACCACTAGACGCCGCTGCCCAACTCTCCACCACATTCGTCCTTCTTTTCAACGTTCTTCCTTAGTTCCCTGTCCTCTGGACTCTCTTCTTTTCTTTTTCTTTTTACTTGTCTTCTGTTTTTTTTGCCTGCCACAAAGTCAAGAATCCTAGTTATTTTCGTTGGCCAACAGCTGCGATGACACCTTGATGGGGCATCCTACCTCACAGGAACGTCGTCTTGTGGCTCTTCTCCGTGGTGTGATACATCGTTCCGCTCGCAAGCTCCCACCCATTTCCTTGTGCCCCTGGTTGTACCCTTGGGCCGGCGCTCTGCCGATCATGGGGAAAGAGAGCTTTCCAACGTCATCCACCTTGCTTCCACGCTAGCCCATCTTCCTTGCCTTCTCTCCTTTCTTGTATTTTTTTGTTCTTCTTCTTTCCGTTGCACATTTAGGCGTTGATGACTTTACTCGCACATCTGATTCTTTGGGACGTCTTTGTGTTTTGTGTCCTTGTGGTCGCTCCAGATGACAGAGGACGAGGTCCAATTCGTTGCAGAATTTGTCTTCGGCAAAGCTAACCCAACATGGACAGCGTCACGGAGCACGACGACGGTGACAGCCGATTTTCTGACTCGGAGAACGACAACCACCGACCGTCGCAGTCCACAAAATCTACCTCCGATCTTTTCTCCGGCGTCTACCGGGGGATCAAAAAAATCACACCGGGTCGCGAAGATCTTGGCCGTTTCGCACGACAGTCCTCGACATCCCACCGCAACTCTCCTCCTCCACCGTCACAGTTTGTACTCAAACCGTACGCACCGGGCGCCGAAGACCACCCACCCGGCTCTGCCCCGATCACTGGATATCGCCCTTCCCAACCACATTACCAGCATGCTCGCAGCCTAAGTTTGCAGAACAGTCTCGAAAAACCGCTACCACGGCCGCCAAAGGCCCCTCCAAGCTTCCCTCTCCTCCCTACGGCCACTTCTGGGTCTGCCTCGTCCCAGACCCGCTTTCAAGCTCCCAGCGGGAGCCTTGCCTCCATTCGAAACTCCGACGTGAAAGACGACACTATGGATAGTCGAACCAGTACCATGGACTCAGCCTCGTCCGCCGAGCAGGGCTATTACGCACCCAATGCCGCTTCTGGTCCTTCTCCGGCCATCGGCATCGACTCCAACGCGAACAACAGCCAGTCAAGTATAACTGATGACGAACGCCACAATATGGCCTCAAGAGCCAACGATCCCCTCTCCGCGGGGCCATCGCCGCAACCTCAATCCGCATCACGCGGTACACCCGGCGGCACCAACCAGGCAGCGTCTGGAAACGCCAACCCCCCTCAACAAAACTCGGGCTCGTCTGCCCACCTGTCGGGTCTCATGTGCAATGTGCACAGAACAACCGGCCGTGAACCACATCCGCTTGTCGGTGCCACGACCACAATCCTTGGTGACAAGCTCTACGTCTTTGGTGGCCGGATATTGTCTAGGAGCCGCCCGGCGTCGCTCACCTCCGATCTGTACGAACTCGACCTCATTCGGCGTCACTGGACAAAGCTGGAGACCACGGGCGACGTCCCACCACCGAGATACTTTCATTCCATGTGTGCGCTGGGCGACTCCAAGATGGTCTGCTATGGCGGCATGTCACCGCAGCAGAGTGCCAACGGTGGCTCACCCCAGGACCAGCAACAGGACGTGACCGTCATGTCCGACATCTACATCTACGACGTGCCGACAAAGAAGTGGACCTACATTCAGACACAAGAGACTCCGCAGGGTCGTTATGCGCATTGTGCCTGCATCATCCCTTCATCCGCCACCTTCAGCTCCCACCGCGCACCACTCTCCGCGCTACAGCACAACCCAGCGACAGGCACCAACGAAGGCCGCATTGGCATCAACATTGACGGCACGGGCGGCGCCGAAATGATTGTTGTCGGTGGCCAGGATGGCGCCAACCACTATATCGAGCAAATTAGTGTTTTCAACCTCCGCAGCCTCAAGTGGACGTCGACCGAACCCCTAGGCAAAAGCTGTGGTGCCTACCGTAGTGTTGTTGCGCCACTGCCGCCCTCGGTCACGGCACGCATCGGCCGGGCCAATGCACCAAACGCCAACGCCAACATTCGGCCGGAAATGGGCGGAATCAGTCAGGAGGCCCGTGAACCCGGCTCGTCCATGCTCGTGTACTCGAACTACAACTTTCTCGACGTGAAACTCGAGTTGCAAATCCGTTCACCTGATGGCGCCCTGACAGAAAAGCCCATGGCCGGCACGTACACACCCCCTGGCCTCCGATTCCCCAACGGCGGCGTCATCGATACCCATTTCGTGGTTAGTGGCACGTACCTGACAAGCTCCAAGCAAGAATACGCCCTTTGGGCTCTCGATTTGCGGAACTTGACCTGGTCGCGGATCGATGCTGGCGGCAGTGTCTTTAGCCAGGGCAGTTGGAACCGCGGTGTGCTCTGGAACCGGAGAAACTCGTTTGTCATACTGGGCAACCGTAAACGCAGCCTTGTCGACGACTACAACCACCGCCGTATTAACTTTACGAACGTATGCATGGTCGAGCTCGAGGCGTTTGGCTTTTACGACAACCCACGCAAAACGACACCCATGTCCGGCTTTGTCTCCGCGAGCAGCCCATACACCAACCCCGGCCTTAGTCTGGCTCGCAAAGCGGGCTCGACTGCAGGAGGACGTTTCCATTCCCGGGCATCAGAGGATCTCGGTGAGAAGGCGTTGGCGATGCGCGAGCTGGCCGATATGGATATTTTGTGCATTGGTGGCGAACGCATCCCGGTGAACAGTCGGATTGTTGCTCGCCGTTGGGGACCATACTTTGTACAGCTTTTACGGGAAGGAACAGCCACGGAAGATGGCAGCGAACCAGCCGGCGCGCGCTCGACCCCTCTCGCAGGGGTGCGCAGCTCAAGCATCACCATTACCCCATCGAGCCGCAACACGATGGAAAGCACCATGTCTATGGGCTCACAAGCGACAAACTCCAGTAGCTCTGCCGGCAAGCCGCCCAGTACACCAGGCACGAGTCTCTCTGGAATTTCGGCCGTTGTCGGCCCTATGTCGCCCGCTGTTGATCCTGCCACAATCAATACGGCACCGACACCGAGGACCCTGCCACCCAACAGTCGCCCCCGCTGCCTCTACCTTCCCCACACCTACCTCACCGTCCAGACACTGCTTCACTTCCTGTATACCAGCTCTCTCCCGCCGCCAACCAACCAGCTCTGCACGCCACAGATCTTGTGCTCTCTGCTGCAGATTGCACGGCCGTATCGCATCGACGGTCTCCTAGAAGCTGTTGTCGAGCGTCTGCATGCCCTTCTCGATAGTCGCAACGCGGCAGCCGTGTTCAACGCGACGGCCATGGCTGCCGGCGGTGGCCGCGGCATCGATGGCACGCTCAACCCCAACTTCTTTGTCCCCAGCGGCCTCGACGTCCTCAGCCCGATAGACCCGACGCTGCAGTCGCCGTCGCAAGCCCAGGCGGACCAGCAGCTGCCAGGCGGCGGCATCGGCAACGCCAGTGGCAACGGCAACGCCAGTGGCAGCGGCGACGCCAGCGGTCTCACCGCGCGGACGGCGGGCCTGCAGATCAACACGTCTGTGCCTGGCTCGACTGCCAGTGCTGGCGGCGGTGCACGGCCCAGCAGCGGCGAGCTGAGCGCGACCACGAGCGTCTCTGGCTCCGAGTGGAGCTCCGAGATGGGCGACAACAGCGAGCGCGGCCAGCGCGAGGTCTGGAGTGGCGAGCTCAGCAGTGTGATTGGGCTGCAGAAGCGCGGTCTCAAGGGACTGATGGAGGGTCGGCGCCTCCGCGAGCGGACGGGTACCAACACGGGCATTACGGGCCCGAACAATGCGCGTGTCGGCCTAGGTATTGCCAGCGGTTGATTGATGTCCATCGTTTTGGTCATTTATTTTATGATTTTTGCTCTTCATTTCTCACATATTATTTGACCGTTGCCCACATAATTTTGAAGGCAATTTACGGATTTTATTTTGAATTGATTTTACGTTATGACATGCAACGATACCTGTACGAGGTAAAATAAAAATTCACCTGAGAACTGTAAACGCTTGTATTTTGGTTTGGGTTTAAAAAAATCAAAATAAAATATACCGTAACGAGGAAAATATGTCCTTTCAACCCGGGTTGAAATATAAAGGTGTAAAAGCAGTATACTGACCCCCATAGTTTACTCACATTCGACAACGTCATCCCAAATATAACCTTGCCTGTTCATTGGAAAGCCACTTTGCACATTCATTACGTACCAGCGCTTTCTCCAGAGTCGAGGATGTGCCGTATCTACTTTGAAATTATTGTGCTAATGTTGCGTGGCAGCGAATATATAACATACGAACCGTCGTAAGAAGCCGTTCCCATCGCCAAGGCCAGCTCTATTTATGTTCACGACTCGACCGGTTGGCCGTCATTTATATCACGACTACGTAACACCCCCCATTTTGGTATAGTCTCCAGAAGTTGTCAACTGCGCGTTCGTCTTGTGAAGTCCGCCTTGGCGATGGATACCTCACCGTTCCAACAGCACCGTAGACTTGCCGGCGTCGGTGCCGGTACTTTGACCTTCGAGATGCTCTGAAATGGAATGAGAAGAAGACGTCGCTGCATATTGTCGTGGCCAAAGGCAAGACAGAGACGCAACGAGAGAGGAATACCTTTGTATATTGCTTGCGAGCGACTGTGAACTGTGCTTCGTTGGCACATGGACACTGCATGGCAATCCGCGTGTCTGTGGCTTTGTATACCAACGGGGAGAGTGAACGATGGACGACAAACGTCTCTCAACCTCGCCTGGAGTTAAATTTAAGCTTAATAGCGGAGGATAGGAAGATACCAACACGCGTGCATTCTGAAGATACTGTGTGGCTGACGAATTTATCCTTTGAGCACCCCACTGGTAATAATAATACCGTTTCCTTTCTCCCGGTTGGCCATGATCACTGTCATCATCCTGCTCCATTCTCGCTAGCGAAGGATACAAAAGACGTTATTTTTAACTTTCACGAGAGGTGAAGTATTCTTGGCGGCGAGCACACGGAAATGGCAACCCGCACCAAAATGTTGGAGGGACGGAGAAATAGGAGAGTCATTCAAACAAGCATTTTTCTGCCCCTGCCACGCGTCGATTTTGCCGATTCGGCAACGAGACGAGAGTACCATCCCCAACATGTAGCCAAGGCGTACATATATAAGAGGCAAGGAGCCAAGAAGCTAAGGGGCCAAGAAACGGACAGCCGACAATGTACAATTGTGGGTGATCATGTGGGCGGACAAGATGATGAGAGACAGGGTGGCCACCGTACATTTTATGATCCCCAAAAGCTTATTTTGGTCTCGGACAAGTCGTTTTCCCGGTATGGTAGGATCGTTCCTTCAAAAAGACTTTTGGTGAGATGTTCATCGTATTGATTTGTCTAGATTGTCGAAAAAGCAGTCCAGGAAAGTCTAGAACCCTCCTTCGACAGCGGGAACGAACCACAAGACGATGGAGATAAAAACACCAACGAGGAGGATCGGACAAAGAATAATACAGTAGGATAGATATGCTGTTTGTCGGACTCCTGCAGGAGCCAATATAATCGGCTCATCTATTTCGCACTCACGGACATGTCCGCACATGGTCATCCCGTCAGCAAGCCATTAAATCATATTGATATGGTGGGATAGCAGGTCAACGTCACCAGGGCCCATGAACGGGTGGCTTCATATCACGATAGAGGAAAGACGTGGAAGGTCGTTGGACGTCACGGCTAACCGTGTGTACTTGAATATAAATACGTCCAGTCAAAACCTCCCATGATTCTGATTTTCACTCATCTTCATCCTCTGCAAAGCACTCATCAGCCATCAGCATCTAAGCAAACATCTTCATCTTTCAGTTCATCCAGTTCCATCTGTCCCCCCCTACCCCTCCCAAAGCAATTGTCAACATGAAGTTCAGTCAAATTCTGGTCACCCTTTTCCTGGCTGCCACGGCCCATGCTGCCGTCGCCGATGTCCAGCGTGGCTGCGAGGACCGCTGCCTCGAGGAGAGCAACAACTGTGCCCGCCAAGACCACCGCGAGCACCGCTGCGAGGATGAGTTCCGTACGTATCTTGAGTCCGCAAAGTAGGACTACGACTCTCAGTGCTGACATTCCATCTGCTAGACCGCTGCGAGGACCGCTGCCGCAGAGACCACGACCATGATCACGACCACGATCGCGATCGCGGTCACGACCACCACCACTAAATGTGTTTTGGAAGAGATGATGGCCCTATTTCTCAGAGTCGCATAATGGCAAGGACAACAGAAATCGGGCGAAGAGAACCAACATTAGCTGGCCACTCACAATGTCTGTGGCAGAAGTTATCTAGTGAAATACAAATGTGTCTCGGCCGGTTGGAAGAGAGCACACACCAAACCCTGTACAGCAAATAAACACCACAAAGCATAGTCATACTGTAAATGCCTTTATCAAAAAATAAACCAGGTCGACTAACCCCACATGTCTTGTCCAACATATTGTGTAGTCGAAAGAAACATTGAAAGAAATAAAGTGCACAAAACGGGGGCTGCTGTAACCTTGTTCCTATAAGACACGGGGATTTGCCGGTATGCCTACTGGCAGACCGTTCTCTTCTGAACCATATAACCAATGGACATTGTATGTAGCCCGTTTCAATTCGTTTCCCTTCCACGATGTTGTATTTTCCGCGACAACGTCGGCTAACGCATAAATGCAACAACGGTTCTCTCGTGAACGCTCCGAATCTCGTTAGCGTCGTGAATCCATTCTGGGTATCATCGCAAACAGTGCTGTATCGTGCAGATCTTTGGTAGGACTGGCTTTCTTCTTTCCTTACGGCATCTCACGTGTGCCAATTGGCAACTCCGTATGTCAAGATGCAGGGGGGGGTTAATGTGCTTTCTCGCCGAGGCCAGCTTCGGAAAATACCCGGCGCTGGCCCAGCCATTGGCCAGGCTGTATGGAATCCCCTTCGAGTTTGGGGAGAGAGTCTGACTTCCATGCAATACCTTTGCAACTCGTGAGGTTAGTATGTCTGGCTCTTTCCCACGGTGCGGAGGCGATGGACAGGTACGCCGTAGCATACCCTATTGTTGTGACCGAGAAATGTCAACCTTGTCATGGAATCGAGGAGGCGAGCCGACGATCTCGGGGAATGCCGAGGACTGGTAGCTATGGTGGATGGGCCTTTTTCGCAGCTTCGAGTCGATGATTGTCGGTGACATCTTCTTTGACCAGCGGGCCACCGACGTGGCTGATTTTGAGGCGCGGCGGGCGGCTTGGGTTGCGTTGCCACCGACCATCGACACGGCCTCCTTGAACCGAACGCTGCACGAGGACCGGCGGCCCAAGATGTCATCAATGTTGATGCCGTCTTGCAGAGCTTTCATGTCGCTGTACGACACCGTCGGGGGTAGACCAACGCTCTCCAGGATGTCTGCATTTGCACTGCGGCGGCGGTCAGAGTGCTTGGTGTGCCGCGGGCGAAAGGGAACTGGCTTGAAGTCTCGCGATGTTGGGACGCAGTCCATCTCGTCGTCGCTGAAATAGAGCATTTTCTGCTGGGCTGCGCCATTGTTTATGGTACTGCGGCGGCCGACGCCACGGGTAAAGATATCACAGAGCATGGCCGTGTCTTGACGCCAGTGTATGAAATGTCGAGTGTTGTACGGATTGTCAGGTGTTGTGAGAAGATGGTGACGAGAAAACGAAGAATGAAGACCGTTGGAAGGAAAAGAGAGCAAGAAATGGGAGATATGGCCTTTGGTTGTGAGGCCCCCCCTTGAACGACTGGCGAGGAAGGTACGCGTACCGCTCTTTCCTTGTGATTTCCTCGAGACTAGCCAATTCACTGAAGTGCCACAAAGAGAAAGAACCCAAAGCGGAAGGCGTGCCGTGTTGCAAACGACACAAAGGATTAAAAAAGGAAGTCACGATTGCCATAGTAAGCTAGCAATTGGGCTTACTTATGGAAATCGCGACGAGGAGAGGGAGGAAAGCAATAGAGCGACAAAGCAAAAACACGTCAATCTCATTTCTCCCTGCACCCCTTCGCCAGTGTTTCCCGATTGTGGAAACCATCAAAGCGGCTGCTTTTCCAATCAACATGACCTGGAATGTGCGTAGGATTCTGCATGAAAGTATTGGTCCTCGTCTGTTTTAGCAATTTCGAGTCGTCGACTGTGTGTAAGTGATCACGTGACAATAAAAGGTTGAAGACTCGCCGCCAAAATATTCAGAACAGTTTAAAACGTGGCGACATGAGCATCGCGACTCGTGCATTGAATGCCCTCCTCGTCCTCCTGCACCACGCCGTCCTCATCTCCTGCCGCAACATCTACGCGGCATATACCATGCGGGCGCCAATGACAGCACACGTTGGAGTCGTGCTGGGCGCGAACTGAGACGACATTTTTGTGGGTATGACGCGCCTCTGGATGTGGAAACCTCCCTGCAGCATGCTTTAGGTATCATGCAGCTTTCGCAGCTCCACGGAGAGTTGAGAAGAGATGAACAGAGGGAGACGACGGCTCTGGCGAGATGTTGGCGCACGCTTTGTCTCCAATTACGCCGTACATTGTCGAGTCTTGCTGGAGCCACTCAAGGCTGCGGAGACAACCAGCCTTTCAGCCCTCCGCATCTCAGATTGACGTCGTGCTCGTTCTTGACGGAGCACGTGCACAACGCCATCACCATCCCAACGACGGAATTCGCTGGTCTATCATAGTGTAAGTATAGCCTAGCTATGAGTACATCGCATAGAGCTCCGTGAACAAGGACGGGAAAGCTGTATCTGTTAATAGCAAGGCGAGGATATTATCGGTATGTTAAGGCGGTTTTCTAGCAGTTAGTAGCCCAAGTCCGTACGCCTACCTGTTCTTCGTGACGGGGTCTCTGCAAATCCTGTGAGCACTTGGCCTGGACATTCGTCCAACAACGGCGACGTGATCCTGGAGCTTCTCAACTCCCTGAAAAAGAACAGCAATTCCGGTAACGAGAGTAACCATGCGAGCTGATTACATCGCCCAAAACTCGAAAACATCCACGGCTCTTTGCGTTGACACCTGATTTGTAGCGGATTACTATGTTCTACTCGTGATGGTGTCTTTGAAGGTAAGTGGTTGTAGCATACCATATGCTGAACGATGATGGTCGCGGTTTGGTGTGTGATGGTAAGGCAATTTCAAAGACGCCATGTGAAAGCTGAGAGCTGTCTGTTCTGGGGGTGAAAGAAACGTGGACATGAAGTCGATTTTGACGTCTTATTCGTCAACATGTATTGACTTCCTTTTCGTACAAAACTGAACAGTTTCAATGAAAGTATTATTACAAATTATTATGACAGCGCCTCGTGGAGAGGTGCAACAGATTTGATGAGTTTCCCGCGCTCACCGCCCAATGCCGCGACGATATACCGCACTTGTATTTTTACATGTGAAGGCTGGCATCACGATGCTCCCACACGACGTAAGTGGGTACTACCTGATTCGTATTCGTGGGGGTTGCGGCTTCCGAAAGCGGAAATAGACGACATACGGGAAGGTGCCAGATGGCAATGATCCGAACGATACGACATTGTAATTACCTAGCAAACGTTGTGTTGAACATTGCCAAAGACCTTCATTTCCAATGGAGAGGTGATCAAAGTAAGAATCGAAAACAGCGGTTTACATGTACGTTCATGACAGCATCCTGTCAGAGCAGTGAGGCTGGCTTCTTTTCCCCAGTTTCTGTTGTGGGGAGTTGCAGTGAGACGCAACTCAAAAAATTAGGCAGGAACGACGGGCAAATAGCCCGGAAGCACCTGAGCTGCCCTGCGCCCAACAAGGGACAGAATCTGGGGCACAGGAAAGTGGCAACTTGCATTCCTGCCTCACGGCCGGGATCAGTCAGACACGCACGAACTTGGCTGTATTTCCGTGTTATTGGGGGCCGCTGATTGGCTTAGAGCAGTTCGATGACGGTCAGCTGTGGGTAAAATTGCGGCTCGTGACCGTACTATTTTGGCGGGTTGCGCTCTGATGGGGCAGTCACTCGTAGTCACTCACCGCTACCGGCCGCACCTTCCCTCCAGCATCGCAGCAGATCAGCCAACACTGACATAACTTTGGCAGTTTGGGTTTTGGGTGCATCTGATCGGCGTCTCCCGACAACCCTGCAAAAGCATGGCTCGCCTTCATGACGACCACATACCCCGGCGCCACAAGCGGACACGATGGCATAAATCTCCGAAGACAGCTTTCTGCCACCCACAGTGTCTGAAGACAACAGACTGCAGTTGACGCCAGGGAGGACTCAATTTATCGCACTACGCTTGGATCTCGATCTAGATTGCGTTCCTGGACGGCATTCCGGCGACCCAACTACCCTCTCGCCGACAACTTGTCAAGTACTTCAGTGTGTATGGCCATGTCCTTTCGGCCGTCAATCTCACCTTCTACGCGACATACGTCTTCTTGGATCAGTCTTGAGTGTATCCTGCCTTCGTCACCAACGCTTGTTCTACCACATCTACCACAACGCCTCATAGCATGGGAGACTTCCTCCTCTTGCCACGCGAGGGCGGCCGCGACGGCGACGCAGCGTCGAACGGTCTGCCCTCCATCCGAAGCCTTGCCGGCCTGCTGAAGCGGGCTCGGGCGCAGCAGAGCGCACCAAAGCCTGCGAATGCCACCCGGCGGATACCGTCTCTCGCCACACGCCTTTCCGAGTCGTTACAAGCTCGCGTCAACCAATCTCGGGAAGCGCGCCGGGCATCGCAAGAGCGCCATGAACGCCAACAGATCCTCGAACTGCGGATGGCCAATGTATGTTGCTGCGTGCCAACCTTCTCTCGTCTCTCGTATCCCACTGACCACCGTGCAGGCCACAACCTACCAAGAGTGGGAAGCAGCGGCGCATCTGCTGGACGAGCTCGACGAACACGAAACATGGAAAGCCAGCAGCGACAGCGACGAGTTCTACAACCCCGACCTCGTCCAGGCGCGCCTCAAGGACCTTGAAGATGCCCGCCTCTCGTCCGACATCCGCCGCATGATGCACCTCGTCCGCACGGCCCTGTCGCGCGACGTCGGCGGCATCAGCAGCGCCGGCCTCTACAGCCACACGCACACCGGCACGAAATACCTCGTCGAGCGCTATGCCCAGGCCTCGGTGGACCTGATCCATGCCCTCGTCGACCGCTCGCGCAGCGCGGCGGCGCTGCCCAAGGGCCTGACGCACCGGGAGATGCTGGACCAGCTGCTGTTGGCGCGCCGCAGCTACGGCCGCAGCGCTCTTGTGCTGAGCGGCGGCTCCGTGTACGGCATGGCGCACATTGGCGTCATGAAGGCACTCTTTGACCGCGGACTGCTGCCCCGCATCATCTCGGGCACGTCGGCCGGGTCCATCGTTGCGGCTGTCGTGTGCACGCGGACAGACGAAGAGATCCCGGCGCTGCTGACGCGCTTTGCCCACGGCGACCTAGCCGTGTTCACGGACAAGGACAACCCGGACTCGTGGCTGACACACATTGGGCGTGCCCTGCGCTACGGTGCGTGGCACGACAGCCGGCACATTGCACGGGTCATGCGCGATCTACTGGGCGACATGACCTTCCAGGAGGCCTTTAACCGCACGCGCCGCATCTTGAACATTACCGTATCGTCGAAGCCGGGGCTGCAGCTGCCGTCGCTCTTGAACTACCTGACCGCGCCCGACGTCATCATCTGGTCCGCCGTGGTTGCGTCGTGCTCCATTCCGGGCGTGTTCGACCCGCGGCCGCTCCTTGTCCGCGATGCCGAGACGGGCGAGCATGTGCCGTGGGATCCGGCCGAGCAGCTGTGGATCGATGGGTCGCTCGACAACGATGTGCCCGTCGAGCGACTGGGCGAGATGCTGAATGTCAACCACTTCATCGTGTCGCAGACGAACCCGCACATTGTCCTGTTTGTGAGCAACACCGAGACGCTGGACGCGCCGCACGACGGCAGCGCATCGTCGTCCGCGCCGTCGATTGGCGAGATTCTGTACACGCTCGGGTGGCTCAGCAAGTCCGAGGCCATCTACTACCTCGAGACGCTGGTGGACATGGGCCTGTTCCGCGGCAGCCTCAGCATGCTGCTGCAGATGCTCAACCAGCGCTACACGGCCGACATCAACATCCTGCCGCGCATGAGCCTGGCCTGGGGCACGAACCTGATTCGCAACCCGACCACCGAGTTTATGCTCGAGGCCTGCCGCGTGGGCGAACAGGCGACGTGGCCCAGCATCTCGCGCATCGAGCAGGCGTGCGCCGTCGAAGTGGCCCTGGACAAGGCCGTGCACACGCTGCGCGAGCGCATCGCCTTCAGCGACAGCCAGGTGAACCTGCGGCGCTTCTTTACGGGGTCGTACGAGCTCGGCGTGCGCGGAAACAGTCTATATGGCGGGGCGCCGTTGGTGGGCACCACGTGGGACACGGCTGCCGCCATCAACGCCAGCGCGCGTGCCAGCGCATGCACCGTCGACGGCAACGACGGCGACACAGACCCGACGTCGACCAACAACATGATGTCGCCGCTGGACGGGCACCACCTGACGCCCACCTCCCGCCGCAGCCGGTCGCCCGTGGCGCACCGCCACAGCCAGCACCTCCACAACCAGCTCCTGAGCCACAGCCACCACCGGCAGCACAAGCGCCGCGGCTCGGGCGGCAGCATCCAAATGTCGGCCCGCCGGCGGCACAACCGCCACGCACTGGAGACGATCTTGAGCGAGGACAGCGGCGGAACGCAGGACTCGGACGCGCATCTCCTGGCCGACGATGGCGGTCTGTCCCTCGCCGTCCGTCGTGGCATGGCTGATATGAACCTGTCGGCGTTCTTTGATAACAAGGACGGCGGCGGCGGCGCTGGGGGCAGCGACGGCGACGGCGGCAACGGCCGCCCCCGCCTGACGCACAGCGTGAGCTACTATGGCGTGCCGCCGCACACGTCGTCGTCGCAGGTGGCAGGTGCCGGCTACAGCCACCACATTCCCAGCCAGCTCCACCAACGCTCACCCGCAGCGTACCGTGGTGCAGTGAAGCAGAACAGCCTGCAGCAACTGCCCATGCCGACGCCGGCCTCTGCCTCTACGCAGACGCCGTCGCCGACGACGTCGTTTACGCGCAAGGGCTACAACTGGGGGTTTGGCGACCGGTCGGTCGGCGGGTTGACGCCGTTTGCCCAGTTCGGGCCGACTGACAACGGCGACGGCGCGGCCGACGAAGACGACGGATCGCCCGTCCTGCAGATGAAGGCCCAGCAGCGGCGGCAGCGGCGGAACTCGTCGACGTCCTCGGCCGTGTCTGCGGTGTCGGCCGCTGCCGCCGCCGCCGTGGCCGCCGCACACCACGCCGTGATGCAAGCCGTGAGTGGAGGGGGCGGCGCGAGTGACGCGCCGGCGACGGCGTCCATGACCACACCGCAGTCGCCACGCGCGCAGCGGATGCAGCCCTTCCCGACGTCCGCGGGCGTTGTCCCAAGGATGACACGTGTGTCCAGCACGACATGGTACCCGGGCGTGGTGCCACCGTCCCTCGCGCGTCGAGCCTCGCACGACGAGTCGTCCGAGGAGACGCAAGAGGAAGACGAGGACGACACGAGCGGCGATTGCGACCCGTACGAGGGAGATGGGACGGAGAGCACGACGCATGAGCAGGCGACGACAAAGACGTCCCACACGCCGCCCCGCCCGGTGCGCCTCGTGCGGCGCTGCAAGTCCGTCCCGTCCATGGCTGTCAACGACGGAGGCGCATTGGAAAAGGGCAAACAGCGCTCACGCCACCATCAGCAGCATGTTGCTGCTGCCGCTGCTGCACGTGCCACACCGCACACACCGCACAAACCGCCGTCCACTACGCGGGCACCTTCGCAGGAGTCGGTCGAACATGACCACACCGAGGTGGAGGACGAGGAGGACGAGGAGGACGACATGCTCGACGGTGGCGACGACACGCGTGGCAGCAACTCGGACGTCGACGACGGCGACGTTTTTATGAGCGGTAGTGGTCGGCAAACGCAGAAGCGTCCCCGGTTTCCTGCTGCTGAAACATTATCGAGCGATTGACTCCCTTCGGTTGGGGTTGGTCTTGGTCTTGGCGCGGACAGCAGCGAGTCGGGAGAGGACTGGCACAGCGGCATTGAGCACTCGGACCACAGCAGCCGGCATACCGGACGGCGAAAGACGGTAACGAACCCTGTGAGCAGCAATGACGACGACGGAGCGGGATCATGGATGGACTGGTGAGGCCATGCCGTTTTGACATTTATATACATTTATCTTTGTATATTTGGAGTACACGCGGAGCATTTATGGAATCGAGCATACGAGGACGTCGTTCTACGACAAAGCCACGAACAGGTAGCATTTGGCATGGACTTTATTCAGTACAGCATTTATTGGACGTTTTTTGAAATAAACATTATGCATTAAGGGTATCGTTGTGAGTGGTAAGTGCAGTCCTAAAAAAAGAAAGTCATTGATCGACGCGTTCTATCCTTCGTCAATTCTGCGCCTCCGTCGCCAAGTCGGCGGCAAAGGTGCGTACGGCCTCCTGCAGTTCGTAGTATGTCCGCCCCTCGGCCCAGAAATGGCCGGCCGTGGCCACCTCCTGCGTGCGGAACAGGGGCCGATGTCTTTCTACGGGCTGTCCACGCGAGGCGGCCATCGACGCCGCCGTCAGTCCCGCCGCCCATGTGCGTATCTTTTTCAGCGAGACAAAGCCGTCGGCATCGCCATACACGACTAGTGTCGGGTTGCAGGCGAGTTTGCTGTTGGTGTCGTCGGTGTCACCGTTGTCGTCGTTGCCGTCGGTGGACGTGGTGTCGTCGGTTGCAGCCGGTGTCGTTACTGGCGGTGCTGGCGGTGCTGGCCGCTCTGGCCGCTTCCGCTTGAAGAGACTGCCCGTGGCCGACGCGGCGCCGCTAAAGGACAAGGTCGCGAGGCTGGTCGCCAGGCCGACGGGCGGCGAGACCAACAGGTAGGCCGGACGGACAACCGTCAGGTTCGGCACTGCAGACAGCGTTGTCGACTTGGGATCGTCGTCGTGCGGTGGTGGTGCGGCCTCGTCTTTGTTGCCATGCCGGATCTTGGCCATCCAGCCCGAGACGCGGCGTTGGCTACCACCACTACCACCACCACCACCACCATCACCACCACTTTCTTCGTTCTTGGCGGCATGGGCGTCGAGGTCGTCGGCATGGGACCGCACGTGCGAGTTGGCATGGCCGTTGCCACTGTCGCTTTTGCTGTGGCGATGACTGTGGCCGCGGCCAGGGCGGTGGTCGGCCGATGCCGATCGCCGCGGAGGTGCTGCAGGAGACGAATGGAGAATGTGGCGGAGGGCGCCGCCTGCCTCACCGACCTCGTGGCTCGTCCGCCGCCACTGCGCGTCCTCGTCGGGCCCGCCACCCACGCGCACGCCCATGCTCAAGCGGGCCTCGCCACGGCGGGCTTTGGTGGGCGAGCCCTTGCCGCCCGCGGCTGCAGCGGACCCCGATTCCATCGCTGCGGCAAAGTCGGCGTTCTGGATGGCGGCCCAGCGCGCTGCACGCAGACGCACCTCGGCGGCCGGCGAACCGCGCAGCGGACGGGCAAAGCTGGCCAAGATGGTGGCCAGGGGCGGGAGCAGCGACGTGACCATGGCGCCGTAGGAGTAGCCGGCAAAGAGGAGCGTGGGCGGCGGCGAGGACAAGAGTTGTCTAGATGCTGGGGCCGACGTTGGAGCGGGCGGCTGCGCACTTGTTGCCGCTTCTTTCTCGCCATATGGATCGAGATAGTGCGCAAAGTAGTACAGGAAGCCGGCAATGGTCACGTAGTCGGCGGCCTCGGGCTTGGCGGTCCACGATGTGCGGCCCTGCGGCTTGCGGCCGGCGCCACGAAAGTTGAACGTGGCGACGACAAAGGAGGAGGAGGATGCCGGGGGCTGTAGCTGCGGCTGCGGCTGCAACAGGGTCTGGGCCACCATCTTGACAATCGGGTCGTTGTAGGAGCCGCCCATGGGCCCGTAGGGGTGGGCGACAATGGCGGCATGGCCGCGCCAACGAGGAAGACTCGCAATGGCACTGGGGCTACCCGTAGCTACAGCGAGAACAGACGGCGGCAGGTAGATCCGGCAGTCGAGCGGCGTGCCGTCGTGGATGCTGGGCAGTGTAAGTGTGAGTGTTGGGTCGGGGAGAGTGTCGTCCATGGCGATGGTTAGGTGGTGGGAGTCGTGAGGATCGTGACGTCCGCGAGGAGAAGTGTGAGTTGAGTTGAGGGCGAGGCCAAGATGAGGCAATTGGCAACTGTGGCCGGCCGTTCTTAGAGAAGACGGTGTAGACGATCAATACTGGATGCCTGCCAAGTGCCGTGTGTCTCCAGGGGCATTGCGTGTGTCGAGAGTCCCGGGAGAGGTGGGAGGAATCGGGACGAGAAAGCAGAGGATCGTGGGATTATTGTCAGAACTAAATTTAAGCTGTTGCCTTTGGTGTGACTATGTTTTGGCGTGTCGGCTGGTGGGGCGCTGAATGCTGCGGTGGAATGCGACGGCGGAGACCTACAGCTGATAGGGCGCTGGGGCCAGGCCTGGCTAGGCCTCGGCGTTCCTTTTTAGCTTGCCCCAGTGTCTTACGCCTCCTGGCCAGAACCTGACGTCATTGGCCCTGAGCATCTGGCGCTGGACGATACATTTTGAGTGAATCTTCCTTTGTTACACTTTCCAAATAATATTTGATTTTCAGACGTTTCTAGTCTCTCTTTATATATGAATATATTGCTATATGCTTCATAAAATCATAATCCTATTGTTATCAATACCGTTGACGCTGTGTTTGCTGTCGAATAAATACACAGTGGTTTCCAACTTTCAACGCCGAACATTCTCACCACCAATGCCATGATGACGCCGTGATCATTGTTGCGCGATCGACTGTTATTGTCTCACAGCCACGCGGCGAAGACGGCCGCACCGCTCACCAATGTCAAGAGCGACGACGCATGCGTCAATGTAGTGAGACGACTGCTGCTGGACTTGGCCGCCGAGCTTGTGCTTGTAGCGCCGCCGCTGCCGCCTGTTGTGCCCACACTCGGCCCGCCTGCGACGCTTGCGTTGGCACCCAGACCGCCTACCAGATTCGTGGCGTTGTTGAGCTGCACCAGATCCGGGAGCAGCGCCGCGTACGGGTCGGCCAGGCTGCTCATACCATACGGAGCGTCGTAGTCAATGGTGAACAGCGCCACCGAACTCTTGCAGCCGCTGTTCAGGACGGCCACCTTGCCCGGCAGGCTGCAGTCGCCGTTGATGCACATGTTGGTGCCGTCGTCGGCGAAATTGGCTGACCCAAAGAGACCGGTGTCGCTGTTGTAGACGGCCTTGCTCGTGAACGCGCCGTCGCCGGTCATGCGGGCGCGGACAAAGGGCGGGTTGACGCAGGAGTCGTCGTCAAAGCTCGAGATGAGGGGAAAGTTGATGCTGACGCCGTAGCCGTGCGGAAGGATTCGGCCGCCGCCGCCGCCGCTGCTGCTGCTGCTGTTGGACGACCCCAACGACGACCCCAATGGCTTTGCCTTGTCGATGAACGCCTGCGCAAGGCTGGCGGCAAGACGTCCCATGATGGTCGCCGGGTCTTGTAAACCGGCTTTCGTCGACGGCTGGATGTCGTAGTAGGCCGTTTGCGTGCCGTACGTGCCTGCAAACGCCAGTGCCGGGATGCCGCGCGCAATCGCCGTCTGTGTCGCGCCGAGCGTGCCCGAGATCCCGTACAAAAATGGGCCGACGTTGGGTCCGTAGTTGGGGCCCGCCAGCACCAGGTCGGGCACCGAAAAGTTGGCGTGCTTTGGCAGCACGTAGTCGAGCGCCACCAGCACCTGCGTGGCTGGCGAGCCGTTGTAGTACCATATGTGGTCGTCGTGGGGGTCGGTGCCAATCGACGGCGCGCCGCTTTTGACGATGCCAAACTCCGAGTCGCCTGTCAGCTTGGCGTCGTTGGCAAAGATGAGCCGGCTGCCCTGGCCGGACTGGTCGCTGGACGATGCGACAATGTAGCAGTTGTGCCCGAGCGCCGTCATGGCATAGTACATGGCACGAATGTTGGCCGTGCCGAAACCGTCGTCATTCTGGAATTATTAGCGAGGAAGAGGTGAAGCCGAACATAAACAAACATACTGTGATGAGGACATTGATGGCTCGGACGCTGGTGGCCAGCGCCAGGCTGGAGAGAAGAGATTTAGCCTTCATAGTGAGGTAGGTCGTTTGGCAGAAGTAAGTGGGCAGGAGGATGCTCAGGAGTTCTCCCAAACGACAGAACAATCGCGATATGAACCACAAATATGCCTTGTTTGCCTGTGAGTAACAGTCGTTGTTGCACGTTTGACGTAGATTGCAGTGCTGCAGATTGGCCTTTGATTTGTCGACTGAGTTGTGCCGCCTTGCCTGTCGACGGCTATTCCAGCACCGACAGCCGCATTGCAAATGAGGTGAGTTGACTGTTCCAGGAGTGAAAGGAAGATGCAGAAAAGAAAGGAAAAATGGTCTGCGATATCAGTTGGAGTGAACGCAATGAGACAACAAGCCGAGAAGAACGTAGACAAAACGCAGAAGAGGTCCAGATGCATCTACACAGCATGTGCCGCCTTCCCCTTTTCTGTCTGGCCCTGGCCTGTCCCGAATTTCCTATTTTGGCATGCAGGCCCAGGCTGTTCTTGCCTCTGCTCGCCGCTCATTCTCCTCTTGGCAATGTTTGTGCGGTACCTCCTTCCTGCTGGTCGTTTCTTTCTGCATCCAGCCTCATTTCTCTTTTGAGAACAAAATAAAATAAAAATATGTTCACGATATCTCAAATTGATTTATGCGCAACCTCGTCTCTGGTCGCGTCGAAAGAATTTGCAACAATGGCGACATCGCCGGCCCTTCCCAAGTCCCTGTCCATCCAACTGCACTAGCGATTTAAGGATGAGAATCTATTCTGTACACTCTCAGACCATTCCCTAGAGTCCTGCCTTGGCGACCTTTCCCACTTCGACGTACGCAAACAAAATATTCGCTACATTCGACCATGAGCTCTGATTACCATCATGATGCCGCTGTCGGTGCCTCTCGCACACCGCCCGACGCTGCAGCCACCGTCTTGTTCTCGTGCCGGTGGTCGATCCCGGCCAGCACCTCCTTCTCTTGGTGCACGGCCACGTGGTTGTTGAGCAGGTGGCTCGGATCACGCACAAACCACGCGCAGCCGAGCGCCAGCACGCCAAACGGCACCATGGCGTAGAACACGAGACGGAAGGCACTGGCGTACGTGTTGCGGAACGCTGCGGCTGTTGCGGCCTTGACGGCATCGCTGACGCCACCAGGAACGGTGTCAAAGGCATGCGGCACGCCGACGGCATTCTCAATGACGGCCGGCACAAGCGCGTTGAGACTGCCGGCCGCGGCCGAGGCGTTGAAGCCGGCGCCCAGCGCGGCGGCCACAATGTTGGCACCCAGATTGCGGTTGACGGCACTGTTCATAATGGTGCTGAACACGGCGTTGCCGACAGACCCACCGGCACTGCGGAAGGTGCCCAGCAAGCCGGCCGACAGGCCCAGCTCCTCGACGGGCACAAAGAGGCCCGACGCCACGTACGCCAGACTGGTCACCCACGTGAAGCAGCTCTGCCCAAACAGCTGCATGGCCGACCAGGCGGCCTTGTTGGTGGGCACGACAGCAGCGTACGCGCCGGAAAAGACGGTCTGGATCACGAGCGCCAGCAGGATTTGGACGCGCACGTGCTTGATGCGGTGCACGAGCGACGGCAGGATCCAGCCGCCGAGCACGCCCGAGAAGTTGGCGGGGATCATGGTGATGCCAATGTCAATGGGGTCGTTGGTGAACATGTACAGCGTGCCCTGGGGCCCGAGGGTGACGATGGCCTGCCAGATCATGCCGCTGACAAACAGGATGACGAGGTGGACGGTGAACTCGCGAAACAGCGCAAACAGGTGCCGGGGGAAGATGGGGTTGCGCGGGATGGACGAAAAGTCGTACGCGAAGCAGCCGGCAAACACGAGGGCGCCGACCACGATGGTGGCCGCCACCATGGGCACGGAGTAGTCGCTGCGGCCAAGGTACGTGATGCCGACGAGGAAGATGGTCAGCCCGGCGGCGAACAGGAGCAGCCCGACAAAGTCGAGCTCGCGGAACTCGTCCCAGCGCGACTTGTCGTAGTCGTGCTGCGGCCGCGACGGCGGGTAGTAAAAGTACGCCGTGCCGGCCGTCACAAACACGCTGTAGATGACGACGATGTAGAAGCACCACCGCCACGACGCGTGCACATACAGCTGCGTGCCCAGGTATACGCTGAGCGCGCCCCAGGGGATGTTGATGCAGAACTCGGTCCACCCAATGCCCGCGCCGCGGTACTTGTTGGGCAGCAGCTCCTGGATGCCCGGGTAACTGACAAAGATGACGCCGGCGCCAAAGCCGATGATGGTGGCGCCGGCCGCCACCGTCGTCGTCGCGTTCGCCGTGCTGCCGACGATGCCGCCCACGAGCGTCAGCAGCTGTCCAAAGAGCAGCACGTACCGCCGCCCAAAAATGTCGCTGAGGCCGCCGGCAATCGAAAACGAAACGGCCGACGCCACCGACCAGCCGCCGGGGATCCACAGGATGTTGTCCGTGTCGCCGAGCGTCTGGCCGATTTGCTGGAGGATGCCCGTCGGGAGCAGGAGGCCGGCACTGATGCACGGGACGTACGACATGCCCATGAACTGGGCGGTCAGCGACGAGCGTATGTCTGGAGAAAATCACGAAAAAAAGGACACTTACAAAGACAGCCATCAAGGTCGACCAGGACACGGTCTCTTCGGCGTCGTCATCGATGGTCGCCACAGGCCTGCTGGCCTCGGCATCTGGCGACGGACTGTCTGCCAGTGCCGGGTGCTCCAGATTGGTCGTCGCCACCTGGTGGACGCTATTCTTCTCGTCGTCGGTGGCCATTGTGGACGCTGGGCAAGGAAAGCTACGATTCGAAAATGTCTGAATGTAAATGGGTGGATATCCGACTGTCTTGTGAAAGGTTCACTCTACAGCCATCACTGTCACCTTGAGAAAGAGCATATGACAGGAACGGGGACGCGTGGAGACGGGCTCTTTTTGATTTTCTTTCAAAAGTCCTCCCGGTCTGGCCACTCGTTCCTTAATCAATCGTCCGCACCCTGGCTGACCTGGTCCTGTTTCGGTACGAACGAGCCGGCATGCGACGTGAATTAACCGGCACTTGTACCTATGCACTGCGAATTGAGAGACGTCTATAATAAACCAGCCAACACCAGCCAACAGAGCATCTTATCCAATAGACCCGGCGATCGTACAATTGCGGCACAGCATCGCACCAGGGGAAGTTGGGGAGAAGGGGCATGGAGGACGAATGGGGGAGAACGAGAAAAAAAAGGTCAACGGAAGCGATCGTGGACTCTGCGACATAGTTCTCGGAGGAGACCAAGAGGCAAACATTGCACTTTCGATGACCTATTTGCCAACTGGCAGACGCCACCGAATTGGCCAAGACTCTAGAAGACTGGATCACAGAGCCTCACATTCTGGCCGGCGGACGAGCTTTGCAATCGAGTTTCACCACGTCGCCATCTAGCCGTGGATATAGATGCTTGACGTTGCCGTCTCTGCATGGAACCTGCGTCGCACGGCACAAAGGAACTTGTGCGGTTGGCAATCTTGGGCCGTCGTGGTTGGAAGATCCTTCGAGACGGCTGTAAAATGGACCAACAGGGAAATTGACGGAGGAAATGAGGAGACGACAATATGGAAGGATAAGAGAAAGAGGAGCATAGACTACGCGTGTAAGTCAGTCGGACCATTTTTTCCTTTGCTACAGTGCACATGCATTGGACGCTTGTTTTGCACTGACAACAGCATCTGCGTCTTCGCAATTGTGTCTAGAGACGAAACGGAGAGCTTGAGAACAGAAAAGCATGTTTGGTATTTTACCATGGCTTTACTGTTATGCTCGCAACGATGCGACGGCTGTTGAGAGGATGACGGGGTCTCGGCCGTAGGCCCGCTGTTCCCAGGATTCTCCTCGTAGTGGATAACAGCGTTGCAGTCGCTAGCATTCGGCAGACCCCCCTCCACAAACGAGATGTGCCCCTCACGGCTGTCCCGGACCATCACACAAAAACCGCTGCCCGCACTGGCTGATACCATGTTCACGCCCACGACGGTTCCGCCGGCACCGCTGCCGAGGCCACAACTCAAGGAGCTGCGTCCTGGCCTGGCGTTGCTGCCGCCGTTGTCGCGGCGGGGAACGGGACCAGGACTCATCGTTGTCTGCCCGGCGACGGCCGATCCGCTGGCGATTGTCGACGGCGTGCCGTGGCCGCTCGTCAAATGGGCCGAAGAGAGCTACACGGTCGTGCATGTGCAGCCGCAGGCCTTGGAGGGGGGTGCAGACAGGGCCGTCCAGGACGCGCTGGCGGCACTGTCCCGCAGCGACGAGTGCACGCCCAAAGGCAACGTCGGCATTGTTGGTTAGCACGGCCTACCGAGACGTTCTCATTGCCAATGCCCTAGTCGTCATGTCCATGTTGCTAACGGAGAACAGTGTATGGGGCCGCGTTGTGGAACGACCTGGCTGCGGCCATCCCCGCTAGCGAGATCGCTGCAGCAGTTGTCTATGCCGGTGCCTCGGAAGCCGATGCACTCGCCCCGTCGTCCGTTCGCATTCTGCACCATCTCGGCGGACGCAGTCCCAGTGTCGGCCGCACGCTCGAGCGCACCGCCGACCGCACACGCTACTGGTACCCTGCCGTGTCCTCTGGCAGCTTTGCCGTCCCCATGCAGCCCGCCTTCCACGCCGCCACCGAAGCCGTCGCCCACACCCGCAGCCTCGCGTTCCTGAAGCCGCTGATGGGCGGGCCCTACTTTGACCTCGAACTGCTCTGGGACGAGCACACCTACTACGAGTTTGGCGACCGCTCCGTCGCGCACACCATGGCCACCATGGTACAGGAGCCGTACGTCAACCACGTGCCCACGCTGACGGGCGGCATCGGCCGTGCGTCCCTGTCGGCCTTTTACCGCGACCACTTTATCTTCTGCAACAGCCCCGACACCGCCCTCGAGCTGATCAGCCGCACCGTCGGCGTCGACCGCGTCGTCGACGAGTTCTTGTACACGTTTACGCACGACCGCGTCGTGGACTGGATGCTGCCCGGGGTGCCGCCGACGGGCCGCCGGGTGGAAGCGCCCTTTACGGCGGTCGTGAATATCCGTGGCGACCGGCTGTACCACGAGCACATTGCATGGGACCAGGGCACCGTGCTGGCACAGCTGGGCCTGTTGCCCGCGTATCTGCCGTTTCCATACCCCGTTGCAGGTGCGCCGGCCGACCAAAAGCTTGACTATCGGCTGCCTGTGGCCGGCATTGCGACGGCGAACAAGCTGCGAGACAAGAACGCCGAGCCCTCCAACCAATTGTTTGGCTTCACCGTACGCGTAGCCGATGAGGGACGTGATGCGACGAAGTAATGTACGTCGTATAGCATACATTTGAATACTCTGTTGATTGTAAAAGTTGTGTGGCCGTGACGTCTGCAGCCAATTGTACAATTGCACACCATGTTTTAGTGGGTCCACGCCTTAGAGCTCCCTGGAGCTTAGCACGCGTAGTGGGGTGATCGAACGACAAATCGCGACGGCACTTTCTTGGCGCGCCATTCACCGGGCCGTATCTCATCTCTTTTCTTCGTTTCGACAACCACGTCTACATACGCAATGGCCAATGCACTACCAACACCAGGATCTGGCGAACGCGCCGTCCGTGGCGCGTTTGTCGTCCTCGAGGGACTGGACCGCAGCGGCAAGACGACGCAGGTCGAGCTGCTGGCGAAGCGCTTGAGGGCAGAAGGACGCGACGTTGAGGTGATGCGGTTTCCGGGTGAGTCTCGTTCGATGCGATGCGATGCGATCCTTTGTCACTAACCCCGCCACCAGACCGCACAACCCCCATCGGCCAGATGATCGACGCCTACCTCAAAAGCCAGGCCGCCATGGACGACCACGTCATCCACCTGCTCTTCTCGGCCAACCGCTGGGAGGCCGTCGCCAAGATTGCGGGCCTGCTGGCAAAGGGCACGACCGTCGTCTGCGACCGCTACTACTACAGCGGCATGGTCTACTCGGCCGCCAAGCACAACCCGGCGCTGACGCTGCCCTGGGCGCGGGCGCCCGAAGTCGGCCTGCCGCGGCCGGACCTCGTCGTCTTCTTGGACCTGACCGAGGACGAGGCCAAGAAGCGCGGCGGCTGGGGCGACGAGATTTACGAAAAGGCCGCGATGCAGAGCAACGTGCGCCAGCTGTTTTGGGGCCTGAGCCTGGGCCGCATCGACCCGGACACCGGCGCCGCCGTCGACAACGACCGCCCGTCGACGCGGCAGCTCGTCTTCCGCGAGGAGGAAGAGGACCTGTACGTGACGGACGCGTCGACGACGGTGGACGCGGTGGCCGATGCCGTGTGGACGGTGGCCAGCAAGCGCATTGCGGCCGTCGAGCGCGGCGAGCTGGGACGGACGGTGCGACGGGTGACATGACGGCGTAACATGAGATGACATGAGATGACACGAGATGACACGGATGACACGAGATGATACGACACCACACAAGCGATGGTGTAAAAATACAATCATGATGGGACGCTTCCAAGTGAAGCAAAAATGGTACAGATTTGTACAAAATCGTACGAGTGATGATAAACCAAATGCTCCTCCAATGCCGTGTTGAGCCAACAGAATCCGAATGAAGAGAAGAACGAAGAACGCCGAAACAAAATGCACAGAATGCCTGCCCCTGTGCGACAGGGCTGCGGAACGTGTCTTGTTGAATACACGTCGTCAACTGGGTGACCCATCCTTGCCGTCTTGGCTGATGGCCGTTTTGCACAAATGTGGAAGAAGAAGGAAAGAAAGAAGAAGAGGAAAAGTGACAAAAAAAAAAAAACGTTACAGCAGCCTGTCCGACCGCAGTTTGGTGCGCTAATGGCGGTTCACGCCGACCAGGCTCAAAAACTCGTTGCGCGTCTTCTCCTTGCGCTCAAAGCAGCCCAGCACGCAGCTTGTAATCGTCGTCGCGCTCGTCTTTTGCACGCCGCGCATCACCATGCACAGGTGGCTCGACTCCATGACGACGGCGACGCCCTGCGGCTGCAGAATCTCCATGATGGCGTTGGCCACGTCCTTGGTCAGGCGCTCCTGGATCTGCAGCCGGCGGCTGAACATTTCGGCAATGCGCGGCAGCTTGGAGATGCCAATGACGGAGTGGAAGGGGATGTAGCCAATGTGCATCTTGCCGGTGAAGGGCACCATGTGGTGCTCGCACAGGCTGTACACCTCAATGTCCTTGACAATCACCATCTCGTTGTGGCCCTCGTGGAAGATGGCGCCGTTCACCACCTCCCGCACGTTCTGCTGGTACCCCTGCGTAAAGTCCAGCAGCGCCTTGGCGTACCGGTCCGGCGTCCCCAGCAGCCCCGCCCGCTCCGGGTCCTCGCCCACGCACTCCAGGATCGTGCGCACCGCCCCGCGCATCTTGTCGAGCCGCACCGCCCGCTCCTCGTCGTTCTCCTCGAGACGCGCGCGCGTGCCCTTGCTGGGCCGGCTGAGGCCGTCAAAGTCGATGAACGGGCTCGGCGAGCGGGTCACGGCCGCACTCGGGGGCTGCGACGGCGGCTGCGACAGCGACGCTTTGCCTCGTCCACTCGTCGGGCTCGGCGTCCGCACCGACGCCTTGGCGCTCGTGCTGCTCTCGGGCTCGTCGCGCGGGTCGCGCGCCGCCTTGCTCAGGCTGTGCCGGCGCTTGGCCGCCCGCCGGATCGCCGAGGATGCCTTGTTCCGGCGCCGCTTGCCCGCACCGTTCGTGCCCGCCTTGGCCTCGTCATTGTTGGTCGGCGTCGTGGTCCCCGCCGCGGCGGCCGTCTTGTCCTTGTCGCCGTTGACATGGGGCAGCGGCATGGCTACATCGGTTGCTTCGTTGGCGGCCATGGTTGTGGGTGGTAAAGGAGGAGGAGGAGGAGAGGGGGGGGGGGGGGCAGGAGACGGAGACGGAGCAAACGAGGATTGGCCGAAACGCGGATGAAAGCGGAGGAAGCGACTTCGCTCCTAGTGCAACAAAATGTTGCGTTTCAGAGGGAAAGAACGCAAATTGTCATCAGCTTTGCGCTTTCCTTGCATGGTCTGGTGAGTCAGACGGTGTAAGACGGAGCAAAACAGGAAGGCGTGAAACTTTTCTTTTTTCTCTACCAATGTCACGAACTGCTCTACGCAGTAGTTTAGCGAAACAACCCGGCCGAACAAGGTCAATTTATGTCTTTCTTTTTTTTTCTCTTTATTAAACTATTTTTTTTTCTTCCTGACTTGCTCCATTGCGGGCCAAGTGGCGTAGGACTTATCTCGTCCGCCGGTGTCGCCGCCAATTTTGCAGTGGTTTTGACGTCAGGCTGTGGCTTGCTCCCACGTGCAAGCGTCCATGAGGCGGTGCTAGGGCCCGCTTTTATTGTTCGGTGCTGCATGGGCCTAACGCGCGCCAGCAACGCTGTCACGGTTGGCTGTAGCGAACTGTCCAGGAGCTCGTTGTTATTTGAGCTTTGCTTCATCACCGTCGTCTTCAAGACAATTTACCCAGCGCTTTCCGACATCCCCCCCGCCGGCATCGATACCCGTCTCTTTCATCGCGGATGACAATGGCGTCACCGTTCTCGTCACCATCCTTCAACATCGGCATAAAGAAGCGCACCGCCAGCGATGTCGCTCCTCAGTCGCCCGCCCTGAAGCGCCGCAAGGCCGCCAACATCTCCGCCGCCTCGTTTTCCGCCGTCTCCCATCCGCTGCGCCAAACATCCTTTCCTCCTGAAGACGCGTCTACGCCCTTTTCAGCGCGCTCGCCGTCCGTCGACTTTGACAATGCCAGCCTCGTCAGTGGCGGGCCCAGCTCCGTGGCCGGCGGAACGGCCGCCACGACGGCGAAGAAGAAGCGCGGCCGCAAATCCAAAGCCGACAAGCTGCGCGAGCAGACGCCGAGCGTTGTGGGCGCGGGCGGCGGGCAGGGCGCGACGGCGGCGAGTGCAGTGAGCGGCACGAGCGGGGCCAACGGCGGCGGGCCCAAGAGCAGCACGGGCGCGCCGGGAGACGGCACGGCAGCCGCGGGCGACGACGACGACAACGACGGCGGCGATGGCGGCGACGGCGACATGCCCGACTCGGGGGCGGCGACGGCCAAGCGCACAGACGAAGAACGCAAAGAGGAAAAGCGGCTGCGCGCCGCGCTCGTGGCGTGCATGGACAGCGACCAGTACGAGCGCATCTCGGCCTGGCGCGCGGCCAAGCTGCCGGACGCCGTCATCCGCCGCCTCGTCAACGCCACCGTCTCGCAGTCGGTGCCCTCGTCGGTCGTGACGGCGGTGCGGTCCGTCACCAAGTACTTTTTGACCGACCTCATCACGCGCGCCCAGACCGTCCAGGACGAGTGGATTGCCGCCGGCCACGAGCCCCAGACGGACGACGGCCGGCCGTGGCCGGGCATGGTGCTGGCGCGCGGCGAGCCCGAGGTGGCCGCGCTCTACGAAAAGCAGGCGTCGCTGGCCATCCCCGAGTGGGAACCCGAGTCGGCCGATCACATCCTGCGGGAGCCGCCCAAGGGCCCGCTGCGCCCGGACCATCTGCGGGAGGCGTGGCGGCGCTACAAGGTGTCGGTGCAGAGCAAGACGGCGGGCGCGCTGGACCTCTGGCACGCGCAGCAGGGGACCGGCGTCGAACGGTTTCCGGCGCGCACGGGCGGCAAGCGGCTGTTCAAGTGAGGGCCACAGGTGCGACGGACGGGACCGACGCGTCCATCTACTGCCTGTTTTCTAGTCAATCCATGACGACGACGGCGAGAACACGGCCAGCGACGAACAGGTCTCGTCTTATCATTACGCTACCCGATCAAAGACACCCAAACCATTGTTGGTTACGACCAGCCTCTTCTCGATTCTCGATACGAATGGCCATATGGGTGTTCTCAGGACACTGCATTTTCATCGCGGTCGTCTTTTCACCGCAGGTCACCCGAGCGGTTTGTTTGAATAGCCCGGCAACTTCATGGCCTCGCAGATTTGGGTCTCTCGTTTTGGCAGGGGTGCTGGTTTCAGACGAACCGATAGCCAGAATTACACTGCCAGTGGACCGCTCCAGAAATCGGGATTTCGCTGCAGGTTTGCTCTCACACAGGCAACAGAATGCGGCGGCTATGTTATGCAGCACAAACAGCAGATCCTGCACCCAGCACAGCGCGCAGTAGCTCGGAAGCGACCTGCAGAAGCACTCCGTGGGGGACAGCATGTGTTTGGCTGGATGAGTTTGGCTGGATGAGTTTGGGAGCCACTATCATTGGCCAGGCTTTCCGTGGAATTCGTCAGCCGATCGCAAGCTGCCAAAGTTGCGAAATCTCCCAGACTTGCATCTTTGTGTTGTTCGCCAATACGAGGCGGGTTCTCTGGCTGCATTACTTGTACTGCAGATATCCATGCTGTCCAAGCAGCAGCACGTCAGACAATATAATTTCAGCTTTTACACCATTTTTACACCATTGTGATCTAATTGTTTGCATTCTTTGGCCCTTTGATTAACAGAACTTTGTCGAATCCTGTCCCGTGTCTCTCGCAACGGCGTATCTCCAATATTCCAGCCTCTCGACCCGTTGGTTCCATTGTTTTCTTCTCAGTTTTGCACCTCTCGGTCGTCCGTGCGGAATCGCTTGACCCCCGTCAGCCATGCCGTGTCCACTAAACAGCAGATCTGCTCCGTTGCTCATTGTCCCAGACAATTGGGAAACCGTTGTTTGTCTACACGATCTCAGGCTCCATTTCTGATGCTGGCCCATCGTAGTCCACCCACTGGCTGGCCGCATGATACCCACAGGAGCTTCCTGGCAAGACCTTGCATTCATAAATAATTTTCGCTCAGAGCTTGCTTTCTTCTCTCTGACCTTTTTCTTACAGAAACATTTGCCTTTTTAGCTGCATTTTGTTCATTCCCATCCGACATTAGGTGTCTGCAATTTACTTGCTCATTTGCTCAATCGTCCCCTCAGCCTTGTCACTCGGCCCCCATGCAAACACCCCCACGAAAGAAAAGACGCACATAAAATACGTAAAATAATCCAGAAAAGACAATGGCCGAGCCATTCAACACGCCCGTGCCTGGCGCAACGCCTGTGCCAGGCGCGACGCCGGTCTACGGCACGCCGGTTCCGGGCACCACACCGCGATCCACGACGCCCGAGATCGAACGCGCCGCCCGCCCCATCGTCCTCCACATCGGCGACGAGGTCCGCTATAACCCGGCGACGTACGTCGAGTTCGCCCGCAAGTTCGACATTATACGGCCCAGCCTCGCCGAGCGCCAGCGACCCGTCTTTGCCCAGGCCTTGCGCGAGGGCCGCTGGGGGCAGTTTGCGGCCATCTTCCGGCCGTTCTGGGGAAGTGGCGGTGAGATGGGCGCATGGGACGAGGACCTGGTGGCGCTGCTGCCCGCCAGCTGCAGGGTGTTTGCTAGTGCCGGCGCAGGGTTCGACTGGGCCGACACCAAGGCTCTAGGCGCTCGGGGTGAGTTACTGTGCTGCACCAGCACGCAGGCAAATGGCGTGGCAGCGTCAGTACGGACGTGAGACACACCGTGACAGCTAACACGGCGTCCGCACAGGCGTCATTTATTGCAACTCTGGGCTGGCGGCCGCCGAGGCCGTGTCCGACTTTGCCGTGGCCATGGTGATTTCGACGTTCCGCCACCTGGCCTGGTGCATCGGCGCGGCCACCCTGGCCGACCCGGCCCTGCGAAGCACCGCCTTTGCGGCCAGCCACAGCCGGGCCACGGCCCAGTCGCACAACCTCCGCGGCCACGTCCTCGGCCTCGTCGGCATGGGCAACATTGGCCAGAGCATCGCCGCCAAGCTCGGCTGCGTCGCGTTCGGCATGCAGATCCACTACTACGACATCGTCCGCAAGCCGGCCGCGCTCGAGCAGGAGCTGCGCGCGACCTACCATGCGTCGCTGCCGGACCTGCTGGCGGTGGCCGACTGCGTCGTCCTCTGCACGCCCGCCGCGGCCGACGGCTCGCCGCTCATCGACAAGGCGGCGCTCGCCCAGATGAAGCCCGGCGCCCGGTTTGTCAACGTGGCCCGGGGCTCGCTCGTCGACGAGGAGGCGCTGGCCGACGCTCTGGAGGACGAGGCGGGCGGGCTCGCGGCGGCCGCCCTCGACGTCCACGCCACCGAGCCGCACGTCCACCCTCGGCTCCTGCAGCTGGCCACGCTGTCGGCCACCGCGTCGACGCCCATCCCGGCGCGCGTCATGCTGACCTGCCACAATGCGGGCGGCACCGTGGAGACGCACATTGGCTTCGAGGAGCTGAGCATGCGCAACATTATGGCAGTTCTGGACGGCGGCCAGGCCATTACCCCGGTGAACCTGCACTACCTGAAGTGAGAGTACAATGGAGGGCGGAGCGAATAGACTAGACTTGGTGTAGACTTCGAGGGGGGTAGCATTGCGAGTGTTTTTTAATTCATTTTATGTCGTCATTTTTTTTATTTACATATGATTTTGATAAATAATAGATGCATGTTTTTTTGTTTTGCTTTTTATTGTGAAAAGAAGTCAATTTTTTTTTTTTGCACCTTTTTGTTTAAAAAATTTTTTCAAAATAAATAAAAATACGCCCTTAAAATTACACTTACATGACTCTACACATTGCATTTAATACATATTGTCAGAAATGCTCATCTTCTACGTCAGTCCTCTTTCTTTTCACTCTTCGTCGAAGAAATACCCGTCTATCTAGACAGTCCTGCAACTCTTGTTTTTATCCCCAGCATCTGAAACAGACTCGCACACTGTCGATACTTGTTTTGTCGCTGACTTGCCACGGTCGACTGGCGAGTCCGGCGATCAAACGCCACCGGCACAAGGCACACGGCAGCGCAACTCCCTCTTTTCTCCGTGCATCCGACTCGACTTCCACTTTCCACGCCGTTTTGCTACATCACCGCAAATTCAGCCTTTACTGTGCCCCAACCCTTGATCGTGCGACTGTTTCGCAACCTTCGCTTCCCCACTCTTCACTCTTCATCCAGAGTACTTTTGCCAGCCGTCAACCCTTGCGGCCGTGTCCTCCCGAATCGCCACGACGGTGTCAACCGTAAACCGTCTGTCGTAATCGTCTCCTGCCAAGGATCGGCTTCGTCCCAACTCTGTAGCAGAAGTTGGAGAGGCACTGTCTGCGCTTGATCGGATCGCCCATCGGTTTGACTTGTCAGGGGTGTTCTTTTGGACAGGTCCGAATGGGATGCAATGCACAAGGATGCACGATCAGGCATGCGGCGGGTGGAAAGATTGCTCTGCCGCTCCCTGGTTTGAAGATTGTGAAGAGGAAGAGGAAAAGAAGGGACAGAGACTGAGAGGGAGAGAGTGAAGAGAGAGCGCCAGACGGTATATAAGAACGGCCATGGCCTTGATCACGACACCGGCGTGTATTCTTGCCTCTTTTCCTCTCAAACAAAACCAATCCTACTCTGCAATCACACCCACACTCTAACTACCTACGAAGAAATTCCTTCTCGAGTCAACACTCCACCTCGCACAGCCACCAGCAACAAAAATGTACACCTCCACCATCCTCGCCACTCTCCTCGCAGCTGCGACCGCCCACGCGGCCATCCTGGACCTGCGCGCCGCCGCCGACTTTGGCAAATGCAACCCGTCCATGGACTTCCAGCTGGGCCGCCCCGGCCGCAAGCCCGACGAGGGCACCTTCTTGCCGACGGACCCGCTGGTCGCCAAGGGCCAGCAGGACGCGCTCAACCCCAACATCATCACCAACGCCATCTGCAACCAGCTGACCAACGTGTGTGACGCGAACCAGGCGGCCAAGGACGTGTGCACGCAGGCCAAGGCGGTGGTGTCGGGCCTGGGTACCAAGGATGCAAGCACAGCGGCGGCCTTCAACAAGGCGCTGGGCTTGTAAAGGAACGACGGGGAGTGCGTCAAACCGGATTAATGGGACATTAGGACAATAAGGGGTAAAGGGCGGGATAGGGATATAGCGATGCATCAAAAACTTTTTTTTTTGAAACTGAACAACACATTGGTAAAAGGGACGCCGTAGACAAGCGCCAGACAGACTCGTAAAATGGCTCGCACATGATAAGTCTCGAGGACGTCACAGAAAAAGAAAAACTGTGGCAGATTCGTAATTGTACATGGGAAAGTACATAGCAACACACGCTTCCACAAAGTAAAACACAACAACGCCACGACTGGCCTTTCGTACACACATGTTCCGGTTTAATACCCGTCCATCTTGACGCGGAAGAGGTAGCGCAGGCGGATCTGGTTTACATCGTAGACGATATACTCGTTGTAGTACAGGCTTGCGTTTGGCACATTGGTGTCGGTCGGCGGCGAGCTGACGTCGGGCTGGAGACCAGGTTAGCACGGGAACACAGCAGGACGTCCATAAACACACGCATGTAGCCAAGCAGTCCACTCACCATCTGCACACCCGCCAGGTCCTTGTGCACGGCACTCGCGTCCTTCCACGCCGGCGGCGCGGTGCGGCCTTGGCCCAGCGTCGCAAAGAGACCGCTGGCCTTGGCGTCCCCGCCCGCCGTGTACGACGCATCCGTCAACTTTTGCAGCGGGTCGCCCAGCTTGGCCTCGCACAGGAGAAGGAGTCCCGTGCCTTTCGAGATGAACGACGCGCAGTAGCCGGCCGACTTGGACGACATGTCCGCCAAATAAATGCCCTTGCCAAACATGTAGCCAGACACGGGCGCCTCGGGCGGCGCAATGCGCAGACCCTGGCCCAGGATACCACCAAAGTTGGTGACGCGCGAGCCGTGCCACAGCAGACGCGTGTCGGCGTCTTTGGCGGCCGACGACGAAACGTGGCAGGCCTCGAAGCGGGCCTTCTCGCCCTTGCGCTCGATGCGGAAGATGTCCTCGATCTCGTACTGGATATTGTGCGTCTGGCCCGTGGTGGAGTTGAGGTAGTTGGCCAGCTCAACAAACTCGCTGCTGTTGCGGTCGAGCGGCGTGACCTCCTCCAGGCCGAGGTTGTTGTATAGCTTGTCGGTCGGGTGGGTGGAGCGGTCCTCGGACGACCGGGCCTTGTCGACCTTCATGAGCAGCTCGGCGTCCTTCATGTCGCTCAGACTCTCGAGCAGCTCAATCTCCTTCTTGAGAAGCGTGTTGTCCGCAACCACGGGCGGCCGGTGCCTGCCAAAGTCGTGGGGGATGACGCTGTAGTACAGGTTGGACAAGCTCTCGACGGCGTTCGGGTACGTCATGTGGTATTCGGTCGCGGCCAGCGATTGGTCGTCCAGCAACGCCGACAAATTCTTCAACGCCTGGAAACCACGTGTGAGGGTGGTCTTGCTCAGCTTGCCGAGCGGCAGCTTGTTGGCGTCGTAGTTGAAATTGGACATGGTGGCAGCGAAGAACTGGCGGTTGAAAATGAGCTCCATGAGGCGTTCGACAGGCGGCGCCAACGTGCAGTCGGCGACCTTCACTTCCTCTTCCTCTTCCCGTTTCACCCCGCGGCGCGATGCGACCTTGTCCGGTGCGTCACCCGACTCGTCATCGCTGTCCGGCTCGTAGTTGCGCTCCACGTACGCATACTTGCCAGGCCGCGGGTCGTCGCCACGCCGCTCCCAGGCAAGACCCGACTTGTCGCGGAACTTCTTATTGAAGTTCTTCAGGGCGTCGTCGAAGCTACCGCCGCCCAGCATGGTGTACTGGCCGACATCGCCGACGCGGCCCCAGCGCGTCCACGTGTAGAACTTGCCCGCCGTGGCGCGCAGGAGCTGGATGCGGTAGAACTTGTTGTTATTGTTGCCCGAGTTGGTCTGGTTGAGAGAGGCGTCCCACACAAGACCATCATCGTCAATGTAGACGGCCACCACATTGGGCATTCTGCAGAACCTGTCGACGGGCACAGATAGTACAGGCGCGGCCTTGGTGTCCGCTTTCACGTCCGTTGTGTCCTGCGTTGTGTCCTGCTTTGTATCCTGCTTCTGGCGCTTCGCATCCGGTGGAGCAGCCACTGCCGCGTTCGCGCCATTGGTACCATTGTTACCATTGGTGCCGTTGGCCGTAGTAGCGGCCGGAGCGGCTCTCTTTTGGCCCTTGGCAGCCGGAGCAGGATGAGGAGACGGTGGCGCCGCTACCGGTGGAGCTGCCAATAAATACGGCGTCTCGTCTTTCTTGGCATTCGATGAGACACAGTCGAGGAGCCATTGCACGCCGACAATGGGAATGTCGAGCTTCTTGGCAGCCGTGACCTTGGCCGTGGGCTTATTGAAGTTGGTGGTCGATGCAATGAGCTGCGTGGCATCCGGCGTGACGGAGTCAAGCGGAGTGGCGCCGAGCACTTCAATGTGTTTCTTGAGCACAGCTTGGTTCACCTTGGGGAACGTGCCGCACAGAGCAATCTTACAGCCGGCAAGAGGCTGCACGGGTTTTCTGCGAGGAGGCATTGCAAATGTGGTGGGAGCGATGGAATGAAAGTATTAAGGGCAGTAGATGGGATGAAGCAATGGAGCTTTTGTGTTTGTAGATAAAATAAGTGGGACGAGCTGGACGATGCAAGTAAGAAAGCGAGGACACGAGGAAACAAGAAGACAAAGGGAAGAGAGAGGCAGGAAGTGGGAACGGGGAGGGTTAAAAGAGAGGAAGAGAAACGTGAAGGGGAGGAAATGAGGGGGAAGACGAGGCAAAATGACGACGAGGATAGGATCCGATCAAGTTTGCAAGTCCAGCTTCAAGTCCAGCTCTCCGTCATCAAATGGCAGGAGCGAAGCTTAAACGACAAGCTAACGTCAACAAACAAATGACGGGTCCAGTAGGCCAGGCACAGCCTCCGCATGCTGGCCCGTCCGTCGTTTTTAGGGGAACAATTAGGGGATTTCGTCACTAGAACAGGAGGAGTGGCACACCATTGGCTTGGCGGCCGTTCTTGCCTGCAGAGTGGGAAAACGCGAGTGATACGGAAGGCAGGTTCACCCAAAGTGCAAAAGCGGCAAGTACGACAGGCGTAGCACCAGGCAGAACCAGGCAACGGGACCCACTCTCTCATCAAGTGCGAGGAAGGTGCAACTTGCACTGCTGACGCCGTTGGCCATTGCTCTCAGCTGCTGAAGGTTGAACAGAAACACGAGACTGGCGCCGGTTCACGTGGGCCGTTCAGGGGCCAGAGTGACGGACGATGGAGTGCAACAGGGGCGGGACTGCTCGCATGGTTGGCTGGGAGAAGGCAGCTGCCGCGATGCCGCGATCACACTGTTGGTGATGCTTCTGTTAAACATATCCGAATCGGGCGACCAGTGCGAGGCAAGCGTACGTGCAACGTAAGTTTCAATTAAAACAAGAAATTAGAAAGCAAACGACAAACGGCAGCACACTGCAGTTCCAGCGTGATTAAGATGAAATGGAAACATGAAGTAAAGGCACGAGACTCAAAAACGCCAAAAACTCGCAATCAAACTCAGGCAGCACACCGCCAACCCAATCATCTGCCTGTCGGCAGAGGCGGCACCGGCGGTAGTGCCGTGCCGTTTGTATTCGCATTCGCATTGCCATTTCCTTCGCCCTCGCCATCCTCGTCGTCGTCGTCGTCGTCCTCGGCCATGTCCTCAATCTCCTCCGAGTGGCCCAGGAACCGTGCCACATTGCGCATCTCGTAGTGCTTCTTGCGCATGGCCTCGAAGCGTAGGTGCTTCTCGCGCTCCTCGGCGTTCATGCCGGCCATGGGGTCGTCGCCGTCGTGCACGCTGCCGCCGCCGTACGCGCTGCCGTGCTCCGAGTCGTCGACCTGCACCTTGGTCGTGCGCGGCGGCGCCGGCGGAAACTCGCCGTCGGGCACCGCCTCTTCGGGCTCGCCCAGCGACAGGCCGGGGATGCTGCCTTCGCGGTCGGCAAAGTAGCCATTCGTCTTGTCGCCGTTTGCATCGGCCTCGTCGTCCGATGGATCCTCCGCCGGGTCGTAGTGCTTGGCATACGGCGTCTTGGGCTCGTCGATTTTCATCGTGGCGGTGCGCTCTTGCTCCGTCAGGTACAGATTGACCTCGTCCCACTTGAGGCGCTGCTCGTTCGGGTCGGCCTCGGTGACCTCGCCGCCATGGGCCGAGGGAGTGCGGCTCGACGGCCGGCGGGAGCCCAGGCGCGCAACAGACGACGAGCGGCGGTGGCCTGCGTTGACCTGGGTGTTGAGGATGGTGCGTTCCTTGTCGGTCAAGGGGTGGTCGGCGTCTTCAGTGGAGGGCAGAGGCGCGGCCGCGGAACGCGGGGACGTCGGCGGGGAGTGTTGATACGAGCGCTTGAGGATGCCTGCACAGATGGGCAGACAGTTAGGGACATTGGGTGACAAGGCATATCAGAAGACATGAAACAGGACTTGCTTGGGTTTACCTTTGGGCCGTTGAACGTTGGGTGGCGGCGGGGTGTGCGCAGGCCGCTCGCGCCCTGTGGTTGCTTCGTCGGCCATAGTATCGTGCAGAGAAGACACTGAGAATAGGTAGTCGTTGTGGTATGGTGTGCAGGCGATCGTCAGATGGCGTAGATGCCGTTCTTCGATGTGTCGTGTGCTGGACTTTGGAGACGAGGCACAGATTCAACCGGAGGGGAAACAGGTGAGGCTGGGGTCTTGTAGAACGAATGCACCTTCTGTTTTATCGTTAGCGGGGTTCAGAGGACCTGGCGTGCTGTGATTGGCTGGTGGGAGGTGCGCACGGGGAATTACATCATAGGCCAGTCGCTGCTGTTAGTGACCTAGTTTGTGCATGAGCGCTGTAATCTGGATCAAGTAAACAAACGCAAATCCAGACATGGCATATGACACTATGACACGATCTTTGAACACGCACTGTTTACTATCATCACATCCACCGCCACACCGACGGGCACGCGTTTGGCCGACATCTGGAAAGCACCCGCTGTGTAGAACCGGAGAAGTAGGGACGAAGTTCTCGCTCAAGTCAGCCAGATACACGGTCGGATACGGACTGCATGATTCTCGTCTTTCATTCACAGCAACGGCAGCTGCTCATCACCCCAGGCCGACCACATGCCATCGAGGCCAAAGTCAAGCATACCGCTGTTTAAGTCTAGTCCTAAATCAACACTGCCGCCACCAAACAATCTACCTGAAGGAGAACCGGACGAGGGCAATGCTGTCGACGTATTTGCAGTCTCAGCTCCAACACGGCCCGAGAAGGGAGTGTTGTTATTTAGAATGGTTCGGCCCGTATCGGCGGGAGAAGGAGATCCAGTTGCAACCCGCTGCGCTGTCCCCGCCTGTGTTCTGCCTCGAATGGTCTCGGCCTTGACCTTGAGCGCCGCCAAGACGGCGAATTTGGCGCCAAAGCCTGTCGCGGCACTCTCGTGACTGGCCACCGTCTGTGCCTCGTTCAACTCGTGTGCAAAGAGTGTGTCCAGCGCCGCCCAGGCGTCGTCCACATGCGGGCCGCGCGGTTGCTGACAGAGGTGCCACAGCACGTACATGACGATGTGATACTGTGGGAAGGCCTGGCGGGCCCAGGCGTATCGGAGGAGGAGACTGTCCTCGTGGAAGAGGCGCGGCTGGAGGATGGCCAGGGCTTCCACCAAATTGGCGTCGGTGGCCAGCTCGACGGCACTGCGACGGCCGACGAGCAACGCCCACTGCAGCCGGGACACAAAGTCGAGCTTGCGGAGGAGGAAGCGGCTGCAGGAAATGGTCATTTGCTGCTGGGGCAGCAGCGGGTTGCAGCGGGCGAGGCGCTGTTCCACATCGGCACGGAGATCGGCCATGATGCGGGCACGAGTGTCTTCCGACGACCGCTCGTCGTCACTGGTAGTTGCAGCAGCTGCCAACGCGGCCAGCCGCTGCGCCGTTCGATACAGCGCAATATGGATCAGCGAGAACGTCATGGCCGTCCAGCCGGCCTTTTCCTTGGGGAGAGTCGCCATGTCTGGCACCAGGTCGGCGTCGTCCACGTTCAACGGCAGCTGCACATCCGACTCGGCCAGCAGATTGCTCCCACTGCCCAGGGTCGCCATGTTGTCGAGGCCATAGTCCTCGCTCGCGCGCCCATCACGCGATAGCAGGTGCCACCATAGCCGGCGGCGGATCTCGGCCTCGAAGGGCGTCAGGGGACGCTGAGTGCTGCGCCGCAAACGTTGCCCGTCCCGGTGCAAGCCCAGCGACTGGGCCACCCGCACGGCCAGACCGTTAAGCACCCACAGGCCCTTTCCGCGATTGCAGAAACGCAAGGTGGCCAGGTAGATGGCGAGGGCATGCAGACCCGTGAGAGTGGGGCGGTCGAGAAAGTCGCCATGCGCCAGCGACTGCTCCAGGCCGAGTTTGAGCTTCTGGAGAAGGTCTGTTTTGCTGATGCCGAAGAGTCCATCACCGTTCAGTAGGAGAGTGTCCTCGCCGTCTTCCAACGACACCAGAGCAGCAAAGTATATGGCAAAGCAGAGGGCCAGGTCCTCGTACGACGCCGCACCCGGGTCGTGGATCACGGAAAAGACACGTACCTCGTCCGTAGGCACGTGCAGCAGTTTGAGCCCCGAACAGCCGTCGACTTTGTCGAGGTAGGTGTGCCAGAGGCGGATGGCCAGTGTCCTGGGGGGGTGCAGACTGGAGGGCAGCTGTGAAGGCGTCGGTGCTGATAGGATGCCCAGAGCACTGAATGGGGAGGGACAGGGCGAGACCGTGGTGCTGAACGAGCGGATGGTGGGACGATTATGAGAGGCCGGTGGTGCGGACAGGCTGTGGCCAATGCGACCGTCATCGTCGTCGCCGATGACGCGAGCCAGCAAGACCTCGTTGAAGTATTGAGTCGACGCGCCTCTCTCCACGAGGACGTCGACAGTGTGTCCAGGAGCGGCAGTCTCTCGCGTTGATGCGATTTGTGTTTGCCGGTGCGGTACATGGTTCCTTGCCGCGCGGCCAATGCTCTTTGGCACGCCCTTTTCCTTCAACTGCGCCTCTAGATCGGCAAGCCGCGACGCCATGGCGGCCATGATGGCCCCTTTTGTCCGCCGAACGCGAGGACCTGGCGGCGGGTACGCGCACGACCGCCCGGCGCGTATGCAGCGCTGGCATGGCTGCGCCTTGTCGCATCGAATCTTTTTGGCTTTGCAGGCGAGACAAGAGCGCGGACTGGCCCGTGTTTCGGCGATTGGTGGCGTACGACCTGCACCTGCGTCGGAGGCGGGTGTAAACGAAGCCGGCGATTGTGCGTGCGCGTGCAACTGGTCCATGCTGGTTGCGAGACAGAATCTTGGTCCCGAGCGCCCCGAGGCCTGCTGCGTCCGAAAGGGAGACTGCCTGCCTTTATTTCGTCAGAAGATCGTGGACAGCCTGAGCGCGGCATTAAAATGGGCGATTTTATCACCGAGGTCACCCTGGCACCGCAGGCCGTAGCTGGACGACGCTAGTTTCGGCCTTTTATTTTAAGGTTTTGGGCCCGAGGAGGCCTTGAGGAAGGTCCTGCCTGGTGTTAGTCGACGCATGACGTGTTGACAGACGATGTTGTGCGGCGTGTGTCTTTTGCGAGCATGTCAACTGCAAGTGAACAGACTCATTGGTACGAGTGTTTTGGGCGCATCCAACACTTTTGATATGATAGACTGTATTTACACCTCGAGAACATTATATACTGCTTAACTTAATACCCCAAAACAAGAAACTCGCAACTCGTCTCACCATCCCCATTGCTTCAGCCAGGTGGCCATGGCTGCACCGTCAATCGGCCCCAGACCGGCCATGGTGGCGCTGTTGGATGTTCCGCGACCCGTCTCGTAGGCGACGCGTGAACCCGCTGGCAGCGCCGCCTCGCCTGCTAAGCCGCGGTAGAAGTCCATTATCTTGAGGGCAGGAAGGGCCTCGAAGTCGGGCTCACCGGTCGTCTGGCTCTGGCCAGCCGCCTGGAGCGCCGTCAGCCATTCGTCAAAGGCGACGACCTGGATGCCGGGCCACGCTTTTTGCATCACGGCCACCAAGTCGTCCCATTGCCCGACGGCCGGGTTCACGAGGTTGTAGACGCCCGTGCTGCGCTGTGCGTAGTCGTGGTGCACGAGGTCGCGCACGATGGCGGCGAGGGCGTCCACGGGGATCCATTCGATGGTGTTCATGGCGCTGGGCAGACGGCCCAGCACCCGCGACGTGCGCACGAGACTCGGCAGCCACTCGGTCGGGTTCCACTGGCCGCCGTCGGCAGCGAGCGGCCCGGCCACCTGGCCGACGCGGAGCGTGGTGGCATGCAGGCCTGCGTTGGCAACGGCACGCGCCAGGATCTGTTCCGCCACGTGCTTGGACTCGCCGTAGCCCATGGCGAGGGCCACGCGAGGGTCGTCGAGGGGCGCCTCGGGGACGCTGGTCGGTGCCCGTGCATCGACGCCGGCACCGGCACCCTGGACGGCCGGCCAGTTGGCGACCGACGACAGCGAGGACACGTAGAAGATGTGCGGCTGCCGCTCCGAGGCCAGCGCGAAGTCGACGACGTGGCGCACGCCGCGAATGTGCGTGTCCTCGAACGAGGCGAGGCTGTGGTTGAAGTCGACCTTCCAGGCATTGTGGATGACGACGTCGACGGTGGCGCGGAGGCGGCGGAACGTCGGCGCGTCCAGGCCGAACTGGGGGTCGCCGAGGTCGACCGTCACGAATTCGGTGCGCTGCGGGTCGGCGAGGCTGTATGCCTTGCCGCGGCGGTCGAATGCGCGCTGCTGGCGGACCTGTGCGTCGTCGCTGCGGTTCAGGCAGTAGATCTTGGCGACGGCGCGGTCGTTGAGGAGCGCCTCGAGGATGTGGGTGCTGTGCAAGGGCAAGGGTTAGCAAATGAAAACGTAGTTGCAACGTGTGGGACATGACGTACCCCAGCGAGCCAGTCGACCCGGTAATGGCGACCGTCAACGACGCTGCACGACGCGTGTTCACATTGGGCAGGCCGGCCGTGTACTTGTCGACGAGCGCCTTCATGGCGCGGACGCGTGGCGTGTCGTCGCCTTCGGTCGGCGACAGAGGCAGCTGCGGATCGGAAGCGACCGGGCCAGACAGCGCCGCATGGAGGTACTCGGCCAGCTGGCGGATAGACGGATGGGCGTATACGCTGCGGGTGGATACGGGGTCGGGTGTGCCCTCCTTGCGATGGGGTGCCAGGGCCCGTCGGAGTATTTTGGTCAGCTCGAGCGTCTGCAGCGAGTCGAGGCCGCGCGCAAAGACGTCGTCGTCGTCGGCGAGCGGTGCCGCCGTCGTGGGGAACAGGCCGGTGACGCTGGCGCGCACAAACGCGGTGACGTCCTCCAAGGCGTCGAATGACGCGACGGATGCCGCCGCCGCAGACAACGACGCGTCGTCGTCCTCGCGGTACAGCGCATCCAGCTCGTGCTCAAACAGCTTGGTCGTCCGGCCCCGGATGACGGTGCCTTTTCCGGCACGCACAAACGGCTTGTCCGGCGCGGCCACGAGCACCTTGGACCGGAAGATGCGGCCGTGGGCGGGCCCGACGCTGTTGGCCTGTTCAATCGTGGGCCAGAGCGCGTCCACAAAGTCGCGTTCAGACACAACCAGGGGCGTCATCGGCTCGACGACCAGTGCCGCCTGGAAGCGCGCCGTGCCCACGATGAGCGCGCCGCGGACCAGCGGATGGCCGGTCACGACGCCCTCCATGTCGACGGGGTTGAACTTTTCGCCGTTGGACAGGACCAGCACGTCGTCGCGCCGCCCGACAAACCGCCACAGCTTGTCGCTGTGCGGGCTCTGCACGAACAGGTCGCGCGTGCGCCAGACGTCGACGTCCGGGTACGCCTGGCGCAGGTGGCGGATCCAGTCCTGCGACCCGTCCCCCTTGCGCACGACCATCTCAAAGGTGCCGTCGCCCATGGGCTCCATGTCGTTGGCGTACGTCGGGTGCCACTCAAAGTAGCTCCAGTTGTGCGGCAGCGGGATCAGCGACATGTGCGGCCCCGTCTCGGTGCTGCCGTACAGCTGGCACACGTTGGTGACGTGGCAGATGCGGTCGCCGACGGCCGGCGCCAGCGGCCCGCCCGTGTACATGATCCAGTCGAGCGACGCAATCTGCGCGAAGCCGCCGGGCTGGTCGGCGAGCTGCTCGATGACGGCCGGCGGGCACCAGGCCGCGCGGATGCGCTTCTGCTGGCGCGCCAGCAGCTGCATGGCCCGCGACAGCAGCGCGCCGCTCGGCGGCTTGTCCGGCGGGCCCGTGCACACGATGCAGGCGTAGAAGACGGGCATGATGGACATGGCAAACAGCCCCGCCAGGTGGAACGGCGGGAACGGGTTGAAGAAGCGGTCGCCCTCGAGGTCCAGCAGCTGGTAGCACTGGTTGATGCGCCCCGGGATCGTCTCGGCCTTGCGGTGGCTGTCGTAGACCGAGTACACGCCGTTGGTGATGGTCGTCGGCTTGGGGTTGCCCGTCGAGCCAGACGAGTGCGCAATGATGATGGGGTCTGTGCGGGCCGCCGCCCACGTCCGCGTGTAGGGGAAATGCGCGGCCGTGGTCCCGGCCGCCAAGAGATCGTCGAGCGGCGGTACCCGAAAGGCTTGCAGGTCGGGCATGGCGTCTTTCAGCTGGCCCACCACCGCCGCCATCTCCGGCGTGTAGTGCACGATGCGGCACGCCGCCTCGGCGAACACGGCCTGGTGCTGCGGGAGCGCGTTGCGCACCGACGGGATCATCAGCTGGTGGCCCGTCTTGATGGCCGCAAACAGATAGACGGCATAGCGGATGTCCGACACGCCCAGGTACGCCATCACGCCGAAGCTGGTACTCGTCCCGACCTGGCGCGCCATCGACCACGACGTCGCGTTCACGGCGCCCGCCAGCTGCCGAAACGTAATGTCCCGGAACCCCTGCTCGATGTCGTCCGTGGACGCGGTGACGGTCGCGTAGACCCGGTCGGCCGTGTCGTGCGCGAGCTCATCGACCACGTGCACAACCAGACGCTCGCCAATGGGGCCACTGCGGATGCCGAGCGTCGAGCTGTCCTTGGGGAGCCGCGTGGCGGCTGTCTCCGTTGACTGTTGTGGTTCATGGTGTGTCACCTCGACGGCGGTGGCGGACGGCTCTTTGGTGCTGGCGATGCCGTTGACACTGTTGACACCGTTGATATGGCCATTGGCCACGTTGCTATCGTTGATGACCTCCGCCATGATGTTGTGTGTTGGGATGAGATGACTGCCGCGGATTGCTGTTGACTCGTATTGACGATGGAGATCGAATCGTCTGGGCTATATCAACTACAAGAAGACGGATCTCGACATTCCATCGACGGCCATTTTCCTTCCCGTGTCGTCTTCTTTGCCGGGTCGTCTACGCTTTGGCCGATGGTGTCTTGTTTCGTTATAGTCCCCTCTGAGTGTTGACCGCGCCGCATCCTCGCGGAGATGATTCGGTCTTGCGATGTGGTCTTGCGATACCGCAACGCCCACCGCCCGCTTGTCTTGATCCGACGGCGTCGCATCTCTGCGTCCTCTTTGGGATGAACACAAGGCTGTTGAATAAACGGGGCGGCAGGACACAAGGGAACAGCAGTCGGAGAGGGGACTCGAGGTGCTTGATGCTGACCAGCCTTGCCTGAACAAGCCTAGCGACGCGAGCATGAATCACGAATGCGGAGAAAACAACGGAGCAAACAAGGCTCAAAACGCGGAGGCGGGGTTGCGGCCTGAAAGAAGAGGTTGGAGACAGGGAACAGGGAACAGGGAGAGGGAACTTGGGACAGCGTATCTGAGAAACAAGGAGCATCACAGTGAAAGCAAGTACGGGCTCCTTTTAGTCACTCTAGTCATGTGGATGTGTCGGCACGTTGCAAAGACAAATGCAAAGTAAGTGACTACAGTGAAGCCGGCCGGGATGTCCTTGTTGGAGAGCTATTTTCCTAATTTGTTCAGGCAACGCGGCTTGCAGCTATCCGTCTCGTGATACTGACATGCAATTTACTAGCTACTGTCGGCACTACTGTACACACTGTTGCACTTGTCTCAATGTCCATGTGACAGCGACCAATAATGTCCTCGTTGAGACAGAAGACGGGATAAAATGACTGAAAGTACCAGGTTGCCCAATATCTAGGTCGTCTATATGTCTGCAAGTGTGGCGCTTCCCACGCCCGTCCTCCTCTCCGCAATAATTACTAGATTGAGCGTAGCGCCTGTTCGTGTATCACGATTGCGGACACGGAGTCGCTAGAGGACTGCAGATAAATGCGGAGGCCACACCTTGTGCACCCAATTCGTGATTCATAACCAGAGCGTACTAGTGGCCAGGGGCGACGAGTGTTAGGGAGACGACGGATCGCCAATGCTATGTCTGGGGTCACCTGGGGACGCTGAGATTAGATTCTGGGGTTGACGGACGTATACTCCGCACATGCGAGAGATGTGAAGATTGTGAGCAATGGGTCATGCTGTCCGTGCGATCAACGCCGGGAAATTTCCGAACATCTCGGCCGTCGTTGTGCATACAGCAAAGGCCCGACTGGGATGTACGGTGTGGCATTGTCAGCCCTTCGCCAAGGAAGTATATATCGATGCCGGTCGGCCGAGAAGAGCCTCTCCTGTTGTGTCTTGTCGAGTTTGAATTTCACCCCAACCACACTTCGTTCCATCACGTATCCCACACTCACCATGGCCGAGACAGAACAGCGTATCTCGTCCGACAAGACGGAGACGCAGCGCGTCGAAGAGACAGAGGCCGCACAGACGCGTGGGCAGGGCAGCGCGGAGACCGACATCGACGCCGACGAAGGCGACGTCCGCCCGCCCGGCTACTGGACGTCGTTCCGCTTCATCGGGTCCGTCCTGGCCATTGTCCTGCTGGCCAACAACCTGTTCATCGGCTACTCCATGCCCGCCAGCATCCTGTCGGTCATCGGCACCGACTTGGGCGCCGGCACGTCCATCTCGCTGGCGTCCCTCACCCTGACCCTCATCAAGGGCGTCTGCCTCCTGCTGGTCGGCAGCATCAGCGACGTCGTCGGCCGCCGCTATTTCCTGCTCGGCGGCCAGCTCGTCAACTTTGTCGGCGCCGTCGTCGCGGCCCGCGCCACCAACGTCCGCACGCTCATCGGGGCCAGTGCGCTCGTCGGCCTCGGCCAGGCCACGCAGCTGCTGTACCCGATGCTGCTGCAGGAAATCGTGCCCAACAAGTACCGCGGCGTCAGCCAGGGCCTGCTGTCGCTGGCCATCTTCCCGACCATTGCGCTGGGGCCGGCCTTTGCGCGCTTCATGGCCGCCAACCCGGCGCTGGGCTGGCGCGCGCTCTACTGGCTGGACGCCATCACCGTCGGCCTCTCGTTTGTCCTCTTCGCACTCTGCTACTTCCCGCCCGGCTTCCGCGAGCTGCAGGGCGGCCGCACGACGCGCCGGTCCATCCTCAAGCACATTGACTACGGCGGGTTTCTGCTCTACGCCGGCGGGCTCGTGTGTCTGCTGCTCGCGCTGGCCTGGGGCGGCAGCACGTATCCGTGGCGCAGCGCGACGGTTGTGGCGCTGCTCGTCGTCGGCGTCGTCACGCTCGTGCTCTTCGCCCTCTACGAGATCTACATGCCGCTGCACACGCCGCTGCTGCCCATGGAGCTGTTCAAGATCAAGAACTTTGTCGTCGCCGTCGTCGTCGGCTCCTGTGGCCAGATGTCGTGGTATGCCCTCAACCTGCTGTGGCCATACCACATCCAGAATCTGTACACCACCGACAACAGCAAAGTCGGATGGATGTCGGTACGTACGCACGAGCCAACATGTGGCGATATGACGATGTGAATGCGATTGCCAGTGTGCGTGACACAGTCCACAACCACTAACAGCCCCGCAGTGCATCACCGGCATCGCCCTGGCCACCGGCGAGCTCACCATGGGCTTCTTTTGCCGAAAAGGCGGCCGCATCCGCCTCCAGATGATTGTCTGCGTCGCCCTCTACACCGCCTTCAGCGGCATCATGGCCGTCGCCAACCAGCACCGCGAGAGCCTGGCCGTCGGCATGATCACCACCATCGGCTTCTGCGTCGGCTGGATCGAGCTCATCACCATCGTCGTCGCCGCCCTCGTCGTGCCCCCCGACCAGATCGGCACCGGCTCCGCCTTCTTCGCCAGCACCCGCGCCACCACCAGCACCATCGTCACGAGCATCTACGTGGCCATCTACAACAACCGCTACCCGGCCCTCATGAAGCCCGACATCACCAAGGCCGTCGAGGCCGCCGGCCTGCCCGCGTCGAGTCTCCCCCGCCTCTTTGACGCCATTGCCAACGGCACCGCGGCGGCTCTGCAGGCCGTTCCGGGTTTCACGCCGGCCGTCAACGACGCCGTCATCGACGGCCGCAAGTCGGCCTACGCCACCGCCCTTGCCGACGTATATCTGACCAGCATCGCCTTTGGCATGATTGCCCTGTTGACCATCTTCTACGGCCGCGACGACATCGAGTCCAAGTTTACCAACTTTGTCAACAAGACCGTCGCGCACGTGGGCGGCGACAAGGCCGAGGACCTGGAGCGAGAGAAGGTCGCTCAGTTGTAGGCGTGTTGTAGGGCTGACGGGGTTGGAAGGAACGGGCATGATGGGGAACCGCCTTGTTGCTATAGCACTGCGTAGATGGAACAGAGCTCGTCTAGATGCACGCATTCGCTGCTTTCCTTCTCCGCATTCTGCATCCCGGAGCGATTATCCGGCCATGCGCACTAATGACTCGCAATGGCAGGCTAAGACGAACCAATCAGAGACACTAGCAATAATACGAATAGCCTCCCAGAAAAAGAATGAGACACTGAAGCCTGGGATATTCGACGCTCGCCCACATATACTATCAGTGCAAGTACGACTTACTGCCAGCTGAACGGGACTGATACCCCAGTTCCCCCACGATCCATGCCCAACTTCAGTAATTAAATTTCCCGAAATCCCCCAAATCTGCCCTTTCGCACCATGATTCATGCTTCTCGTACGAACGTAGTGACAGGTAGCATATGAAGCTCGCCTCGCAACATCGGCCACCACCACCACCACAAGATCACCGTAGTATCACTCAGTGGCACACCACCATCGCCCATGGCAAAATCGGACGCAGCGACACGGCGGGTGTCCAACATGACCAGCTCGCAGGTCGAGCACAAACGCGCCATTGACCGCGCCAACCAGCAGATTTGCCAACGCCGCAAACGCGCCAAGATGCAGTGGCTGGAGGCGGAAGTGGCGCGGCTGACAGGGCAGCTGGACGCTGCTCATGCTCGGATACGGGAAATGGATGCTGCAGCGGTGGCGGCAGACGTCCTCCCGGCCGTCGTTCCGGTAGGCGAGGCTGCGCAGAATGGCCCCGCCTTTTCTTCACCTGCTACAGATATGTCACCCACGGTGTCCACGCCCAGCGAACACACCAACTACAACGCCCACTCCAGCTGGACCGTCCACCTCCGCGAGCTGCTCGACCCCGCCCACTACGACGACTACGGCAAGCTGGGCAACATTGTCTTTGCATGCCCGCTGCCCCCACCGGACACAACACCGTCCCCTCCATCCGGCGAGTGCGGCGGCGAGAGCGGCTGCGAGATGACTCTGCCCCAGTGGCAGGCCGTCCCCCTCCACCTCCCGCCCGAGACGGATCTCGATCGCTTTATCATGGAAACGACCGCCTCGGGCCGCCGCCTGCACCAACAGACCGGCGCCGCCGAGCTCAGTCACGCCCAGTTCCCTAGCATCTCCTCTCTCCTCAACCCGAACCTCGGCGACGATGGCGCCCGCCCGCTCACGTCTGCCTTGGCCACCCACATCGTCCGCCACAGCACCGTCAAGTCCGTGACCACCCGCATTGCCCTCATGTATCTGCTGGCGCACCTCCTGCGCTGGCTCGTCTGCCGCACCCGCCAGACGTACGAACGCCTCCCCGACTTCTTGAAGCCCACGCACCTCCAGTGCACCGTCCCCCACCCGGCCTGGGTCGACGCCGTCACCTGGCCCGCCGCCCGCGACAACATCATCCGCACGGCCGCCTGGAAGTCCATCACGTTCGACGAGTTCCGCCGCGTCACCGGCGCCTGCATGTCCGTCAACTGGCCCTACACCGACTCGGGCGCCTTCTTGGATCTCGGCGACGGCCAGAATCTCGTGCTGAGCCCCCTCTTCGAGAACCACATCCGCTGCGCCGCCAATTGGACGCTCAGCAAGTCGACGGCCGCGCAGTTTCCCTTTATGAAGGAGTTTTGTGTCACCGTGCACGAGGGCGAAGGGAATGCATAGACGTCGAGGGGGAAATACTGCGCTACTGTAAATCATGTATCCTTAACAGCGTCTTGTACAAAGATACGATTGCGGACAAGAAACGTAGTTATTGCATCCGTGTCCCGTCCATCGGAAAGTGTCTAGCCTATTCGTATGCCGTGCCAGGTCGGACAAATATCTCATTCTCCGTCCTCCGAATGCCGTTGTCCGAACCATCGCCGTCCCTGATCCTCTGAATCCTTTGAGCACGAAGTAGCAGAGTTCATTGTGGTCTCCCATATAGAATGCGGGGAAGGGCGACGTGACCATGTTTTGTTTGGGCAGTGTGCGGCTAGCATGAATCATATTGCAGACTACCTTTGGAGAGGCTCTTGGCAGATTCAGAGGAGGGACGGGTTGACCTCACTTCTTTGTGTCTTGATTGTAATGGTAGTCGTGTGCCGTTTTCTGGAGAAAGGGGACAGACTGTAAATAGAAAGAGACAAGGAGAGACAGAGTATACAAAAGAGTTGATGTAATCACATTGATGTAATCATATTGGCAGCAAAACCAAAGACGACAGTAACAGGAAATCAAGGCGAACAACCACGACGCAGCAACAACTGCGAAAAGGCACACAATACTTTAAAAATCACCGGCCAAACAGTCCAACATCCCGCAATATGTCCTCCACGACAGCGGCCACTACAACCACCACAAAGGTCTACACCAACCTCACGGCCGCCGAGACCACCCTGCACGGCGGACAGGAGATTGCATTGCCCGTCTTCCCTCAGCCGCCGACCTTCACCGACAAGGTCGAGGAGCGCGAGTACCTCAAAGGCCGCCTCGCGCTCGCCTTCCGCCTCTTTGCCAAGTTCGGCTTCGACGAGGGCGTCGCCGGCCACATTACCCTGCGCGACCCCGTGCGGCCCGACCACTTCTGGGTCAACCCGCTGGGCCGCGCCTTCGCGCAGATGCGCCGCTCCGACTTGATTCTCGTCAACGGGACGGGCGAGGTCGTCGACGGCGGGCCCAACTGCCTCCTCAACAAGGCCGCCTACATGATCCACCACGCCGTCCATGCCGCCCGGCCCGACGTCCACTGTGCGGCGCACGCGCATAGCCTGTACGGGCGTGCGTTCTGCGCCCTCGGGAAACCCTTGGCCATGCTGACCCAGGACAGCTGCGCCTTTTATCAGAGCGTGGCCCTCTACCAGCAGTTCAACGGCGTCGTGCTCGACGCGGCCGAGGGCGCCAACATCGCCCGGGCGCTGGGCGCCGGCAAGGCCTGCCTGCTCCAAAACCACGGGCTGCTGACCGTCGGCGCCACCGTCGAGGCGGCCGTCTTTTGGTTCGCGTCGCTCGACAAGTGCTGCCACGTGCAGCTGCTGGCCGAGGCCGCGTCCCACCACGAGCACGCCAAGACGATCGACGAGGCCGACGTCGCGTTCACGGCCAAGAGCGTCGGCAACCCCACCATCGGCTGGTTCAGTGCGCAGCCCATGTTTGATGTACTGATGGAGGAAATTGGCGATGCCTATTTGCAGTAGGCGACAACGAGGGGGCTGGGTAACCTACGTGGCCCAACAAGATACGGTGGCACCATTTGACAGTTGACTCTACCCTCCCTGGAGAAGCAGACAATTACAGCAAGAGTACACCTAAGGATCCGAATGTAGATAGAACTGCAGACTCAACAAGTGCCGACGCCCCTATTATGGCCGGTTTGGACGGGCGAAAAAGTGCCTCACTCAGCATGTGAACGCCAGCAGAGCTGAAGGACTACTCTCGACTGGATGTTAGTCAGTCTTGGTGTCTTGTCGCTTCCCCCTATTTTTTCTCTGTACATTTTATATATCTCATCATAATGGCTAAATTCATGGTAACTGCACACGACAGCCTGTATGATACGTATTATCTAAGGATCAGATCAATATTTAATTCCCTCATCATTCCAAACCTGTTTGCCCGTCGTATCATCCTGATGGTGGTCACAATATTGCATGCGAAGTCGCCTCAGCCACAGAGTCACGTGCCAACCACACATCTACCAGTTTACTTCGCACTTCTTTTTCATGTACCCCGATTCTTTCCTTACCACATCTCGATTCACTCGTACCACTTTTCTTTGGAATATTCTTGGGCCACGTTCGTTCTTTGTCTGGGATACGGTATTGTGGCGGCTTTACCGGCGGCCTGCATCCGTTCCAGGACTCGCTGCCCCGAGCGAGCGAAATGGGTGGTTTCAAATGCCTAGTACGTATCCTCCCGCTAGGAGACGGTGAAACACGGCCGTGTCCGGCCGGAGAGTAACACGGAGTACGGACTGCTTACGGTGCCCGCGGATGCGTACTGTGTACTTTGTAGTAGCGTGCTGGGGTGTTACGGTGGAGAGAAGGGTTAGGCGAAAGGGAAACAACGGCGAATCACGGCTTAGAGCGGGGCAGTGCTCGGAAACGTGGGGATGTTCTTCGCGTGGTGTCCTTTGTGTGTTTCTGAAAACAAAACATGGAGGGGCCAAAGATAAGGCACGGCTAGGAGACGGGGTTTGGCCGAGCTGCACCGAGACTTTTGTGACGCGGCGTGCTGACGTAGCATTGCATTGCTACGGGAGAAGTGGATGAATACGACAGAGGAAAATAAGGACTCTGTACTGGGAAGGTCGTTGTCAACAGCAAAAGGGGAGACGAGAAGAGTGTGAAGCTGCCAGTCCAAGATTCAGTACGTCATGGCCCCGTTCGCTGTTCACGCTCGGGCGTTTCGCTTGTTTGAATAATAGACTTTGATGTGATTGGTCCATGTAATGCCGGGAAACAAAACGAGACGAAAAGGAACCAAATCTAACGAATAGGAGGACAGGGAGAAAACAAAAGGACAGCCACGGAAGAAGGCTACCAAGGAAGTAAGAGGGCGAGCAAAACGGCGAAGGAATGGGAAAGGTAAGATGTCAAGAAGCGAAAAAGAAAGTACCGTATGTAACGTGGACTCTCGGATGGGTAGGAATGTCAGATTGTGAGAAGGACTGCGAGACTAGGCAGAGCAGGTGTGGAACGCATTGTCGATACCCACAAACAACACTAGAAACCTGGATGTGCCTGGCCACATATCCCACACACACTTAGGTCTTGATAGGCTGCGGCACTCGAAACCAAGCGAGCCATGCTATTGGATGTCTCGATGGTTTCGAGAAAAAGGATACAAGACGGACTCGACAGGCGTCGTTAGCCATTACGAATAGTATAGGAATACAAATAGACTGTAATCGAGGATAGCTCGCACAGTGTGGCGAGGCAGCATGAACGAAATTTCTAGCGGCGGCCATGGCGACTCGGCAGTGAAAACTCTGAGGCCGAAAACAAAGAAATGCCCCGAATGGGACACTGCCTCGAAGCCGAAGGGTAGTACATTGGCGGCTTAAAAATATGAGATATGCACTGTGCGCAATACTTTATGTCGGCACGGCGACAAAGCGGTGAGGGCGATCGCCAGGGCGACAGCGATGGTGCCAGTTGACAACGAAAAGCTGAGGAGCCACGTTACGTCTCCGCGCTCTCACATGTCTGGAACGACGGTGTGGCCGCCGTTGTTTAACATCGTACCACCGACTCCAGGTTTGTCTGAACTTCTGGATTCGTCCAGCCAAGACATGCGAGGATACGCGAGGACATGCGGAGATATGCAAAGACGTGCAACGCTACGTAAAGATGAGCAGAGACATGCAGCACCTTTTCCAGCTTTCCATGCTCGAACAGCCTTGGTGCAGAGATTGGCCCATGTTAGCTCCGTGCCGTCCTTGGTTATCCCTGACGCGAGGGAGCAATATCGTGCGAGTCTTGACGCTCGCCTACTCGTGCTCTGTCACAATAAGTGTACAAAGTAGATAGTAGGGAGGTAGCCGTACTCGTACTGCATGCATCTACGGTAATACTGCGAAATATGCGACAGGCGTCCTCGGCGGCGTAACAGTCCACAGTGACGCTCGAAAACGGCCGGGCATACGGGCATGTCGACCCTGAATCCGAACGGTCTTGGCGTGCTGCCTTGCCAAGGATGCTTGTCTGCATGTGCGTTACCACGACTGTCGGCCAGTCGTCAGTTCACGTTGGACGTTGGCCGTTTGTGCCTTCCTCGCGGTGCGACGTTGAGCTTGTTTCCGGGCTCTTTCCTATTTGTCGGTCCCTGTAACTGGCGGACACCAGCAGCCTCGTTCCTTCCCTGCCAACCAGACAAGCATCTCACTCGTTTGCTGGCATATTGTTTCCCCGAGTTCCCCTACTTGTATCTCTTTTCTGGTAATTCTTTTTCATTCCTTTCTTTCCGTATCTTTCTGTTTCATCCTTCTGTTCTCGTTGTATTGTTACCCTTCTTCCCCTCGGCGGTGCCAGTTTGTCTACATTGTCGACCTCGCGGACTAAACAGGGCCTCTGACGTCATCGGAGCCACTGTTTTTCAGGGGTTTTAAGGGTGCTTTCAGCGGCCTTGGCACCGAATACTGGCGTTGCTGGCTGTGGCAGTCCGCCGTGTCGCCCCACCTGCATCCACCAGAGCCCCACTTTTCCCGGCCTAAGTGCAAACTCGTTCATGCTGGCGGTTCCACCGAGGCTCCATAGTTCGCCAACTTCAGGCGACTTTGACTTCACCTCAGTCATATTTCATTCTTTCGTTCACAAGCGATAAAAACCGTTCACCACCAGCCACTAGGTGTACTGGTGTACTCCGGCCGGCGTCGCCTACGCGCCTCTAATTCAGCGCCCGTACCTCCAGGCCGCGAGGCCGCAGGCGAACACAACATGGCGCGACCGAAGGAGAACCTAACGAAATATGGGGAATATTATGAAGGGAGAAGTCACTTTTCGCCTTGTTCCGGTACTTTCGGTACTTGAAAAGTCTGCTGCCTCCGTCGCTTTGTCGCTTTGTCACTTGTTACTTTGTCACTTTCTTATTTTGTGTCTGTTTCCGTGTCCAATACGACGGCGCCGGCGCTTATCGACAAGAGAAGCACGTAGAACGGGGACACTGACAAAAAAAACAAAAAAATAGAACAAAATCTCAGTTCGGGCCACATTCGCCCTCCCGAGGATTATTCGTTTTGTCGGTTTGTCACTTCTCGTTGCTCATAATCACAGAGGGCCCCGAAAGGTATAAAGGCACGTCGGCCTGTTTTGATTTCTCCAAACATCGACAATATCTTCCCTCTTTCTTTTTACCTCACTCCTCTCTATTCTATTCCTCTTTCTTCAACCGTCTGAGACGTCCATTCCTTTGTTTTGTTATCATCTTTGGCTTTCATCTCAATACCATATCCATCTCTCCGTCTTTCCATCTCCACGTTTCTCCGTCTCTCCATATCCTCCACAGATCACCTCCATCTCTCTCCACCCCCACAAACCATACATCATGTCCCGCCTTGAGAGACCTGCCGGCCCCAACCGGACGGCTTCGGCCAGCAGCTTCGCTGAGGCCTTCAGCATTGCCCGCAGAAACCTCGAGGACCAGATCTCGCACGAGGAGCCGGTCTCCCCGTCGGCCGAGCTGTCGTCGCCCGAGCTGCCGCCCACCGACGCGCCCTCGCTGTCCAACTCCAACGTCATCACGCCTGCCGGCCTGGCGACACCCCTCACCGAGCCCGAGACGCCGCCCACGGACGAAGACAGCGATGTGGCCGACAACTTTGCGTTCGCCTTTGACATTGACGGTGTCCTTGTGCGTGGCGGCCGGCCGATCCCCGAGGCCGTCGAGGCTATGAAGGTGCTCAACGGCGACAACAAGTACGGCATTCGAGTGTAAGTCACATGACCCTGACGTGAGAACAACGCAACCCGCCCAAACATGTTCATCTGCTAACTTTGTTGTCCTACAGTCCCTACATCTTCCTTACCAACGGCGGCGGCAAGACAGAGGCCGAGCGCTGCGTCGACCTGTCGGCGCAGCTGGAGCTCGAGGTCAGCCCCGGCCAGTTCATCTGCGGCCACACGCCCATGCGCGAGCTCGCCGACCAGTACCGCGGGGCGGTGCTCGTGGTGGGCGGTGAGGGCGAGAAGTGCCGCAGCGTGGCGGAGCACTACGGCTTCCAGGACGTGATTACGCCCGGCGACATCATCAAGGCCAACGCGGCGACGGCGCCGTTCCGCAAGCTGACGGACCAGGAGCACGCCAACTCGCGCGACCTGCTGGCGCGGCGCGGCATCGAAAAGATGTCGGATATTGTGATTGAGGCCGTGTTTGTGTTTGCCGACAGCCGCGACTGGGCGTCGGATCTGCAGATCATCCTGGACATTGCCATGTCCAAGGGCGGCCGCCTCGAGACGCGCTCCGAGACGTTTGACGAGGGCCCGCCCATCTACTTCTCGCACAGCGACGTCGTCTGGTCGGCCGCGCACGAGCACGTGCGCCTCGGCATGGGCGCGCTGCGGCGCATTGTCGAGACGGTGTTTGCCGAGGTCACGGGCGGCAAGACGCTGACGACGCACGCCTTTGGCAAGCCGCAGGTGTCGACGTTTGAGTTTGCCACGCGGCTGCTGCAGCAGTGGCGCGCCGCGCAGCACGGCCTCGTGGCGTCGAGCCGGCCGCTCGACACGGTGTACTTTGTGGGCGACACGCCCGAGTCGGACATCCGCGGCACCAACGCCATGGACGCGCGCAGCAAGACCACGTCGTGGTACAGCGTGCTGGTCAAGACGGGCGTCTACCAGGACGGCACCGAGCCCGCGTACACCCCCAAGGCCGTCGTGCCGACCGTGCTGGACGCGGTGCACCACGGCATTGAGCGCGAGATGCAGCGGCGCCAGGCCCGCCGCAGCCGCATGGACGCCAAGACCAACCAGGGCGCCTTTATGGAGAAGCTGGCCACCATTGAGGTGACGGACTGCTCGTAGAGGATTGGCTTTTTGCTATTTGGGTTGATTTTTGGGGTTCTGATTTTTGGGTTCTGATGTTTGATTTTTTGATTTCCTTTGTTCTTTCTTCTGCTCCCAATGATACACTAGAACAGCCAAAGAGCTGTCGTTGCTTTTTTTCCGACGATATAACTAGATACAAAAAACAGAACCGGCGTTTTGGGTGGGATAGATGATAACGATCAATAAGACTTTTACACCAAGGACTGCACAGGATTCCTTTGTGACGCCACATGTATCCAATGTATTGGCAGGTTTTAACTTACACCGTCAGAATCTGCTCAAAAAACCCGGCGTACCCGCGCGTGTCGTCCCGCAGGTAAATCTCCAGAATCCAGTGGCGCTGCTGGCCCTTGGCATTGCGCCCGCGCAACGGCGCGTGGTTGCCTGGGGCCATGTACAGCGTGATCTTGTCGTTGGGGATGCGCTCGTGCGGGAAGTCGCCGACGAGGTGCCCGCAAAAGACGTTGCCGTACGTCCAGCCGCGCCCGCTCGCCTCCCCGGCCTCTCTGGTCAGGCGGACCGCGACGTCGTACAGCTGCTCGCCCGTGATGTCCGGCCGCGCGTCGAACTCGGCCTTGATCGCGTGCCACAGCGGCGCCAGCGCGTCCCGCAGGGCGATCTTGTCGGGGTCGTCGCCGAGCACAAAGGTGCGGCCAAAGTCGGCCTCGTACGCCTCGAACACAGGACCCAGGTCCACATACAGGATGTCGTCGGCCGCCAGCACGCGGTCCTCCGTGGTGTCGCTGAACATGGCCAGCGTGTGGGGCCCGCTGCGCACGAGTCGGCGGTGCCAGTGGGTGCGCACATTGTACTTGTCTCTGCCGACCTGGTAGATGGCGTCCGTCAGCTGCTTTTCGCTGATGCCGGGCCGGATCAAGTCGCGTGCAATGTCGGCAAAGAGAGCGGCGGCCTTGTTCTGGGCCTCGAGCAGGTTGGCAAGGCGCTGCTCTTCCGGGACGTCGGTCTCGGAGAGCGCCGTCTTGGGCGCCGTAATTGCGTCCGGTGTGGCCATGGTCGCAGCGGGTGTGGATGTGGAACGCAGAGTGGTGTAACAGTAATATATAGAAATATACGTTCTTTTCCGAGATGATGGACGATATGCAATTACAAATCGGAATTCAAGGACAGTATGTACTTGATTTGGTTCACGATAACGCCCTCTACTATGAACAATGACGAAGTTACTGCTGCTTCGCACGCATTCAGCTAATGTGGGGACGGTTACGGCCGGCAAAAGGCGTGGTAGTGGTCGGGAATGGACGACGATCATTGGCTGCGTCGTTGGAGAAGCACGCAGTAGGATCGGTAAGGGCTGGGCAAAGTCCGGACCGGCGGAGTCGGGTCTATGCCGTGTTGAGGGATTTGGCTGCTGCCGTGCGGAGAGTTGCTTTTGAGAAACCCCACGGCGGTAGATGTGTCATAGGGCGTAGTAGAGAGCAGCCGACATTCTCTTACAACTGCACTGCAAGAGAAGAGCAGCGTGCCGGCTGTGACGATGGCGATGTCGGAGACCTTATTCTATGATGTATCGTCCTTTGAGAATCTACCCTAATAAGTGAAAACTGAACTAGTTCTTCCACGTACGGCCATAGATAAAGGAAAGTACGGGATCCCGTCCGCTCTCCCCTAGTCAAACCTTTAATCGGCGGATTAGTAGTTGGGTCGGTGACGACCAGCGAATACCCGCTGCTGTACGTTTTTTTGGCAATTGTTTTCGTTTTGTTGTCATTTTTACTTTATTTTATTTTAATATAACGTAGTTGATAAGCGAGTCGCGCAGACAAGCGAGTCGCGCACTTTGATTTACACCTTAAATCGAAATTTTCAAAAAATCATAATTTTACCAAATCATTCCCAAAATTGCTAAGATTTTATAATTCACCGAATTAATACAAGACTTATATAAAATAAAACTCCTTAAAAATTGTCGTTAGTTAAAACTTAATAAAATAGAAAAGTGAGTTTAAAATCGACCCACGTTTCCTATCTACTATAGTTTTACTAGACTAGAATTTTTAGGGAGTTTATTTTATATATTTTTTATAATAATTCGGTGAATTACAAAATCTTAGCAATTTTGGGAATGATTTGGTAAAATTATGATTTTTTGAAAATTTCGATTTAAGGTGTAAATCAAAGTGCGCGACTCGCTTGTCTGCGCGACTCGCTTATCAACGACGTTATCTTGTTTATTTTATTTATTATTATTTTTTTGTTTATTTTCCTGTTACTTTACCCTCACGTTAAGCGTTGTGACCGGATGTGCTAGCATGAAAAAGACGTAGGCCTGAGTGGATGCCACCGAGTCTTTTCTATTCTATTGTTAACGTGTCTTCGTCGTCCCTTGTTTACATACTCCTCTATCATCGTCGTTCCAACTCAACATGATCGAATGAGCCAAATTGCCCAAGTTGGCCCGTCTACAACACCAGACTGATAATGATAGCGCCCAACTTCGCCAAGTCGAACTTGTCTGGCAACGGCACATGTGGCTCGGTGGCAGCCGACGTCAGGCTCTTTACCCATTCGCTACGACGCAGTGCCGCGTCCTGAACCGACGAGCCCCTCGGCAACCCGAGACCCCGAGGCCTCGCCTCCGTGCCTACAGCACCAACCGGAACGACGGATCCCGGTCGTCTCCTGTCCCAATGTATTGGTCGTACTTGCCGCTCGCCTTGTCTTTGTTGACCTTGTAGCAGTACACCACATTGCCCAGAATCATAAACCAACCGGCCACCAGCAGACTCAGGATGATCGTATGGCCCTTGTGGAACTGTGGGCTCTGTGTCGACGGGTACACAAACACCGTGACAAACCCGCCGCAGTTGGCAATCGCCAGCTGCAGCGCCGCCGCCGTGGCCCGCTTGTAGTGGCCGGCCGAGTTGTTGGCGAGCCAGCCGAGCACGGGCGGGACGCTGCTGTAGAGGCCGGTGGCCATCAAAAACGTCATGCCGTACTTGACACTGGGGCTGTGGACGTTGGCAATCACGGCGTAGCCGATAATGGCAATGGGCATCGTGACCAGCATGATGACGCCACGGACCTGGAAATAGTCGGACGCAAAAGCGACAATGACTGGGCGAGAGAGACGGGGGGTCAGCCCTGGCAAACACAGAGGAAACAAAACAGGGTGCAGGCACGGAGTTCATACCTGTAACGACAGACGCCACTGCGTACGGGATGACCGACCACAGCTGGGCCGCGTTGGCCGTGTGGCCGAGGGCGGCAATGATCGTGGGGAGCTGGCGTGTCAGCAACGGACGAAGAGTCCAACTCATACGCGGGGCACATTGGATCTTGGACTTACAAACAGCCCAAACGAGTACAGCCCCGACAGGATGCCAAAGTAGGCACATGCCGACAGCCACGTCTGCCAGCTGAACACCGCCCGCCCGACCTCGTGCCAGCTAAACGTCTCGGCCGCCTCGTGCTCTGGATTCATGATGCTGCTTGGACTGCTCGTGCTGCCCGTGCTGCCCGCAACCACGTTGCGCTGCAGCCGCCGTGCCGCGTGCGCCTTCTCCTGCTCGCTCAAAAACGACGCGCCCACCAGCCCGTTGGGCAGGATGAGGGCGGCGACGGCCGCGGCCGCCACCGTGAGGAGCCCCTCGATGATAAAGATCCAGCGCCACGCGGACAGGCCGCTGTGGCCGCCGAGCTCCGACAGGCCACGTGCCAGCAGGCCGCCAAAGGCGCCCGAGAGTGACGCCGCCGTGTAGAACAGGCCGATGCGCAGCGCCAGCTCGCGCCGCGTGTACATGCTCGACAGGTACAGCACCATGCCCGGCAGCAGCCCGCCCTCGGTGAAGCCCAGCACGGCGCGCACGGCCGCAAAGCCGGCAAAGTTCTGGATGAAGCCCTGGCACATGCTCACGACGCCCCACGCAAACGTCAGGAACGGCAGCCACACGCGCGGCGTCACGCGCTTGAGCACCAGGTTGCTCGGCACCTCGCTAACAATGTACGTCGCGTAGAACACGGCCAGCCCCTGGTCGTACTGCACGTCGTCGGCGTCCATGCCGAGCTCCTTTTCGAGCCCGTACAGCCGCGCGTTGCCGACGTTGGTGCGGTCGAGGAACGAGCACAGGAACAAGAGCGCGAGCACCGGCAGAATCCGCGTGTCGAGCCGCCACAGGATGCGGCGCGTCATGGCCCGCGCGGCCGGGCTGTTGTCGTACTCGTCGTCGTCGTAGGCGAGATTGCGCGTCTCGACTTTGTCGACGTTGTCGGCTGCGGGCTTGTCGCCCTGCAGTTCGGCCATGGTGGATGTGTTGTCGCTACTGTTCAAGGATGCCGTGTAGAGTGCGGCGAATGGAGAGGGTCGTGGTCAGGGTTCTGTGCCACTACGTGACGGCTCCGTACTGCCACTCTCGCGGTCGTCGTCGCTGTCGTCGCAGCTGGCAAGGTCGTGATGTCGTTATACTGTCGATATTGCTGGTGTTAAGACGGTTTTGCTAATTATGAAAGGGCCCCCTTTCCACCTCGGCAACGTGTTCGCGACTGGCACGTCGGGAGATTGCCCAAAAGATGGCAAGCCCATCTCACCAGGGCCAAAACTCCGGCTCACGCGGTGCTCAGCGGTGCTCACATCTGTTCTTGGCACCTTTGCAGATCGGCGGGCCTAACCTCCCAAATGCGGGGGAAGGGCCGAACATCAGGGTCAGAGTATTACTACCCCCGTAGCCAGTGCAACTTGGGCATGTCACTGACGTGTCGATCGCACCCAAAACCCCATCGCACCCCCTCGTGCCCCTCTGAAAACCAGTAATGGACGATGATAGCAGTCCAATACAACGTGAGACTCGTAATGCTGCAGTGCGACTCTGCTTCACACGAGATGTGCGTCACACGTAATCAAGGTAATGAACCAATTGGATTCCAAGTCGGGGCTTCCTCCAAGAACCCGAGATGGAAGTGTAGATGACCAGTCGGGAAAAACCTAAATGTCCAAGAAAAAAAGTGTATGAATACAACACGTGGCCACTCCCGTGTATCAGGGAAAAGATCAACATAAATCCAAACCCGACAACGTCAATCATAAAACCTCCAGTCATAACCAGAGGGACGGGGATATAACTATGAAGAAACCAGAAAAGAAAAGAAAAGTAGAAAACATAAAATGCCAGTCATGTCCATCATAATCCTTGCCGCCCACTTGGGTTGTACACGATCTGATCCCACTCGTCACCGTCAAACAGCTCCGGGTAGTACTTGACAAACTCGGGATCCAGCCCCCACCCGGCCGTGCTCATGAACCGCTCGACAAAGTCTGGGCGGAGCACATGCTTCCCTTCCACATTGGTCACCAGCACGTCCTCCTCCCGGCGCCATCGCAGCCGCAGACACCGGCAGTACCGCCGGATGAACTTGACCACGTCGTAGCGATCGTACGTTTTCAAGAGCTTGCGCCGCGGTCCCTCCCAAATGACAAAGTCCAGGGACCCGGGATGCGGCACCCACACCTGCTCGTGCAGGGGCTGCAGAAACGTGGGCAGCATCGCATACCGCGCGGCGCTCGGCTGCATGCGCCACTTGACGTAGTGGTACACCAACCAGCCGATGGCGAGGCGTTCCGGGTCGCGCTGGTAGTACGTCTTGCCGCTGCGCTGCAGGCAGCTGGCGAGCGAGTTGTGGTGGGACCCGTACAGAATGTCGAGCGGCGCAGGGACCTCGGGCGAGTCAAAGACGATGCGCGTGTTGGCGTCCCAGTCTGGGCGGCGGACGTCGTTGGGGCCCGAGTAGCGCACGGGGGTGCGTGCCCACACCGGGACATTTTCCATGTCGGGCACGGTGCCTGCGCAGAAGGGCGACCATAAAGAAAGGCCGGTGCTCGGCAGCCGTCCACTGTACTCGAACGGATCGTACATGGCCGCTGTGGAGTCACAGTTGGCAGCTAGGTCTGCATCCGTGGCCTGCATTGCAGCAGAAAGAGGGACAGCTGTCCGAGAGCCCCACAAGTCATTTACGTTGGCTCTGAACGAGACATGCTGCGAACCGACGAGAGACGGCACTGCTGCAGCTGGTAGCGGCACCGAAGATGACTCCATCGGAAAGCTTTGTGCAATGTTGTTGATGACACTATCCGCACCATCGGCAATGTAATCGTGTCCGTTTTTGTTGCTGCCGTTGTGATTATGTTCATGTTGGAAGACAACCTCGGACTCTGATTCGCCATCGGTACTAGAACTGATTGCACTGATTCCGGCCAGCCACAATGAGTAGTCCGGCAAGGTATCCAATACCGGACCCGACTTATCGTAATTGTAGTAGGGGTGTACTGGCTCGTACATGGCAATCTCTGTTGTGGAGGCGGACGAGACGGGTGATGATGTGGCTTGCAGTTGCGGTTGCAGAGGAGGCGTTGGCGGTGTGTCTGGTTCGTCAGGCAGTACGTCGAGAGGTTGATGCGGCTTTGGGGTTTGATTGCTGTCTATTCCAGTGGAGTTGGTGATGGTCTCAACTGTAATGGCATCTGGAATCGTTGATACCGTTGGTACAACGGGGATAGGTGTTGGGATGACGGGGGCATTCGGGGCGGTAGCCGAGGGAAGGCCATCTACAGCAGCAGGGATCATAGTTGGCGTGGATGCCGCCACTGCTGGCTCAAACACGTTCTTGAACGACTGGAAGAGTGCCTGCAGGTGGTTGTGCCGCTCTCGCAGTGCCGCATTTTCGGCCTGCAAGTGGCGGATGGTCCTCAAGTCTTGTTCGTTGTGATGGTTGCTGCCGCTATTGAGGCCGTCCGCTTCACTTCGAGGCCCATGCAACTCCTGACATAGCTTCACCTGCTTCTCCAATGCTTCAATGTGTCGGTTCCGCTTGTTCCGGAGGTTCTGCTGGGCGACGCGGTCGCGCAGCCGTTTACGCTCGGCCGCATCAGTATCGGAGCGTCGAATGGCGGACGAAGCGGCAGTGGGAGCAGTGGCTATGGTGCCGACCCGTGTCACACGGCCGCGGTGGACTCGAGTGGTCATGCTTGAGAGTGGCTGCGAGGCCTCTGTGACTCCGACATGGGCTGAAAAGTCTATACCGCCGTCAGGGCATCTGTTGTTGCAGATTGTTGCCTCGACAGTGTATTGTACGTGTCAGCTCGTGAGGGATGGTGGTTGAAGTGTAGCAAAATTTGACGTCGTTGACTCGATCCGATGCGAAGCCTAAGCCGACAAAAGATGCTGCTCCCCCAGTTTTCGCACCTTCCCCATGTCTTGGCCGGGCTAAGGAAGGCAGGAGTGCTCCACGCTAGCCGATCGCTTTTGCCCTCTTCGAGCCCTTTCCCATGATACTGTTTTCCGACAATTACTTGCCTGTTTTGGAAAAACCATACATTCTATGGCGGCCTCTGATTGGAGCGAGTGAGCTATTACATGGCAACTTACCCACTCCTTTCCCCGCACGATGTTGCGGTGTCTATGACCGAAAAGCATCAAAGTGAGGAGCAGAATTCAGGAAATTCATGAAACAATAAGCCCAAGACATTACAGAATTGAAGCTTGTTCGGAAGACGATAGATACTGTAAGCTGCAATTGTTCAAGGAATTCGTTCTGTGAATGTTTTGGGCCCAGTAGTAGACCTGCGTCGTATCCATATTTACGACGGCCTTCTTCGAAAGGCAAATTCCCGTAACGTTGTCATGCTTTTTCTTGCCTCTTTAAATACATTGTGGATGCCTTGCCGAAAACGTAGCAGTTGATTCAACACTCTTTCCCGGCCGGGGCTCGGCGGAGCTTCGATGGAGCTCCTATGGGTATGTCATCACCTCTGCCCTTATAGGCTGACAGCTCGGTCGTTCTCCGCGCATATTATATAAAGCCGTATTTCTATATGCAGACTCTTTGACGTGCGTCCCATAGTAGATAGACAAGACACACTCAGCGACATGGCATCACCACGAGTTTGTTCCTCGCCGTACTTGGTGCCCAACATTCCTTCGAACCTGTCGTTCTGGCAGTTCATTTTGCGCCACAACATTGACGACACAGTACCCGACAAAGTCATTCTGCAAGAACATGAGCGACCAGAGCGGCAGTTGACGTATGGATCCGCCCCTAAACTGGCGGGCCTCGGTGCCGACGCGCTCCGGGACGTGCTGGGCTTGACGCAGGGCGACACGATCCTGATTGTGGGCAAAAACTCGCTCGACTATCTGCAGGTCGAGTTTGCGGCCCTGTGGGCAGGCATCACGGCGGCGTACGTCATCATCGTATTCGCTCATGTGTCCTTGTCGCGCAATGTTTATTGACAATTCGCAGATTTGGGAGCCCTACTGCTACGGTGGGCGATCTCGTCCACTTCATCGACATTGTCGAGCCGGCTGTGGTGTTTTGCGACGCAGGCGACGTCATGGCGCTGGTTTCTAACGCCATCGACCAGGCAAAATGGACTGGGACAAGACGGCCAGGTGTCGTTGGCCTCGGCGAACGGGGGACGGCAAAGCTCGCGGTGAGTCAACAATACCTTTCGAATAAACCACGACGACGAAACTAACTGTCTAGTTTCCCTCTGATTTCATTGACGACACGACCAAAGCGTATTCACCGCCTATGGACCTCGCGGATGTGGACAACCATTCCGTCCCTTCCGTCATCTGCTTCAGTTCCGGCACCAGTGGTCTACCCAAGGGCGCGGTATTGAGCCACCGCAACCTGATTGCCTACCTCCTCGTCTCTCGCAGCACCGATCCAGCCAACGCCTCGGCCAACCAGCGCGATGTGTTTTATGCGCCACTGGGCCATATCTATGGTGTATTTACCGCCAGTCTCCCTTTGCTGACTGGGGGCTACGTCCGTCTCCTGCGCAACTACACGCTGCACGACTACGTCGAGGCCTGTGTCGACGTGCGCGCCACGACGCTACGCATGGTGCCGCCAACGCTCGTGGCCATGGTCAAGGACCCGTTTGTGCGGCAGCAGAACCTGGCGAGTGTGCGGACCATCAGCTGCTCAGGCGCGGTGCTGGCGCCGGACATTATCAGCGAAGTGCACAAGATGCTGGGCACAGAGGCAAATATTGTGCAGGGATATGGGTACGTTGGCGGCGTTTCTCCTGTCATTTTTCCTGTTCGTCCGTATTTGTGACTACTAACTTTTGTCAGCCTGACAGAGGGCTCAGCTACAATGCTCCGTTCATTTTCTGCCAAACGCAAGCAGGGTAGTGTCGGCAAGCCCGTGGCAGGAATGCAAGTCCATCTACTTCTCTCTGGTGATGAATCACGTCTAACAGGTTAGGAAAATGCGATTTGTCGACGACGACCTCAAGGACGTGCCGGACGGCCAGCCCGGCGAGATCCTGTTCACAGCGCCGACTGTTTTCATGTGCGTACCCCGCGGCAGTGTGTTTCCCGTTGTCATGCGGAACGATGTACTAACGCCCCGCCAGGGGCTATAAGAAGAACCCGGCGGCCAACGCCGAGGCCTTCCCCTTCAACGACGGCTGGCTGCGCACGGGCGACGTCGGCCGTATCGACGCCGACGGCTACGTCTGGCTCACAGACCGCAAAAAGGACCTGATCAAGTACAAGGGCAACCAGGTCACGCCGGCGGAGCTTGAAAACGTCCTGCACTCTCACCCGCTCGTCACCGAAGCCGGCGTCTGCGGCGCCTGGGACGCCGTCCAAGAGACCGAAGTGCCCGTGGGTTATGTTAACTTTAAGCCCACTGTATCTGTCGCCGACCGCCCGCGCGTTCTGCAGGACGTTTTGGCGTTTGCCAACAGCAAGGTGGCGCGGACCAAGAAGCTGCGCGGTGGCCTATTTTATCTTGAGACATTCCCGCGCAACGCTACGGGCAAGTTGATGCGGCGCAGCTTGCCAGCACGTCTCCAGGCCACGCGCAATGCGAAGCTGTAGGCGACGAGGAGGGGAATGATACATGTTTGCTTGCATCACGGACCTCGTTTTCAATAGATTCCACATTTTTGCAACGGTCAAGGAAACAGCAGAACGGTGAAGAAGTTGACCGCAAACCATTCGGGTTGGAGCAGGAAAACAACTCCCGCTCCGTTCCAGGTGATATCATGTGCGACACAATGACGCGCAGCTTGCTTCAAGAATCGGGATACAAACTTGTTGATAATATTTCCAAAGTGGTGTCGTGTGTCATTCGAGTGTGAAAGGGCGTCCACTTTGTGGGGGTAGCCTGAAATGGTACTGCATAAAGCCTCTCGTAGATTTTATTTTATTTATTTGTTTGTTTTGCCGGTGGCATGTACGGGCGATGAATCATTACGGTGATCTTCAAGATATTCCGAATGTCTTGGAAAGTCCACTGTGGCGCCAAAGACCAAGACATACTAAGGCTTGACAGGCGGCACAAACAAGAGCCAGAAAGTCAAAAGCTGCCTGCCGACGGTTGCAGCCGTGCCATAGAACCGTCTATATGTGTGCAGGGAGCTGCATCACAACGAGCAGAGAGAGACAAGGGAAGCGAATGACCAGCCCAGGCCATATTTCTTAGCGAGTCACGGTGCAGAAGAGACCAATAACAGTGCACCAGCTGATCTTGGCAACGATTCAACGGCGTGCTTGGCTTGCTCGCCCAAAAATTAAAACCCCTTTTGCACCTCCTTTTTTTGTGAGCCGATGACGGTCTTGGCCGCGGGGACAGTTTGTCGTCAGCTGGTTTGTGCCAATCGTTACTTGGGGGGAACCCGAAGAGAGGGGAAGAAAGGCTGTAAGGACAGACGAGGAGAAACGAAGGCAGTTAGACACTCTCCTCCTCGTTTCCTTGACCACAATCTAGGGCGAGTCACCACTTGTAGATGATTCAAGCCAATCAGACGGCTCGACGTCAATACAGCCCTCTGATGGACGGGTTTGAGTAGTTCGGCCCACAGTTTCGGGTCTCCTGCTCCTATAGTTCTTTTTGACTTGACTTCATATCAGTTTTATGATTCGGCATCGCCCATCAGTCGCATTGCCTTGTCGATTATTTGTCCAATTCCCAGTCTTGCGTCGCCACATTCCCGGTTGCCAACTTCCGGGGTAAGTAGCACGCCCCGAGGACGAGAGGCCGCGTTTGTACCCCATACACCGTCATGCTTTATTTCCTCTTCGCACGCGCCATGCAAGCGCTTGGCGACTTGGCATCCTGCGAACACAAACGACAATGTGGTGCAAATAGGGTCCAAACTGTACAGCGACCGCTCGTCGTTTGCTTCTAATGATGCTCAAATGATTCCACGGTCTAGGTATTGGAGAACGTAGGTCGCATTTAATGGGTGGAGCAAGGGCAAGTTGAGGAGGAGTAAAAGAAACCACGTTATTTTTTTTACGAATGCCTGCATCCCAGTCGTCCCAAACAATAAATTTCCCCAATTCCCATCCGTTCGCATCTCCTTTGGGCCTTGTGCTTAAAAGGGCTGGTCCTTCCCCAGATTTTGATCTCCTCTCTGTATCGACGTGCATGGAGTAGGATACGGATCGGCATCATCTCCCTTTTTCCATCCCTCTGTCCAGGCCAGGATAAGACAATCGACTTCTGTTACGGAACTCCATTCGTCCTCTTTTTCTATTTGATTTCTTCTTCAATTCCTTTCACTGCTCTGTCCTCGCCCAGCATGAACTCTACCGGCATACACCTAGCCGACAACAAGGTGGAGGCCACTACGGACCACCACGATGCGTCAGTTTCGAGCGACAACGCCGCCAACAAGCACGACAGAGACAGCGATAGCATCTCCATCAACGCGGCTGCTCTCGGTGACGACCTACCGCCAGGCTACTTTTACTCTCTCGGCTTCCTGGGGACATTAATTGTGCGCTTTCCGTCGCGGCGGCATACTCCGTGCTTACTTGGCACCTGGTACATTCGTCTAACATACGCGTATAGGGCTTCTGTCTTTCCGCCATCAGCGCCTACATGTTTGTCATTCTGCCGACCAACATCCTGAGCTACATCAACGAGGACATTGGTCCCAGCAAGTACACCGCCTGGGTCAACATTGCCCGCACACTGGCCCTGTCTTTCACCTACACCATCCTCGGCCGGCTGTCCGATCTCTTTGGTCGCCGCTGGTTCTTTATCGGCGGCAACATTGTGGCCCTCGTGGGCATCATCATCAGTGCGGTGGCCCAGAACTTTACCACACTCATCGTGGGTGCGGCGGTCTACGGTCTCGGCGAAACGGTGCAGCTGTCGTTCAACGTGGCCATTGGCGAGTTGGTGCCCAACAAGTACCGCCCCATGGTGCTATCGTTTATCTTCCTGTCCAATGCCCCCTTTGCTTCGTTTGGCCCGATGATTGGTATGTCCCGATTCGGTATCACGTTGTGTTGTTTACTTGGAATCGTTTCGTCCTTTCCACTAACGCCGTCATAGCCCGCAAATTCATCGAAATACCCTCGCTTGGCTGGCGGTGGTGCTACTACATCAACATTATCAACACCGGCCTCGCCGTTGTCTTTCTGTTCATCTTCTACCACCCGCCCAACTTTGAGCTGCTGCACGAGCGCAAGACCAAGCGCGAGATCTTGACGAGCCTCGACTATGTCGGCATTTTCCTGTGGACTGCCGGCCTTACCATCTTCCTGATTGGTGTGTCGTGGGGCGGCAGCATCTACGCCTGGGACTCGGCCGCCACGCTGTCGTCGCTCATCATCGGCGCCGTTCTGCTGATTGCCCTCTTTGTCTGGGAGGGCTATGCCAAGCTGCGCTACCCGGCCATTCCCATTCACTTTTTTACCAACCGCGGCTTCATGGCTCTGGTTGCGTGTGCCACTGTGGCTAGTAGTACGTTTGGCCCTGTCTGCATTCTCTAGTGTACATTCTCACCACTAACAACACAGTGTTCTACTACTCGGCGGTCCTGCTTTGGCCCCAGCAGATCCGCCACTTCTTCACCACCGACATTACGTATGGCGGCTGGCTCTCCACGACCGTCGCCTCATCCACCGCCCTCGGCCAGATCTGCGCCGGCGCCATCATTCGCTGGGGCGGCAACGTCCGCTACTGGATGATCTTTTCGACGTTTGCCATGGTCGGCTTTGTGGCGTCGTTGGCTGCCCTGACCCCGGAGAAGAAGGGCATGGGCATTGCTCTCACCATCCTGGGCCCGTTTTTTGTCGGCTTCATCGAGCTCACCTCGCTCGCCCTGGCGCCCCTCTTTTGCCGCGCCGAAGACATTGGCCTGGCCTCGGGTCTCCTTGCCTCCATCCGCTCAGCCGGTGGCTCCGTGGCTGTCGCCGTCTACTCTGCCATCCTGAGCAACCGCCTCCTCACCACCATCCCCGCCAACATTGGTCCCGCCGTCGAGCAGGCCGGCCTCCCTGCCAGCGACGTCCCGGCTCTCCTCAAAGCCTACACGGCCGGCAACATCACCTCCTACTCCCCTGCCGTCCAGGCCGCCGTTGCCGTCGCCGACCCCATCGCCTACACCCAGGCCTTTAAGACGGTCTATCTTGCCAGTCTGGGCTTTGGCGGTATTGCTATCATCGGCTGCTTGTTCTCCAAAGACGCTCAGAAGCACCTGACGAGCAAGGTCGAGCGTAAGATGACGACGGCCAAGACTGGTAAGAAAACAAGCGGTACGACCGAGAAGGACACATCTGTAGATGTGTAAATTTGGAACGTAAGAGAGATTCGCGATATGAGTCGAGCGTTGACGGGGAGAGGTAAACTAATGAATAATAATTTGTCATATACGAATTGCCGTAGAAACTCTGTACTCTTTATTCGGTCTCATCCGTAGGTTTTATTCACATCTTTTATTATTCAAAAACCTGGTTGCACAAGTTGCAATGCCAGGTTGAGCCAGACGCTTTTTTTTTGTTTTATCCAATGCTTGGAGACTCTATTCTACCATATTTGACGTTAATTTTTGTTGCTAAATTTTTTCTGTTATTTTATTTACTTATTATTATTTTTTTTTTTTTTAACTTATTATCACTACGAAACAAACAACAAGATGTGATGGCGGTGTGTCTTTGAAGTATGAAATAGGGAGGGGGGGGCAAAGAGTTTTCTTCACCCCAACGACGGTTTTACCATTTTTTGACCCTGTTCGTCGTCGTGCGATTCCCGTGTGGCAGCCCTAGCTTGCGAGCCTTGTTACACAAAGGATGATTTTAGGCTCTGACATTGACGTCTCACGTCTTGTGGAGTAATCTTTGGTTGGCAAAGGCAGTTTGTTTCAAAGGGTGAATAGATTTGCGGCAGAACATTTGCTCTAAAACTTTGAATAAATGACAAAAGACAAATAGGATATCAACCGACAGTCGATCACGATGATGATCTTATATCAATGGCAATGGAAGACACCTTCGCATCGATAGTCCCTGTTCTCCACCCCAACATCTCCTCCTCTTCGAACATCTCTCACGTGTCCCGACCAACCTCACAAAGCCAGCGACCGCTACTTAACCATCGAGCGGGCTCTTGCACACGTACGACGTGGTGACGTTCTTGGCAAAGGCATCCCGGAGTGTGACAATGGACGCGTAGGCGCCGAGACCGCCCAGTGCAAGGGCGCCCAAAATGTATATGATGTTCAGCGAGTTCATCCACCAGCGGCTGGGCGAGAAGAAGCCGCGCTTGAAGCGTTCCCAGCCCGTGCCGGAGCGGGTGACCTGGCCGGTGGCCGGGTCGTAGCCGTCGCCCTCGCGCATGGCCATCTTCTTGACGAGGAAGGCAACGGACAGCAGCGGGGGGAAGGTGTAGGTGAAGTGGAGGATGCAGAAGGCGGTCACGACACTGGTGAGGCCGGAGAAGTTGGGGATGCCGGCGGCCAGGGCAAAGGCAATCGACCAGTACACGGGGATGATGGCGACCCACAGCCACTTGCCGGCGCGGGAGGTCAGCGGCGGGGCGTGGAGGAGCTCGACAAAGACGTTGTTGTACATGACCTTGAGGCCGATGTTGCCGTACAGACAGGCGGCAATGACGGCGCTCAGCATGGCGAAGACGTTGCCGGCGGTCTGGATGTTGTAGTTGCTGATGCCGAGGTAGCTGGGGTTGACGGTGTACTGGCCCTGGTAGCCGTAGAGGAAGAGACCGTAGAACATGTACCAGAAGTAGATGAAGGCCTGGGCGGCCCACATGGCGGTCAGGAAATCCTTGGGGCGCTTCATCTCGGCCATGAACTCGGGGAAGACCATGGAGCCGCCGTACGCGAAGATGGCCTGCATGGCGCCGGAGACGGAGCCGACAAAGCTGCCCGTGTCGGGGAGACCGCCGTTGGTCTGGACGGGCGGGAAGACACCGTTCGCATCAGGCGTGACAGACACGCCGCCGGCAATCGAGGCACCGGCCGACGAGGAGGCGCCGGCGTAGTTGGGGGGCGAGTGGGCGGCACCGCCCATGGTAATGAACATGCAGATGAGGTTGATCCAGACGGCAGCGTTGGCGAGCCAGCCGAACTTTTGCAGGGTGCGGATCTGGCCGACGATGAAGCCGACAATGGCCCAGATCAGGCAGCACACGATGAAGCAGAGGCGGAACTTGGCGACCTGCGACAGGGCCTCGCCGTTGGAGATGACAATCAGGCCGACGTTGAGCAGCAGCTGGATGGACTGCAGGACGTTGAAGAGGTGGCGGAGCCAGCGGCCGTAGAGGCGGTAGCCCATGTCGCCAAAGTTGCGCACGGGGTACTCGTACGAGTCGAGGCCCATGAAGGACTCCCACAGCAGGAAGCCCGAGTAGCCGGCGAGGGCGGCAAAGATGGTGAAGAGGGTGATGCCGGGGCCCCAGCCCATGGTCGCAAAGGCATACGGCAGGCCAAAGGGGCCGAGAATGTCCGTCGTGATCAGGTAGAAGATGGCGCCGCGCGTGGCCGTGCGCAGGGCGCGCGACGCATTGATCCACTCCTCGTCGCTGACGACCATGCGCCCGTGGCCCGGCTCGGCCACGACGCCCTCGCTCTTCTCGCCGGGGGGCCGCTGCTTGACGCCGCCGTCCGACTTGCTGGGGAAGAAGAGCGACCAGATGGTCGTCTCGTAGCCCGAGCGCGGCTGGGCCTCCTCCTCGGCACGCGTCTGCTTTGCATAGTAGTGGTACTGCTCAAAGGTAATGGTGGGATCGTGTAGCTGGTGGTCCCTGCGCCTGTGCGCCGACGCGGCCGCGGCCGTGGCGACCGACGTCTGCTCGTTGGTGATGGCACCGATTTCGTTGTCGTCGGGCCCCTTTATGTTCAGCTCCTTGTCCACCTGGTCGTAGACGCGCGGGTCGGCCCCGTCAATGGCCAGGTTGCCTGGTTTGGCCATGATGGCGGTTTGTGTGATTTGTGTGATTTGTGTGATTGTGTGGCTTGTGTGGTTTGCTGCCGGCAGTTGTGATTTGGCGACACTTGGCAGATCTTGGCAAGACGAGCTTGGCAAGATGGACTTTGCGCAGGGTCTAAGATGCCAGTGTGAGTGGGTTTGAGAGCACCGTTGAAGAAGAAAAGAGTAAACAAACGGAGGGGAAACACGAAAAAAAAAATTGAGTGTAGGATCGAGTGTAAATAAAGGACGTGGAAACAACGACAGGAATGCAGACGATCTTTATCCCTTTCTCGCGTACGGGGTACGGGGTCAACGGAGCACGTCAGAGAGAGGCAGACACAGTCAAAAGTCAAAATGAGGAGAAACGAGGAACGGTTTTGGGGTCAAACGGTTCCCAAGCAAAAGAAAAGGTGGACGTCCGCTCCGGTAATCGTGGCGGTCACGCGTGATGGTGGGTGAGAATGAGGAAAGAAAGGATGGAGACAGCTGAGAGAAAGAGGAAGGTGCGAAGCAAGAGAAGGGCAGGGGGGTAAGGGGGAGGGTGGGGAAGAAAAGAGAAGAGAATCAGGAAAGAGGGACACCAGGTGAGGGAAATGAGTGAAGGAAGGGGCGGATGGGGGACGATGTGTCAAAGGGTCAGAGCCCGGAGTCAACGAGGGAAAGAGCGAACAGCGCGACGCGGACCCGGCCAACGAGAAACAACTCAAAAATGGGGAGCAAAGAAACCAAACGAGCCAAACTAGAGGCAAACAGGAAGGCGAAAAAGACAATGAAAAGGCGCGAGGCGTACGGAGCACGGATGGAGACAGCGCGGACAGTGGGAGAGTGGGTGCGGACGGTAGCCGGTCGCGTGTAAGTACGAAGCAGACTGAGGGCGAAGATGGCAACGGAAAGTGGAGTCGCGCACGAGGAACCAGACGTAGCGGAGAAAGGATGGAGGAAGGAGCAACTTGTGCGAGACGAGAAGGAGATCGACGGCATGCATGCTCAGGTGGCACTGTTGCAGTTGCTTGCCAATCAAATAGCAGCAGCTGGACCAGGGCAACTGACCCAGATAGACAGCTTGTCCGTTGTTCGTTGTTCGTATAAAATGGTGCAGTATATGGACCATGTGGTTGTCGGGTGTCCGTGGGCCGTGTTTCGAGTACGTCGTATTTTTGAATGGTAAAGATACAGTCGCACACTCGCACACTCGCATAGGCGATCAATGCTTAATGCCCAATGCCTAATGCCTACGAGATTTACATTGTAAATGGCTGATCTACTAATAGTCGGCAGGACGGTCGACGGTACCTGCCAAGTAGCATGTTCATCGTATTGCAACGTAATTCTGGAGTGGCCGAAACGATTGGCCATGGCTCGCGTTAAAACACAAAAAGACAAAGGGCCAAGAAAAAAACAAAGAAAGGAAAGAAAACGAAGGTGAACACTCAGCCCCCCCTTTCCCGGAGTCAGGTCGCGCGGGCCCTGTTGGTGTCTGGGCGATCGGCGTTCTTTGTCTCAGCTGCTCGTGTGCCTCGATCAAGGCAATTGGACCAATAATACAAGAAGTCAGGGAGCCAGACAAGCCAACCTATCGATCTGCGAGTGATCTTATTCATACAGCATTTGGTTGGTAGCCTGTACAATGTACCTCGTAGCTTGATTTCGGTCTGATGTCGGCCTGTCAACAGCCCATGGACGACAGGGTAGGATAGTCTAGCCGCAGCTGATTGAGCTTATTGGGGTGATTGCGGCACGACCAATAAGAGAAATAGAGTACATGTACGGCGACATGGCATCGCTGTTGGTATCCGATCATGTTTTCGTTATGGGCGTCCGTGCCCCCCGTATTTTAGCCACTTAAAAAGTGTCCGCGGAGTATTGATGCTCCGTCGTCACTACAGCCCAAAGTCGGCACAGCGTTCAATGCCAACCACGGCCACACCACCTCCAGTGCCAGCCATTCTAACCCCATTCGGGCACTAAATCCTTTACAGTACCGAGTACAGTGACATACAAAGGACACACACTGTTCTGGCATACTGTGCACGACTTCCGCCTGTACGGAGTGCGACATACAATGTCGGTATCGTTGGACATGAGCTTCTGTGCCTGTGGCTTGCAGTCTGCGTGAGACCGAGATGCCGATCGGGCAGCTGCAAAACAGCAACAGCAACAGCAAGAAGAGGGCAAAGCAGCAACGTCCGAGTGCCATAGGCTCAGGGCGCAAGTCCTAATCGTTAGAGAGTAGATACGAAGGGAACGAGACGGAGAGGGTTGCGCAACGAGATAAGAACAGAATCGGCAAAGGGCGAATGAAAGGACAACATCGAGAGAAACAGAGCCCCTGCCACTGGATGAACGGCACCTCAACGTTGCATCTCTTCCTGTCGTCAGCCGGGAGGCCGGCCAATTTGGGCTATCCGCACCGAGGCGTGGCGAAGAAAAAAAAAAGGTTGCTTTTTCTTACAGGGGCCGCACTTACATACGTCGTCGAGTCTAAAACGGGTGTGGTCTGTTCTCACTCTCGCCACAGTAGGTCTCCGGAGAAGCGTGCCAGGGTAGTGGATTTTGAGTTATTATTTATTTTTTATTTCAAACTGCCCCAAAATTGTTCCTTTCTTCTAGGTCGGCTTCTAGTTCAATCAGGAAGGTGGATTTGAAGTGGGCCTCGTAAGCGATCCAAAAGATGGCACTTGCAGCGGGAGGCGGAGAGGCAAATGTAAAAAGAGAACGCGAAAATTGAGACGAAACAAAGGCCACTTCCACCGCTTAGGGTGCCTCGATGCCTCGTATTTGTTGCGCCGTACGGAGGACTCCTTCCACGGCAAGAGGGTCAGGCATGTCGCGTTGTATTTACTCGATCTGTCCTGGAAATGTTGCAATCCCAATGTCACCCAGTTTGTCCGTCAGATTACAGACTATGACGACCCATGACACGGCAGGTATATCTTGGCAATGTAATTTCGAGTAAGACGACATAACAAATGAAGATTTGGGGGCCGGTCAAAGTAACGGACAAAGCGTTTGTTAAGTCGACGAGGTAAAGATTTTTTTTCTTTTCCTTTTTCGACTTTTAACAGACAACACCAGTGCATGCCAAGGCGGCTACCACGGTAGAACGGCAGCCGTTGCTTGTCGGGGCAATCAATACTTGGCACGCAACGTAACCCTGGCCGGAAAAAGCTTGTAATTAAGTCCCCTTGCCCACCACAGGCTAATTGACGCAATGGACACAGGCTCACAGGGACGGATTTTCAGGACATGCGCTCCGAGTTTCGTCCAGAGGTCGTGAAGTGACCATCGCAACAGCAATTCTTCGTTCCAGACGTCCATCCCACGCAATTAATATAAATACATTGCGCTTGTCTCGTTTGGTTCGTTTATGGTTGACGCTTCGCCGTTGTCATCTGCATCTTTTATTGCTTACCATCCTTACTCTGCGCTGTAATAAACAAATGCCATGGCTGGTGCCGGATCGTGAACTTGGGTGCAGTGTCTTCGTAGTCTTCGTAGTTCTTGTAGCCCTCGTAGTCCACGTAGCTCTTTCGGTGTCCGTTCTTGTAGTCCTCGGCACATCTGTCGTCGTTCCTGGCACGGCAGCGAATCGCGACGATGGTGAACCTTCCGGTGACCGGCTTGCTGGCCGCGGCCGTGGCGACGATCACTGCGACGATCGCTGCGACGGATGCAACGACCAGCACCCAGCTCCAGCTGCCGCGGCTGCTGGGATCCTATCCGGTCGGCACCGTCAATCTCGAGGTGACAGACCACACGCGAACAGTTCCGTCGACTGCGACGAACGCATCCACCAACAGCACGGAGCCCCGCCGGCTCATGGTGTCCGTTTTCTACCCGACCACGAACGCCACCACCAAGAACGGAAACGCGAGCAAGAGCAGCAGCAGCAGAAGCAGAAGCAGCAGCGGCAACAACAGTACGTACCAAAGAGCCCCGTACTTTGCGTCGGCCACGTCCGCGGCCGCCTTTGCCACGTACCTGGGGAATGCCACCACACTCTTGACCAACCTCGCCACGTGGGCGTACGCAGATGCCCCTCTTGCGGCTACCCATGCGTCTGTGCTCCTCTTCAGCCATGGGCTCGGGTCCTCTCGTCTTCTGCATGCCGCCTTTCTAGCCGATCTGGCCAGCCGCGGGTGGATCGTCGTCGCGCCCGACCACCCCTACGATGCATGGTACACAGAGTATCCGGACGGGTCGGTGGCGCGCATGCCCGACGCGGCCCTCGACGACTTTCCCAACGAGCTCCCCGGGCTTGTCGACACGCGGGTCAAGGATATCACGTTCTTGGCGGGCCTCTTACAGAATGGGAGCCTCTGGCGTGGTCTTTCGACGTCCTCCACCGTTGACATTGGCATCCTCGGCCACTCTCTAGGCGGCAACACCGCCGCCCAGACTGTCGCCCGGTCGTCGTCGTCCTCTTCCTCGTCGTCGTCGTTCCCCTGCGGCGCCAATTTCGACGGCGGCATCTTTGGGCCCGTCGCCGCCACGGGCCTGGACCGGCCCTTCCTCCAGATCGGCGCCGCCAACCACAACCAGACCACCGACGCCACCTTTTCGCACTTTTGGTCGGTCCTCCACGGATTTCGCCGCGAGCTCACCGTCAACAGCACCGTCCACCAGTCGTTTATGGACCTGCCGGTGCTCCGGGACGTCCTTGGTGACGAGTTTCCCGTGGATCTCCGGAACCAGTCGGGCACGGCACCGGGGGCTCGCTTGCTGCAAATTGAGACGACCTTGGTCGACGCATTCTTCCGTTTCTGCCTGACAAAGACGGCGTCGTCAGACGATTTCGACCAGGTGGCCAAGAGCCTAGCACCGGACATTTGGCCCCGCGAAGTCTGGTGACCCTGCAAGTGTGTGTTGAAGTATGTTGAATGTATATTAAAACTATATAACCAAGCCATCCATTTACTTTTTTTTCTATTGGTTCTACTTCTAGATGCATCCGCCCATGGCTATACTGCAGTATCGAACTCGTCAATGACGCTCCGGGGCTTGACAAACGTGCCGAGTGGCTCGTACTTGAGGTGGCCGAAGCCAAAGGCCTCCGGGCCGCCAATGGACACGGCGCGTTCGCTGTGCGTCCAGCGGTCGCTGGCGGCGATGCCGAGGACGGTGACAAACAGGCCGTAGCGGTACTCGGGCGTGCCGATGGCCTCGCCGTTCTGGTCGTCGATGACGGCAATCAGGTCGGGCACGAGGGCCACCACGTCCTCCTGTTTCTCCGTCGCGGCGTCCGCACCGTCTTGGACGCGAAGCACAGCAATGTTTTCGTTCTTGAAGGGAATCTTGACGCGACCGACGAAGCTGCCGCTTGCGGTTTCCACGCCGTCCTCGCTTCCACCCTCAATGATGCACTCGCCGTAGACGTGGCCCATGCGCAGGGTCCGCTCCACGCCGACAATCTTGCCGCGCCACAGCACCTTGGCCGCCTGCGCGCCGCCGCAGGCGTCGATGATGGCGTCGGCGACGCGGTCGAGGTTGCTGGTGCGACGCGCGCGGTCGATGGCGCGGCCGATGCGCCAGGCCTGCGAGATGGTGTGCGCGACGGCCCAGCGGCGCGTCTCGTCGCCGCGCACGGGCGCCTCGGCGCAGCCGGCGTGCGAACCCATCTGGCTGACGGCGGCGCGCGTGATGCGCTCGACGTGCGCGTCGGACACGGCGCGGCGCACCACGAGCGTGTTGCCGTTGCCGTCGCACATGGCCATGGGCGCAAAGACGGGCGCGCGCTCGTTGAAGACGACGGGCGTCGTCTGCCACTTGGTCGGGTAGGCGCGGCCCATCCAGTCGCCGTCGACGGCCGGCAGGTCCATGTTGGTGCTGGCGCCCACGACCATGCTCTGCAGGCCGTTGCCGCCGCCAATCTCAATGGAAATGATGTGCGTCGGCGCCACCGCGCACACCCGCGCGAGCTCGCGCTGCGCCTCGAGCATCTCGTCGCCCGGCAGCTTCTCAATGCCCACCGTCGGCGACCCCATGGACCCGCCCGTGCCGACCTGCGCGTCGTCGGCCAGGTCGTCCGGGCTGACGACGCGCACCACGGCGCCCTTGCGCAGCATCTCGCGTAGCCGCACCATGTGCGAGTACGGCGAGCCGCCGCCGCCGGTGCCGAGCACGTAGCATCCCGACGCGATCCAGTTGACGTCCGTCTCGGAGACGAACCAGTTGCGGCCCCGCACGAGTGGTCGGTAGGTGTCGATGTCGAGGTCGCTGGACGGCGCTGGCTTGGTCACCGGCTCCGAGGACGGGGCGTCCGACGCGGTGGTGCTGGCGTCCTTGGCCGTCTTTTCGTATTGCTCCATGTCCTGCTCCGCGCCCTCTTCGGCGTCGACGACGGCGTCCTTGGACGGCTGGTCCATGTCGGTGCGGCTGTAGTCGAAGTCGCCGGCCGCGCGGACCACGAAGCGAGACTTGTTTTGGACGTACTATGAAGTGTTGGAAACGGATTAGAAAGGGTCCCATGTCATTGTCATTGTCATTATACTTGTTATGCTGCTGCGTCGACCTACCTGCAACGGCAGAGTGTCCATCTCGGCAATTTTGACAGTGGCAGGATCGGCACCGGCAGCGACCGTCTGGGCAATGGCCTCTTCGGAGATCTGTCGCAGCAGCGCTGCCGTCGTCGTGCCCTCGGTGGACTTGACGGTGTCGACTACAGCACTGACACGCGCCATGGCCGCGCCAATGGCGTTGGCCACGCCCGACCAGCGCGGCTTCAGGACGCGGCTGGCGCCTTTCAGGGTGTCCGGCGCAATGACGGCACCGCCGCCGACGAGAAGGACAGGCACGTCCTGGGGCGACGTCTTCATGTTGTCAATGACGCGCTCAATCTTCTTCTTGACGACCTGCTGGAACGCGGCGAGCTCATCGGCGGTGAGACGGCCCTTGACCAGACCCGCATTGCCAATCTGGACGTTGGCTGGGTCGGCCATGACGGTGCAGTCGGTCGTCGTCAGAACATCACCGCCAAAGACGACGGCCTCGCTGGTCAGCTTGTAGCCGACGCTATCTGGGCCGACCGTCAGGCTGGGCGAGTCACCCGCATTGGCAAGCCGTCGCACAATGGATCCGCCGCCAATGCCGATGCTCTTGATGTCCGGGCACGAAAAGTTCATGCGCACGCCGGCCAGCTCGCTGTACGCGGCCTGCTGCCGCGGGAACCCGCTCGCTAGCAGCAGACCCACGTCGGTCGTCGTGCCGCCAATGTCGACCACCATGACCGCCTCCGCCTTCAGGTCGGTCTCGCCGTCCACCAAAAAGGCGGCGCCGCGCATGCTGTTGGTGGGACCGCTCGAGAACGTGCGGATCGGCAGCTTGGCGGCCATGGCGCCCGACAGCACGGTGCCGTCGTTTTGCGTGATGAAGACGGGGCACTGCAGCCCCAGGCGCTGCACGGGCTCGTGGAAGGCGCGGATGGTCCTGCGCGCAAAGGCCAGGATGGCCGCATTCAGAATGGCCGCGTTCTCGCGCTCCACAAAGCCCAGGCTGGCCACGTCCTTGGAGAGCACCACGTCGTGGCCGGGCAGGACGCGCCGCACAATCGCAGCCGCGCGCTCTTCCTGCCGCTCGACCGTGTCTATGGGGCTGAACGTGCCGCTGACGACGATGCTCTTGACCTCCTTGTGTTTGTCTTTGATTTCGATGCACGCCGCCTCGATCGCCGCTGCGTCAATGTCGGCAATCAGCGACCCGTCGACCTCCAGCCCGCCCGGCAGGATCGCATAGTGCTTGAGCACCAGCGCGCGCATGTCCGCGGGCCAGTCTACGCACGGCGGCGTGTGGTGCGAAAAGGGCCCGCACAGCCGCAGCACGGCCACCGGTGACAGCCGCCGCGCGTCGCGCTCCACCACGGCGTTCACAAAGTGCGTCGTGCCAATGGTCACGCTGGCCACGTCCGCGGCCGGGATGTGCGCCGACGTCAGCATCTCCGTGATCGCGTGGCCGATGCCCACGCTGGGATTCGTCGTGGTCGCCGCCTTGTGCCACGCCACGATGCCCTTGTCCGGTTCGCCCGACCGCGCCGGGTCGAGGACGACGCCGTCCGTGTTGGTGCCGCCAACATCCACGCCGATGCGCAGCCGCCGTCTCTCAGTGGAGCCCATGATGTAGTTGGGTACGTGGGCGTGTCGCTTTTTGTGGTGGTGTGAGGTGTCGTTTGGTAGAAGTCGGTACGGCTCGAGCTAGGAGAATTCAAAGGACACAGAAGATGTTCTTTCTTTTCTACATAACTGCACGGCGCATACTTGCATCTTTACACTCCCTCTGTAAATACGCAACCGAACTTCCCCGCATGCCTCGTACTCTCCCGTCAAAGCTTTGGTTCGGACGTAACGCTGTCCGCTTGAGCCGATACAGAAATTGAGGAACGTGTAGAGCGAGATAAGCTCCTCGGTTAACCGACGCTACTAAAGGTTGGCCGACGGCAACTGCCTGCAATTTGCCCAATACGGAAGGGAACCAACCTTGTCAATACCACGTTATTTTCTTGTCGTCTGCATCTCTCCTCGCGTCCCCTCAGGACGTGCATCCGTGTCAACGATAAGCACGGCAGTGTCGCTAGATGCCATGCGATTCTGTGTTCTGATCATCTGCCACCAGTTACCAAGCGCTGGGTCGGCCACTGCCGATAGAAGGGCAAACGAGTTTTATCCACTCATCGTTTGTTGGAAGAGGCGGTACTTTATTCTCAATTGTGCACCTTGTTTTCATATTCTGTCTTGTTTTTTTTTTCGTTCATGCTTTACTTTGCTTCAACTTTGCCTTTGTCCCACACCATCATGACCTCCAACCTGCGGCAACGGGCCAATGTGCTCTTGGAAAAAGCGAGGCTGCACGGCAACGAAGAAGAACACGAGCAGACCGACCACTGGAGCAACCGCGACCTCATTCCTTTGCCGCCGAAGCGACGAGTCTGGGGTAAGAACATGTGGCAGCGCCCAATGTGTGATGTCTTTATTATTTGCCAGTGACCAACTGCTGACCTGCCACTTGCCAGGGTGGTTCAACTTCTTTGGCTACTGGGCCATTTCGTCACTCAACATCTCCACGTGGCAGTCGCCCAACACGTACCTCGCCCAGGGCCTCTCGGTGCGCCAGTCCATGGCCGTCATTGTCGTTGGCCGCCTCATGATCACGCTCTTCTCGTCGCTCGTCGCCTGGTGCGGCCTGCAGTGGCACATTGGTTTCACCATCCAGAACCGCATCTCGTGGGGCCTGCGCGGCAGCTACATCCCGCTGCTGCAGCGCGTCCTCCTCAATTTCATCTGGTCCGCCGTGCAGTGTTGGAACGGCGGCCGCCTCGTCGCCATCTGCCTGACGGCCATCTGGCCGTCCTTTGCCACGATGCACAACTTCCTGCCCGCCAGCATGTCGCAGATCACCACGGCCTACCAGTTTGTCGGCTTCATCTTGTTCTGGGTCCTGTCGACCCCCTTTCTGCTGATCCCGCCCGAAAAGTTCAAGCTACCCTTCCAGGTCGTCTCCATCTACTGCGGCGTCGCCATGCTCGCCATGATGATCTGGGCCCTCGCCGAGGCCAAGGGCGTCGGCCCACTGTGGCACACCGGCGAGGCCGTGCCCGCTACGTCGCGGTTTAATGTGTCGTGGATCATCATGGCCGGCATCAACCAAATGGTCGGCACCGTCGCGGCCGGCATCACCAACGGCTCCGACTTCTCGCGCTATGCCCGCGGGTGGCGACACTACATTGGCGGCAGCACCTTGTCGGCGTTTCTGGTCGGCACCATTGTCTCGTTTGTCGGCCTTGTCACCACCAGCGCCGCCCAGTCCATCTACGGCGAGGTCTACTGGAACCCGCCCGATCTGCTGATGGTCATGATGGACAGTGGCCACGGCTCCAGCAAAGCCCGCGCCGGCGTGTTTTTCCTGTCTTTTGGCTTCTGCCTGACGGCCATGTTTGAAAACATCTGCGGCAACGCCGTGGCCGGCGGCATCGACCTCGCCGGCATCCTCCCCCGCTACATCAACATCCGCCGCGGCGCTTTTTTGACGTTTTTGGCCATCTGGGTCGTCCAGCCCTGGCAGCTCGTCAACAAGGCCACGACCTTTATCAACGTCTTGTCTTCCTTTTCCGTCTTCTTGGCGCCCCTGATCGGCATCATGACGACCGACTTCTATCTCGTGCGCCGCCAAAAGATCCGTCTCTCCCACCTCTATCGGCCCCACGACTCCATCTACTGGTTCGCTGGCGGATTCAACTGGCGCGCCTTTCCGGCCTGGCTCGGCGGCTGGGCGCCCACCGTCGGCGGGCTGGCCTATGCCGCCCAGGGCGCAACAGCCGGACCAAAGGCCCTGTACGAGTTATACTACATGGCCTTCCTGCTCGGCTTCGCCATCAGCGCCGTCATTTTCTTCACGCTCAATGCCATCTTCCCACCCGAGGGGCTGGGCGAGTTTGACGACGTGGATGTCTACGGTACTTTCACGGAGAAAGAGGCGGCAAAGCTCGGTGTCGTTACGAATGCATCCATCGTCGAGGCTGTCTCGGACGGGGACAAGAACGACAGTCCGGACCACGGACCCGAGAAGCAGGAGGGTGAAATGCAGACTGTTACTGCGCTGTGATTGGGAGAAGAGGTATATCCAGGAGAGCAAGGATACATGGTGTAGTACTCATGACCATTTAACTTTTCTTTGAAGGTTTAAGGCATACCGTTTTGCATCCTTGGCCCACCTTTATCATGATAAACTATAGGATCCTATACATGACACGCAATTCCTGTGAAGATCGGGTGAACAAAACCTCTGCGTTTCGTTCTCACAACAAATACGATCGTTATCTCCAAGTGAAACAGTCCGAACCTCGTCACCGTCAAGATAAGATGGGCCGATGCAAAGCGCCCATATCCTCTGCCGCTCCCGTATTAATACATCGACACCTATGTCCAGTATCCACCGTTGATGTCAGACAGACAGCTGCATCGCCGGCCACCACGTGTGTTAGCGGCTCCGGACCTTCAATGTCCAAACGGTTGCTTGTTAGTGTTATCTTTTCCCCGCTTTTCACCACTCTTCACACAGAATTATATCGGCCAACGGAGCCCGCCCTTCATTGCGCGACCGTCCTGGCGGCTTTCCATCGTTTTCCGTGTCGCTCCACACGTGCAACTAGCACCTGCCCGAGATCGCTCAACTCCGCACCTTCCTTATAATGAACCTCGCACCTTCCTTCCCCGACATAATTCGGCCAACTTCGACTTCCTGCCCACTATCTCCAAACAACGCATCGATACAATCTATTCCCTGTCTATCTCCATCCTCCCCCCTATTCGCTCTCACTCCCTGGCACATCCCCCACCCCCTCGAGATGCCGCCTCATCGGCGCAAGTTTCGCATCCAGTCCAAGTTTGGCGAACCGCGACAATGGAGAAGCCGCAAGAGCCGCCCTTGCGATGCCTGCCGGAAAAGAAAGACCGCCTGTGTCATTGACACACAACCTCCCTGTTCGTCAGCCCTGTTTGCACATCCTGGCCTTTCCCTCGTTCCCCACGTTCTCCACGTGTACCGAGACTAACCGTGTCCTGCGTCGTCGGTTGGCTGTGTCCCAGGTCGCTATTGCGAGCGGAAGGGCGTCGACTGCCAAGCGACGGATAGCGGCGGCAGTTCCGCGCCAGGTTCTCCAGGTCGGTTTAGCAGCCGAAGCATGCCAGGCAATCTGGGGAATGCAGACGCACAGGCTTCACCATCCCCACGAGCTACTTTTGGCCCGCTGGCCACACCACGGGACCGGGCACCGTGTCCTACATCCGATCAAGACCCAGGCCTGGATGGAGTTGACGTAGTTCCGACGGGAGCCTCACCAGTCGCGCTAACGTTGATGCAGCCGCCTCCCGTACCGAATCAGGTTGCATTCCCACTGCCATCGCCCATCTCAGTTCTTGTCGATGCTGCAGTCAACCGTGCTTCTGAGGGAAACGCGCCAAGCCGTGCTGTTGCAGCCACCAATAGTGTCTCACCCTTGCTGGTGGAACCACAAGCGCACACAGAGACAGGATCTGTTGTAGTCGGCTTTGCAGCAGCTGCTGCTCTGCAGAGTCCCACGCCCTCCGTCCCTGCCCAGCGCCACAACAGCCCCAGTCGGTTTCCGGCGAGGAACGCGGACAAGACGGCCATCTACACGCTCGACGACAACGACAACGTCACGGCGCATTCCATGGGGCTGGCCGGCGAGCAAGATACAGAGCTGTTGTCGTCGTTCCGGGCAGCCATTATGAACGAGGCTGACAGTATAGACAGCGAAATTCTCCAGATCTATGCAGGGGGTGTCACTGATTCGATCGGTGGCGGAGATGGAGATGCGGGAGAGAGATGTCACCATCCACCAGTGCATTTCAATATGATCCGCGATGAGTTCATGCCGCTAGACAATGCCGTCAAGGTGGCCTCGTCGCACCGCATCGAGGCAGCCGTCCAGGGATGTGCGGATCACCTCGTGCGTCTCTATTTTAAGCACGTGCACCCCGTGTACCCAGTGCTGTCAAAGTCACGCTTCTTGCAAACCTACGCGGACAACAAGCAGGTGTTGCCAGCATCTCTGCGGGGCGCCGTCTACGGCATTGCATCCAACTTTTGGCATCACGACCGTGTCCCCGATGAGAACCGGGCCGTAGTACCGACGACAGCTGCAACTGCAACTGCAGGAACTGAAACAGCCGCAACAGCCGCAACAGCTGCTTCGTCACCATACTGCACAGTCACCTCCCCCGCCATGACAGTGATATCCCGACCCGACCAGCACGAGCTCTTTGAGCAGGCCCTCACCTCGCTGCAACGCGAGCTGCATGGGCCCAATCTGTGGACCCTGCAGGCCTGCCTGCTCTTGATCCACGAGAACTCTGCCGAGAACGCCACCATCGAGACCCCCCGCGTCTGGATGCTGGCCGCCCAGGCGACGGCATGTGCCCAAATGCTCGGCCTGCACCGCGACCCCATGGCCTGGCAGCTGGCGGCCTGGGAGAAGCATTTACGGCGCCGCTTGTGGTGGGCCACATTTGCTGCCGACGTTTGGTCGTCCGTCTGCCACGGCAACCCGCCACACATTTATGAGGGCTCGTTTACGACGCCACCTCTCAGGATGGAGGACGTCGCGCAAGGCGAGGATGTGCCACAATCACTGCGCCACATGGTCGACGACGACTGTGCGGTGTCAGATACAGCTGTCTGCGCACGGTTCGTCAACACGGTTGTCGTCAGCCGCATTGTGCACCAGCTTCTCATGTCGTCCTTCTCCGACGTAGCCTATGTGGAGTCCATGAAGGACCCTGTGACCCGAGAGGCGTCCCTTATGCAGATTCGCCAGCAGCTGCAGGACTGGTCAATGCTTTTGCCGCGATGCATCAGCATGGAGACCATCCCCACGGCCGGCGTGCATCACAACAATGGTATGACATTTTCTGCCGGAAATCACCGAATACACCGAGATACATTTGTTCTGACCATCTGGCGACTGATAGCACCCCTACACCTCTCCTACTACGCCGCCGTCGCACTCAACTTTCGCGCTCTCATGAGCCCCGTCACAAAGTCCGCCAAGCACGATCCGCAGTCGAGTCTGCGACGTCACTTTGGTTCAGCGATCAAGGAATTCGGTTTTTTTACTGATTTCATGCACGGTATCTCTCCGGAGTGCCTGAATGAGTTTTGGGGCCTTCGTACGTTTTTGCACCCCCCCTTTTTCCTACTTTCCTTTTTGTGATATCACATATTCCTCCCGCACCATGCTCACAATCTTTCGTATCTTTTGAATGCGATTTTTCCAGATTCCCGGTCACAACTCATCCTCTGTGGCAACTTTCTTATCTACCTCTTCTTGCTGGCCCCCGGCCCCAACCAGGTCCGAGATACGTTCGCGCTGCTCGGCACATTCCACGACTCTCTCCAACGTTTGAGCGCCGTGGCCGACCAATTCGCAATCGGTGTGCTGCGGCCCGTGGCTTTGCGTATCGACTCCTTCTTTACCCAGGCTGCACAGCTCATGCGCACCAATGGGCAGTCCCCTTCCAGCTAGTATTCCGACATCAGAAGGGGGATTCCAAGCATGGGGCTATCTCCGAATCCCGGTGCCACCCACCAACTACTGTTTTATCAGCTCGTTTTGCCTATCGCGATCGGCCAACTCCTTAGTGCAGCCGCCTTCATCCAAGATCAACTCTTGCAGGTCCCGCTCATAAAACCTCCGCACTTCAATTCCCCTCTTTCTTAGTGCATGCAAGGCCGATCAAGGCGGGCGGCTTATCGCCTGTAGGAACACACGTCAATATGCACATGCCGTCTCATCCAAGAAATACTGCATCTTACTCACCACACAACGTTCACGGCATCCATCCATATAAGTCGAGATAGGAATTGGACCTCTCGGTTCAGCTTCTCTGATCTCAAAGCAGGCCCTTATCGGCACAGCTACTACTTTTTCTACAAGCGGCACCACGTCTCTGCAGTACCCACCACCAAGCAACCACAAAATTACACGGTTTTATCCAATTGTCAGCCATGACTCTCGACCCACCCGCTGGTAGCATTCCCGTGATCGACTTTGCGCCGTTTTACAGCGGCCGGGCCGAGGACACCACCGCCGTTGGCAAGGCTGTCTACGAGGCCTTCCGCGACGTCGGCTTCGCCTACATTTCCAACCACTGCATTCCAGAGGAGGCGGTTAAGGAGGCCTTTGAATGGGTAGGTCGCGCCTGTCGTGATTCTTGACCACGTTTGTTGTCGCGCTTGTTGACCCTGTAGAATGCCAAATTCTTTGACCTCCCTCAAGCCGTCAAGGAAAAGGCGCCTCACCCGCCCGAGGGATGGTGGCACCGCGGTTACAGCGGCATCGGCCGTGAAAAGGTCGTCCAGATGGTCTACGACGAGGCAAGCATCGGCGATCTGCGCAAGGTGCCCGACTTTAAGGAATCGTTTGAGATTGGCCGCGACTACAACGCCACGCGGGTGCGCAACATCTGGCTGCCCGAAGAGGACCTGCCCGGCTTCCGCGACTTCTTTGTCAAGTTCTTTGAGCTGGGCTACCAGATGGAGCTCGACTTGCTGCGGGCCATTGCCATTGGCATGGGGCTCGACGAGAAGTTCTTTTGGCAGTACCACACCAACAAGGACAACCAGATCCGCCTCCTGCACTATCCCGCTGTGGAGGAGTCGCTGCTGCGCGACGGCAAGATCGAGCGCATCGCCAGCCACACCGACTTTGGCACGCTCACGATGCTCTTCCAGGACAGCGTCGGCGGTCTTGAGGTCGAGGACATCTACGAGAAGGGCAAGTTCAACGCAGCGCCGTACATCCCGGGCACCATTGTCGTCAACATTGGCGATTTCCTGCAGCGCTGGAGCAACGACCAGCTCAAGTCGACGCTGCACCGCGTGCGTGCGCCGCCGCTGGTGGACAATGAGGAGGCGGCAACTCCGGACAACGGCGCCCCGAAGCAGCGGTTGACTCGGCCGCGCCGGTCCATCCCCTACTTTGTGACGGCCGACCACGAAAAGATCATTGACTGCCTTCCAGGCTGCTTCGGTCCAGATAACCCGAAAAAGTACGAGCCCATCAACAGCGGCGAATACATTACCAGACGGCTCAACGCAACATATTGAGGGGGGAGAGAAGAGGGACCACGTGCCACGTGTACTACATAGTTATAACCAATATGCAGCAGCTAGAACCAATATTTTTGTTTTGTTGGCCTTGTATAAGGTTTACTCTCCGTCTACAATGCGTTTTATTTTGTCTGTTTGCTTCTTCAATCATACACCGCTGTCCCCATGAGTCACTCCATCCCCTCTGGTCGGAACTTGACATAGACCAATGTATCCATCACGATGCCGTTCTTTTCCATGCTTTGTCGCTGCCGCACTTCGAAAGCAAAACCGGCCTTTTCCAGCACCCGCGCACTGGCATCGTTGCCGTCAAACACGTGGGCCTCGAGCCGCAGCAGCAGGGGGAACGTCGCAAACGCCCAGTCGCAAAAGGCGGCCACGGCGTCCGTCGCGATGCCGCGGCCCCAGTACGCCTCGCCCAGCCAGTACCCGAGCTCCATGGTGCGGTACTGGATGTCCTCGCGCAGCTTGAGCCCGATGCCGCCCATCACGGTGCCCCCGGCATGCTCGCCGTCGTCACCGTCGTTGCCGTCGGCCGTGCAGATGGCCAAGTCGCGCACCGGCGCCCAGCGGGTGGCGACGGCGATCCAGACCTCGGAGCTGTGGCGCGTGTACGGGTGGGGGAACGTGTTGCGCATCCACTTGGCCACGCGGGGGCTGTTGGCCGCGCGCACGAGTGCGTCGACATCGCTCGTCTTGTAGGGACGGAGGACGCAGCTGCCCAGCGCCAGGTAAGGATCCGCGGGTGGCATAGCCGGTGGACTCGGTTTGTAGATGTTGGTTAAAGGAGTCTGTTGGACCGATCAATGTGTGCGGTGTGGCTGCGCCGAACGTTTGATTTGCACTACTTCCATCCTGTGGGACTACGGGGCATGCGGGTACGATAGCCGCTAGGTATTAAACCAATGTTGCGTCTGCAGTTTCTTGTATTGGTCGGCTGCATAGTATGTGGGACATAACAGGAGCGATATTTAAGTCTCAAGAAGAATAAGACGTCTATAAATTGAAGAATATTGACTCACATTCTTGTCTTTTTTCTTTGTTTTGGAATTTGTTTTAAAGAAAGTACCATTTTTTAAAATTAAGAAAAAAGACACAACAAATACTATGGCAGCACAAATTTTTAAAAATGATTTGACTTTCATTTGCAAACGTTGGGAGATAAATACAGTTGTAGGACCTAGGTGACGCTCAAAATGAAATGATCGGTGCTGCAAGTACTACCATCACAAACTTGCCTACACCTCCAGCTTCGGCTGGTCGGCCTTCTCGGCGACGCTGCCATCGACAGGCGACGACTGGCCGTCCACAAATTCCATCTCGTCGACAAAGGGCATGTCCACGCCGAGGCCGGGCATCGGGAAGAGGTACGACAGAGCACAGAACAGAACAAAGCTTATGGACAGGCCGACAATGAAGGTGAGGTTGTAGAGGCGAGTCCAGTTGGTCCACTTGGGGTCGGTGTAGCCATTGACCGTGGCGGCCAGGCCGGCTGATTCGTCAGTACGGTTGTTACGATGAAAAGAAAGCAACAGCAACACAATGGTGGTACGTGACTCACGCAAAAGTGGCCAGACACCACAGAAAAAGGAGGCAAAAGCGCGCCAGTTAAAACCGGCAACGAACCAGTAGCTGGAGCTGGAGTTGCCCATGTACAGCTCGTTGAGACGAAGCTTGCGCTTGCGGATAACGAGGTAGTCGGCGAGGAGGATGCCACTGCGGAGGGTTAGCGGCAGTACGGCACCAAAAGGAAGAGACCTCCCAGCAGAGGAATGGCAGGGGAACGTACGTTGCGGGGGCCATAAAGACGCCGAACCCGCTGAGGACAGACACAAACTTGGTGGCGGTGCTGATGAGCTGCCAGGGCTGCGTGGCAATGCCGATGATGGCCATGATGTAGCTGCCACGGATGATGTTGATGTACTTGGGGCTCAAGCCGGCCATGTCCATGCCCGTCGACACGGAGTTGAGCACCACGGAGATCTAGCAATGGTGTTAGAACACATACAAAAGGGCCATTGCCAATGGGTTCCACATACCGACATCTGCGACGCAACGCAGCCGAGACTGGCAAAGAAGACGCCGGCCCGCGCGCGCGGGCTCGAGTGGTACAGCTCCTGGATGTCGGCCAGCAGGTAAATGGGGTTCCAGACCAGGTCACCGCCCAGAATGTCGTGGGCCGCGCTCGTCACAATGATGCCAATGGTGGCCGTTACGGCAATGGTCACGGGCGATGCGATCATCTGCGAGACGGTGGGCGCGTAGCGGCGGTTGGCATAGCGCGTCCAGTCGGACTGGCCGAGTGTGCCGGCGCCCCAGGAGCCCAGAATGGCCGTGATGCCAAACATAAAGGCCCAGCCCTTGTTCTCGGCAGTTCCAGGCTCATGGAAGAGGGATCCGGCGCCACCCGCATGGGAGGTGCTCCTGCAGGTGGTTAGTTATGACTCGGCGTGTTCAGTTTATTCTATGTTTTTTTTATCTTTATTTTGCCGGACTTTCTTACCATGCCAGACACCCGATGCACGTGCCGAGGAAGAGAACAAAGCAGAAGAAGAAGGGAATCTGCAGGCGCTCGGGCTTGATCAGGATCGCCGGAATAAAGGCAGCCATCCAAATGACGAGTCCGATGAAATCATTCGTGGCCAAGTGCGAGCTCGCCGAGAAGGAGTTTTTCATATGCGCGAAGCCTGGGCTTGTTAGATTCTGTTTCTGTGGCGCCGAACTTCCGTCGACGGTCGGAACACAGGAACACACCTGGAATAATGGCACCGATCATAACACGCGTGGCTTGTCCGCCCCAATACGCCTGCATGCCGAACCACATGCACGAAACAAAGATGCGAATAATGACGGGGACTGGCCGAGGTGTTAGCGACTGAATGTTATGCACGCGTCACGGCAGTGGTGGAACACGGACAATAGGCACCGCGCATGCCCCAGGCAGAGCGGCTCGAGACGGTAAAGCCGATATGATGGACCTCGCCCAGCCACCCGCAGGCAACGGCGAGGACACCCGTCAGGACACCGCCGATGATCTGGGAGGACGGTTAGCACAATGCGCGGGCCTTGGATTCTCTGGTCGTCATGCAAACAAACGTACCACGACTCCAATCGCCTGCTGTGGACTCAGGCCGTAGGCCAGAAGGGTGCTGCCGACGGACCAGGCCGAGATGCAGGAGCCGGAGACGGTCCAGTAGCCTGGGCCAAGAGTGTCAGTAGTGCGGCGGTCGTATCAACGCATCTGTCACCACGAGGTGGAGCACAAGACAACGCACCAAAATAGGACCAGACGCCAAAGGTGCGGCGTGCGGGCGGAATTGGGATGAGGTCTCGGTTGCACCATGTTGTGTTTTCATAGTGCGAGTCATCGTGCTTTGGCCTTTGGGAGCGAACGGTCAGTGACCTCGGCTTCATCAATGAAACGGCAGACGGAGCATGGAGTACAGGCACGAGGTGTTGAGTCGATTTCTGTGGGGTGGGCCGGACGGACCACTTACACTTCAATGCTCTTTTTAAAGTCGACCCAGTTGAACCCCATTTTATTCACTGCAGGGTATGTCGTGTGCCGTAAACGTGGCGAGTGCAAAACAAAAAGTGTAAAGGTGCGTTTGTCATGCGCCGACGGGAGAATCTGACAAGTGGAAAGAAGAGGAAATGAAAACGAGATGCACAACAAAACCTGATCTCGTCGGCGGATATGTCAAGGCACGGGAGCCCTTTAAGTCTGACGGAACCATGACAACCCGTATCGCTGCATCGAGAGGGGAATGCAGGAAATGGCAACCGGAAGCGATACGACGGTCCGTTTGTGGGACGGAGAGTTGGCAGCAGCGGCTTCGCGTCGTACTCCGTAGTTGTTAACTTGATCCCCTCCTTATCTGCACTACTCCAAAGTGCCCTGTCCCCTGTCTGCGGAGGTGGGTACGTCCACACGGACTCGGTAGATGAGATTGGCATTTTCCACGCGAGCTGGCAGTTAGCCGATCGTCTGGCGCTGGTCGCGTGCGTCTGTGTCAATTGTGTTGTTGGCCGATCTCATGACCCCAGCTTTGGAGAGTAGCGTCCCTCGACTTGCACGTATCGGCCAACTACATCGGCCAACACCACACGATTTTGTAGCTTGACGTCAGGTGTATTAATTGCATTGTTTATCTTTCCTTTATTTCGCTCGTACGGCTTCAGTACCTTGTCGTCTGTTCCTATTCGGTTATCATGCTGACGCGCACCGGCCTACTCGCACGCACTCACTCTAGACCCTTTGCTACCATGGTGCAAAACACCTCCCGGACATTCACCCTCAACGACGGCCGGTCCATCCCGGCTGTCGGCCTCGGCACGTGGCAGTCCAAGCCCAACGAGGTCCGCGACGCCGTCAAGTTTGCCCTCCAGCATGGCTACCGGCACGTCGACACGGCCCTCAACTACGGCAACGAAAAGGAGGTCGGCGAGGGCATCCGCCAGTCGGGTGTCGCCCGCGAGCAGATCTGGGTGACGACCAAGCTGGACAATCCCTGGCACCATCGGGTGGCCGAGGGCTTTGAGAAGTCGCTGAGCGATCTCGACATTGGCTACATTGACTTGTTTTTGATGCATTTCCCCTGCTCGACAGACCCCGACGATGCCACCAAACATCTCCCCGACTGGGACTATGTCAAGACGTGGTGCGTCCCTACAAACTGTCAAGGCAACATCTGCACGCATCGACATCCCAGCTAATGCAGTGCGCCCCGGTGGACAGGCAAGAAATGCAGAAGCTGGTGGACGCGGGCAAGGTCAAGTCCATTGGCGTATCCAACTTCCAGATTCGCCATCTCGAGAAGCTGCTGGGAGATCCGAGCTGCAAGATCGTGCCGGCCGTGAACCAGATTGAGGTATGTGTCTCTCGTGACGGTATAACGACCCAGACGGGACCCAAGCTAACAAGGCAATGGCAGCTTCATCCGTGCAACCCTTCGTACGTACCATCGGCGCTCGTCCTGGCTGACCGACACAGCATCTTCCCCTCTTTCCATGCCGATTCGACACCACACTAACGTTCCCGTCCCAGTCCAAAACTCCTCGACTTTTGCACATCAAAAGGCATCCACTGCACCGCCTACTCGTGTCTCGGCGGCACGGCCGGATCGCCCATCAACAACTCGGGCCCGCTCATGGACGAGCCGGCCATTGTCGAGATTGCCGCGGCCAAGGGCAAGACGCCGCAACAAATCGTCCTCATGTGGGGCCTGCAGCGCGGCACCAGCATCATCCCCAAGAGCGTCACGCCGGCCCGCATCGAGCAGAACTTTGCGCTCGACGGCTGGTCGCTAGCACAGGCGGACATGGACCGCATCAGTGCCGTCAAGGGCCGCTTCAAGGTGGTGCAGGACGCCTGGATGCCAATCCGTGTGTTCTTTGGCGACGACGAGTAGGCAATGTGCCTGGGGCGACATGGCCGCAACAAAACCGTCATTCATAGTATGTACATGGGAAGAAAGCAAATAAAACGACAAGTTAGCGTCATCTACGTGACCGAGGTCGAGAGGTAGTTCCACTATCCTCATTATCTGTACAATATTATAAAGCCCCCCAAGGTCGTGAAACGGAGATTGTTGATTCGGCCAGCTTACGCCGTCTTCCACCGCCTCACGACGGACATCCGGTCGCTGGGTAGTTGCAGCTGCTGGCCACGGCGCCACCCGCAATGGACACGTTGGAAAACGCAATATTTGAGCACGCCCCGTCGCCACACAACACGTAGTAGTCCTGCGCCGAGGCGCGCGAATGTCCCGTCACGTTCTGGAAGAGCACGTTCTCAATCAGCACGCCGTTGGACGGGTTGCCTGTAGGCCCGCCGTTGAGGTAGTCCTGCTGGACGTCGATGCCGTATCTAGAGATGTTGCTGACGACAATGCTGGAGAAGGTAATGTTGGCAACAAAGCCGGTGGCGTTGTAGTTGGTCTTGATGCGACAGGCATTTTCCGAGTTGGCCACCGACGAGTTGGAAAACTGGTGTGTTTACGGGGCTTGTGTTAGTATGTAGTTGGAAAGGAAGAAAATCAAAAAAAAAAACCCCGAAATACACAGGCCGCACAGAGGAAGGCTCACCACAATGTTAGTCACGTTATTGTTCGACTTGAGGCCGACGGACCCAATCGAGAGGCCATGGCCGCCGCGGCAGACAAGGTCCCTGACCGTCACATTGTTGCCGCTCGTCACAGCCACACAGTCGTCCTGGTTGTCGACGACAATGCGCTGGAGCAGAACATTGACCGACGAGCTGAGGTCGAAGCCGTCCGAGTTGTGCGCAGCCGCCCGACCACCACTCCGGTTGTTGGGCGCATCGCCGGCCGAGTTGTCCAGAACGAGGTCCTGCATCACGAGGTCCTTGCTGCCGGAAATGGAAAACAGGTGCACCGGCCAGTTCTGAATGTGCAGGTTCTGGACGACCGAGTGGCCCGTGAGCTTGAGGACGATGAAATGGTCGGGCTTGGGCACGCCGCCGTTGGAGCCCAGGCCGTCCCAGTAGGCCGGGCCGTTGCCGTCAATGACCGCACCCGGGCTGGCTGTAATGGTAACGCCGGTGCCGCGAATCGTGATGGGGGTAAACGACGACGAGTTGGCAAAGCCAAACGTCGTGCGCCCGTCAAACGTGACCGTTGCACCCGTCTTGAGGCCCGACAGGCGAATCGCCGCGCCGTTGGGCGCGGCAATGTTGGACAGCACAATGTCAGTGCACGACGCCACGGCCGTCGCGATTTGGGCGTACTCGGTGCAGAAACATGGGTTAGCAGAGGCAGTGGGGCTTGATGGTGCCGTGGTGGTGGACATGCTGGACGCGGTCGACGTGGTGGAGACAGTCGACGTCGACGTGGTCGATGCAGCCGGGGCCAAGTCGCTCGGGTCGAGGTAGCTCGTGTCCACCCACCACTCGTCCTGGAAGTTGGCGCCGAGAATCGTCCGGATCGAGATGGGCGCCGTTAGCTGTTCACTGAAGCTGGCGCGCGGGCTCTCGGCCTGCATCGAGCCAGGACCGCGGTTGTTGTACTCGGCAAACGTCACATTGTCAGTGTTGGGCGTGCTCGTTGACCATTGCTTCCAGCCGGCCGCGGCGACGATGCTGCCCAGGTACGTCTCCTGGAAGACAACGCGCGCAAACGATCCCCAGGGGCGGCCCAGATAGCTGCCGCCCGCCGCGACCGAGTCGTTAATGCCCGACACTGTGGACCGGCTAACGACGTACCACGACGGGTTCGTGTCACTGCTGCGGCCCGAGGCCGTGATGCAGCCCGCGGCAATCATGCGGATGTCCACGCCTTCGAGCCATGTGAGCGCCGTCTGGCCGAAGATAAAATCGACGGCGCCGACAATCAGGCTCTTGGTGTACAGTTGCGTGCCCGTGTTTGCCAGCAGCGTGTCCTGGTAGCCAATGAGCTGGCAGCCGTAGTAGGCTTGGCCCGTCGTGTGCGCCGAGACGGCCAGGTTCTGGCCATTCGAGTGGATATGGCCGAACGTGTTGACCACGTTGAGGTTGTACACCTTCGTATTCGTGTTCCATTGGCGTAATGTAGCCGTCAGGTCGTCCGAGGTCGTGTTGATGAGCGCGAGGTTGTATGTGACTGTGGCCTCGTTTTCCTCGTAACTACGGGCGTCGTGCGTATAGCCCTGGACCGTCAAGTTGGATGCCAGCAGCGGAATGTACACTTGCTCGACATAGGTGCCCGGGAAAACAAACAGATTCTGCGGCGTCCTGGTTGTCTTGTTCAGCGCATCGACACCGGCTTGGAACGTCGTGTACGACCCCGGGTACGGCTTTGCACTGTTGTCCACGACCACCGCACCCTCCGCAGGGCTGATTCGCGACCAATGGGTTGACTTTGCTGGCCACAGAGAACGTGCGTGGACCGGCGAGGCGACCAACGCTACGGCCAGAGCAAAATAAAGTGAGCCCAGCATTGTTGATATTGTCGTGTACGTGAAGTGCAGGTGTTCGTCACAAGTGACAAAAGAAATCTGACCGTTTTAGTATCGTCCATCTTTTATACTATATGGATATTATATGGCTCGTTCCTCCCGCCTGCCAAGCCTCTCCAAATGAATTGAAAAGTGTGCCCCAGCATCTCCAGGGTCTCGGTCCTCGGTTTAGGTTATTCTCCAGATTTCATCTGTCCGCCTCGACCTTTGTCTACTTTCGCTTGGGGGATAATATGACAGTGTACACTTTCTGCCGTTCCATCGCTTCCTCTAAGAACTAGAAAAAGGACAGGGTAAACAAAGGTCCCACCAATAGCGGCGGCAGTTCATATTGCCTGCTCATATTAAATTTACAACGGCGAACATACAGTCTCCGCACGATCCCTTTCTTCTCCACTCAACTCCGCATGTACCTGGCAATCGACGAAATATCATGTTCGTGCGCCAAAATACCAGGTCAAGGTAAATTACAACAGCGGCTCGAGAAGAGACACAGGAGAGAGTCGTCACAAGACAGTTTGTCGTGTAATACTTTCGATTCGGAGGTTGTATTAAACCAGTTGGATGACCTTTTACCTTCAAAGCCGAAATCGCCAAGTGGGAATGCTGAACGAGAGCGTGGCAAGGCTGTGGAACATGCTGGCCAAGAATGGCCATGCTTTTGGGCTTGCCTTGTGTTTACTACATCGTGGCGTCGAGAAAGAATGAATTTGCAGGTTGTTATGGGAATTGGCAAGCACCCGATATGCGATATGGCTAATGATACAGCATATGACGGCTGTGCCAGCGATGACACACAGATCAAGCCGGGCGAGATTCCAGAGCCATGTTGACTCTGGAACGCAAAGATCGTATCTGGCAAATATCCTGCAAGTGTCAATCTATCAACGACGTACGAATATTGCATCAAAAGAGGTCGTAAGGAGTCAGATTGGTGTGTACCATTGTAGGGGACCTTCAGGGTCTTGTCGGGACGGCGGTTGGGCCCGCGAAGGTTGGCGGCACTTGCCGGGCGATATGTCGCTACCGATACGCAGCCACGGCAGAGATTGGAAGGAGCGGGCATGCGACGCCGGATGTCATTCAAGTGTATATAGCACTTGGACAGTGGCGAGACTTGCGAACCGAGAAGTTCAAGGTTCGCGCCTCGTCCTAATTTTACTGCATTTCCTCATTAATTTCTTACGATATGAAAATCGACAGCATGTATCTCATTATTCACCGTTTCAGAGCACTGGTCGAAATCAAATAAAATATATACATCAAGGAGAGTGGGCCCAGAAACGGCTCGGAGAGCAACCAGTCTGTTTCAGTCCGGCCCGGATGCCGAGGGAAGTTGACTTTGGCAGACGGCGGGAATGGAAAGAAGGTGCCGATCAATTCGGCCGGAATCTGCGGACGAAACAAGCATTTTCGTATCAGCAAGCTCCGTATGGTGAAATTCGGTTGGTGTGCTGCAAGGCGCGCCGCAAGCGATGGACCGATGGAAATAACGTAACAACATGGCGCAATCCACTCAGACCAGTGCGCCATCCAAGCCAGGACAGGCTGTTGTAATCGAATCGCGGCCGATAAAAGAAGACAAGCCGCATGAATAAATAAATGGAGCTCATACGGAACGAAAGGTTTTGGGCAATTACTTCTGGTACTAAGAAACCAATATTGTCTTGTTCCCTCCCACCATGACTTGGAAAGTGGCCATCATCGGCGGCGGCCCTGGCGGCCTCGCCGCAGCAATTGCCCTGACGCAGCTCAACGAGAAGCAGTACCGCCAAGGCCTGCCGGCTCTCGTCGAGTGGACGCTCTACGAAAAGAAGCCGCGCATCAGCGAGACAGGCGGCGGCATCAGCATCCAGCGCCACACGTGGCGGATGCTAGAACTGCTGGGCGTGGCCGACCGGGTGGACGCGCGCGACGTGTTCCGGGCCGCCGACGGCCGCAATGTTGAGCACCGCAACGCCGTGACTGGTGTCTTGATTGCTCGGCGGTTCCACTCGGACGATACGCCGCCGCACCAGGTCAGCGGACGCATGGTGCGGGCGAAGCTGCAGAAAGCCCTGTTGTCGGCCGTCGACGCATCGCGGGTCAGGACCGACAAGAAGCTGGTGTCGGTGGAGGACGCCAGCGACACGGCGCACGCCCCCGCTGTGCGCCTTGCGTTTGCCGACGGCGAGGTGTCCTCATTTGACCTCGTGATTGGCGCCGACGGCATCCGGTCCGTCGTCCGCTCGTTTTTGTCGCCGCACCACACGCTGCAGTACAACGGCCAGTCGGCGTACCGCACCATCCTGCGCAAGCAGGACGTAGCCGCGATCAGCGGCATCCCCGCCTCGCCCGTCTTTTGGCAGTATGTCGGCGGCAAGTACGTCTTCACGTGCCCGCTGGGCGGGGACGATTTCGAAGTGACGGCGCGCATCCGTCCGGACCTGTCGGACGACGAGGCGGCCCAGCAGACCAG